CTTTGAACCCAATTCTCAAACAGTATCCTAAATCAAGCCTTCAAAAAACTTCCAAACCAAAGCCGCTAGCCAAACCCCTCAACAAAAACTTTCAAAACCATCCAAACTAAAGCCACCAGCCAAATCCATACCAGATACTTCCCAAATCCGAAGAGCCTAAAGCAAGACCTTTACCAAAACACCAAAACACAAAGTACCTCCCAAAAACCATTAAAATAATCCCGAAACAAAGCAACGCACCAGAACCAATACAATTATCCAAAACACATCCCAAAACCAAAGCAACTACCCAACTCCATAGCCTGGTCCATAAAATATCCAATATCCTACGAGGTGTGGGGTCAAGGATTTCGTATTAATGCCAGTGGTGTATCTTGTATCCCCTGTCGTTGTAAAAGACAGTTATATCATAAGGAGACTAAAACTGTCAAGGATAATAATGTAATAACAACAAATACTGTGATTGATAAAAGGAATACTAAATCTGGCGGTGGCAGACACACAAGTCCTGACGAGATCTTTAAACCGGAAAATATTTACAATCAGGAAGCATTGAAACATGTGATACAGGATGGGGCAAATCTCATATAACACCGGAAGAATTAGAAGAACGTGTTGAGAAAATTGAAGCAGGTATTGATTAAATAAAAAAGATGTAGAAGATATAAATACATATAAAATCAAGATGGATTAAAGTTTTATTTATCATACAGTATGACAGAGGCAAGTGTGCTATCTTTGAAGAAGGAGAAGAAATCAAGCCCTGACAATCGGCAAGTATTGTTTCACATTGGATGAACTCGTGAAAGGGAAAAGTAACGAGATACATTCAATACATTCAATAGCATCACATAGGCTGTTGCTTAATTAGTTTGAACTCTATTCATAATTTTTTAAGGTATGAAAAAGTTGTAATACTACTCTTTATATGTAATTTTGGAACGCATTTTCACCTAAAAGTTTTAGTATAATCATTTTAACCTACAGCTTTTTTATGTCTAGCGAAGATGACGCTTTGGCTGAAGCCTCGCGAGGCTCTCGCGACGATGTTAAAACAACCAACGTAACGAGGTTTCAAAAGATATTGCAGAAGCTAATTGGGTTTCCAAAGCCTGATACATTAGTTTATTATGAAATAAAGGACAACGATGAGCATAAGGTTTATAGTTAAATAATGTACTGTACAAATTCCGTATTTGACAACGTGACCTACAGACTTAAGATAGTAGAGAGTAAATGTTCAGTAATAATGAACAGGAGGAAATTATTAGTGAGTTCTTGAATGTTATTGAGATGAAAGCCATTATTAAGGATAAAGCCAGTAGGTGTGCTACATGTAAGTTCAATCAAAAGACTATGTCTTTACATAAGCTGAATATACCTGTCAATATTATCACAAACATTTGTAAGTTATGAGGATTGCGAAGTGTGTAAAGCTTTAACAGAGTTTAAGGAGAATGTTTATGATTGTAGTAGTGAAGATTTTGAAAATGCGGTTAAAGCAGTTGAGGATAAAAATAAATACAACATAACAAATTACACAGAGAAGAAATTGGATTCACAGATATATTATTGTGTTAAATTAAATCCATTTCCTAAGTTTGAGAAGACATTACGATGGTCCAAAAGTGCATTACCAGAATGCAAGTTCTATCATGCTGAATTCTACAATGACATTAAATTATTATACGATACTGCATTTAATGTTGATGAAAAGTAAAACAATTTTACAGCAAACAACGAATCATCATAATGAATGATTATGATAAAAACGTAGATGAAAAGAATAATACAAAAATAGAATTTGTTAGTCTTCTTGGAAGACAAATGAATAAAGTTGAAAGTGCAATTTATACGATTCTCTCACATATGAACAACAATGAACAATTTAGCAAATTGAAAAATCTATTGTATTCAAATGAAATTTTTGGATGGATTAATACACGAATAGCAGAAGTACATTTTGAAGATGATTTTTCATTTGAACGGTTTATGGATAAGAGATTCCCTTATTTACCTACAGTTCCATACAAGAAACAAAAAATGAGAGACGATACGGATTATCTAAATACTATAGATGATTGCTTGATGTAATATATTAACAAAATACAATATTGTTAATGTATTATTTCACTTAGTACGCATGGTTTTAGGTTTAAGATTTCAGACAAGGCTCTTACCCGAGACCTCATCAGGAATAGAATAGGGTGGGCTTTGCTTAGGTGGCTTTGGTTTGGATGGGTTTGAAGGCTTGATTTCGGATACTGTTGGAGAATTGGGTTAAAATCCTAGAGTGGGGTATTGGATTATGAGGTCTGGGGTTAGCCATTGCTTGCTAAACCACCCGATGTTTTGTCTTAAAGTGTGGGTCCTGTTTGTTCATCCGGTCTTTGTACTAAGTGGACTTGCCAAAGCAGGGCTGAGATGAGAAAATCTCAGAATGCAATTCGATGATACAATGGTGATCATGATGCTGGTGAATGTGAGACGGTGATGTTGGCAACGGCGGTGATGATGATGATGATAATGATTCGGGATCTCGGGGCTTTCGAGTTGTCGACCCTAGAAGCCTAGCTGTGAGACCCTTCGGAACCCTACATCCCGAACCGAAACACTTCCAACATGCCCAGCGCCAGTCCCAACGACGCTCGGGTCATGACACGCGATGCACCAAGGACAGCTGACGCCGGAACGTGTCACTATGTGTCTCAGATGCACTTCTGTATGTCTTGCTATGCCACGGTGACCTGGCACAGAGGGTGAGACTGAGCAACCACAAGCACATGAACTTGGTAAGGTCGTCATTCGAAGCGACCCTTTTTGCTCACTGACTATGCAGCATCGTGGACCCTTGTCCCAGTGCCTTGTCTTACGCGCAGCAGACCGATTCGGGTGTGGGAGGTGTACATATTCGTTCAGTTGAACTGCATTTTGCCGCTGACCCCGTGTATCTCCACAGGTATTTGCAGATCTTCGCTATGTTGCCTCCCAGCTCAATTTGATGGCTCTGGCAACGGTGTTGCAGAAGGGCTCATCAGGAGTTTAAAATCCGTACAGACGATTTGAAAAGCATGTCTGTGTTCCAGGTGTCATGTGATTGTTTTGGAAGTGTGGCAGAGCTGTCTACACTGAGTTCATCAAGCTCAGGTTCATCAGCGTGCTCGAGGCCCCTGTCAGAGACTTCGGAGCCCCCGCATTGAGCAAGGAAGCTGAGAAGCCACACCGCTGGACCATGTTGTCGCCGTGCAAGGTAACTAGACAGAGAAGCATACCCTGCATTTCCGTAGGTCGTTTTCGAAGCATGAAGCCCTGCTCGACCCTATTCTGTCTCGTGAGTCTCGTGCAGTCGGAAAAGGGCGTTCAAAAAACACCCTAAAGCCCAAATCATAAGCCCGGAGCTGCCAGGGCCGGGAAGACGACGGCGACGAAATCACGGACCTGAATTTGCCGGACGACGTGCTCGCGCCTCCGGCGGCAGTGACTTTTCAGGTCCCAAGGTTTAGGCCTCCAGGGAGTTATCGTGAGATGTAAGCGTGATTTACGGGTGAGATCTGCAGAGCCCCCGCATTCTTTGAGCTTCGGGTATGGGAATTCCAAACGTCGTGTACTTCGTGGGCTTTGTCTGCCTACACGTCTCAGGACAACATCAGCAAGCGGAGTCAGCGTCGCTTGGCTCGAGGAGCAACGGGTCAATCGCGACATGAACAAGCAGAGGAGAGCAGAGGAAGGTGCAGAAGGAGTATCGGTACCCTCAACACTCAAAAATCCTTTCAGCTTGTGGTTGTGGTCGCTTTGTGGTGGCGATACCGTTTGGTAGCGATTGGGTCGGCTTCCAAATTTGAGTGCTTTAGGGGCGCTGCTCCTGTGGGTGTGATGACATTCATTATTGGGCGTGCATTTGTTTCCAGCTTCAAGTTTACCAGATGCTTCCAGCTTAAAGTTTTACCAAATGCAGCTTATCATGGTTGCGATGATGGGCCCTGCACGCCTTAGGAGGCGCCCTTATGAGTCTAGGACAGTCAGTCTGCGGGCTGGCACACCTCGCAGGTGTGTGATTTCCGCGGTATCTGTCACCTTTCCGGGCTAGGCACAGGCCCTGTGCACTCAGGCTTTGCAGACATCATGAACAAACGAAGCGGGAACAGTGCCATGCGCGAAGCCAAAACTGGCAGCCTGTGGGGCCCTCAGGACACAGGAGTTTGTGCTAGTCCTGATCTTGACTGCACTAGCAGCCCCTGCAAAGTGATATGACCCACTGCCCCTTGTTCAGCTCTGGCAGGTTTACGGACATGGGCTTAGCGGATGGTCCAACCCGCGTGGAACATTATGGCTTCCTCGGGCTTTCCCATCGTTCGAGCTCATCATCTGGACGCTCATCAGGCCGTTCAGTCAAGAAGTATGAGTCCGAGGACGATGATTATTAGAGAGTCATCCGATCCAATCCGTCTGCTGCCGGTGTCGAACTGGCCCTGAGGGCCAGATGTCCGCAGAAAAAACTATGGATTTTCTCGGTGCTTCTTTCTTTCCAATCCTTTTGCGAAGTACATAAGGCCTGGCTGTTGCGTGGTGGGACCTTTCGATCCACTCCGCAAGTTTGACCGACCGAGTCGCTCCGAATGGAGCTCTTAGCTCGAAGCCGGGCACCGTGACAGGAAAAAGCGCAGCTCATCGTTGATGCAGTGCCGATCTTTGCTTTGGAACTCGTCTGGACGACGGCTGACATGGGATCCGTTTGCACTCGGACTGCCTAAGGCAGAGTCTTGTCTCGTATGCCAATGCATTCAGTCTTTCTGGGAACCTTTCTGGATGGTTTTGGCTGCAGGGAACTCGTCGTGTCCCCATGATAGTTCACATATGTGTGTGTGTGTGTCCACCCTCGCTGTAAAACCCCCATTTCACAAACAAGGCCTTTCAACCCCACCCATACAGCCCAGACCTTACACCAAAACAGCCAACCCACTGAAGAACTTTAAGCATTCGCCGCTCGGGCCTTTGCGCCCATGTCGGTTCCTCTGGCATGTTTGGTTGAATAGATTTCCTCACTCAGGCCTTCCAATGATTTCGTCGGGGTGTCGACAGCGCAGCCTTTCTGAGCTCGTCATTCCTTGCAAGCGGTGCCAGGTTGTGAGAATCTTATCCGTGTTGTTCCATTGTTCAGTCCTTTACCCTTTAACGTCGCGGCAGGCAGAAGTGGAACCTCCACCGCTGCAGGTACGTAACCGCAGCAAATGTAGGAGCTGTACCCGTCCAGTATGGTCATGTGTGGTTTGTCTTATAGTCTGACCTTGTGGCATCGCTCTGTGTCTGAAGAGCGAAGAATGAAAGGATCTTCAGTCGTCCTCGCAGGCGGCAACGGCAGCCCCAGCAGCAGCGCCAGCGGCAGCGCCAGCGGCAGCAGTAGGGCCAGTAGGGCCAGCGCCGCAGGCGCAGTCGGACATGTTGTGCTGAGCGTGCATTGCGGTCTGCACGGTGTGTGGCTGGCTGTGCCAGTGAAGCGTTGATCCGAACGGAATGTTCCCCTAGCACGCCTACAGTTACGGCAGACTACATGCATTTTTTTTGTTCAGGCGTCGCAGGCGTCCCCTCCGGCCCCTACAGAGGCTGCAGCACAGGCAGCCGAGTCTGTCCTGCATCTCGCAGATGTGAGACGTGTGCTGCACTTCTGATATGGCAGGCAGACGTGGCACTGCCGCTGCTGCTGCAGGCTTCCGAGACGGCTTTGCGTGACATGATCGAACTTGGGACAGTTTGTTGTGAACTGTCGCGTTGGTTGTGCCTACTGAGACTTGGATCGCTGTGCGGTCGTTGTTGCCTTGCCAGTCGAAAAGTCAAAGCATAGTGGCATAGTGCTGGCAGGGCATGCACACCCATTTCTTGGAGGTGCCGCAGGCTGCAGTGTCGACACCGCAGGCGCCGGGCATATTCTGCCAGAAGTGATTGTAACACACTATGACACTGGGGCAGCTGGTGCCTCGGTTTTCACACCCAGGCATGGCTTACCTACCGATCTCACAGGGCGGACCTTCCCGGTTGTGTGCGACTCCGGGTTCGAGGTGGGGGAATGACAGGAGCTCCCGGGTCGCATCTCTGCCCATGGCAGAAATGTGGGAGTTTGGCGAAGCCGGGGTACCTTTTTCAGGTGTTCTAAAAAAACCGTAATTGAAACTCCGGTATGTGCGTGGGGCTCTGGACGGTGCTTTCGGCTTCGGGAGAGGAGGAGAGGAGGAAGGCGCAGAATCTGCAAGAAGCTCTGAGATGCAAAGTTCCGGTAGAAAGGGGGCCAGTGGGGGGTTCAACGATTCTGTGTATGCGAACGGACCTCGATGCCTAGTCACCTAGTCCAATTCGTGGGCGTCACTACCAGAGCTATAAAAGTAATGTCATGAGTTCTTCATGTACATGGAGCAAGACACCGTCTCGCGGGTCTTGTCTCACAACCTTGCCTGTATGTGGGACCGCTAGTCGGACCATGTCACAGCGCCAATCTTATATGCTCCGCGTATCATAACTTTGGCTCAAGACCAATGTGTAGGCCATGCTAAAGAGCATACGCTTACTGCCTAGCTAGCAATAGCTGGACGCCTGCAATCGATCAAGAAGCAAAGAGAGCCATCCCGTGCACAGACAACTCGTTGCTTGCATTCCGACGAGAAAAGAAGCTGACCGAGTTCGCTTGCAAGGGAAGTTTGGTGAGTGCGCTACAGTAGCTAGTCGCCACTTAAACCTACCGCTGTGCCTCCGATGTTCATCAACAATACCTCGTTACCCTGTTGACAGGTGTCACAGGCGTCCCAGCCGATCCCTGCAGAACCGGCCGTGCCTGCGCAAGCAGCCACAGCGGCCCAGGCTGGAGGGAACTCAGTGCTTGTAGCCCTCTAGCCCCTGCGACAAAGAATGAGGGTGCCTCTGATCAGTAGTCTGATGTCTCGGATGCAGATCTCGTTGGGTTTGTGGCGTTTAACAGCTCGCTTCCTGGATTGATCGCAGCATTCGCAGGTTTCAAGCCCGAATTAGTAGCCAATGAAAGGGCCACGTCGACTGACATTTTTTTCTTCCCGCATTGAGGACAGTGTAGGTGTTTGCAGCAGCCTTGTCATCAGCCGGGCCGCGTTGGCATCAGCGAGCGAGTTGAAGAAGTAGAATTGAGTTGTAGGCGTACTCGGATGCAGGGCCTCAGCTATTATTCAGACTCCGATGACGAGGCCAAAGGCGACCAGCCTGGAGCCCAAGGTGGGCCTGCAGAGCCTGCAGAGGCCCCAGCGCAAGCGCATGCGGCTCTCCAGGAGGAATCGACGAAGGAGCTCCCACTCCAGCCGGAGCTCGAGGTGTCAGCCGTCCCATCCGTCCCGTCCACGTCGTTCGAAGCGCTCCTTGGCATCCTGATTGCACCGCAAGATCAGAAAACGGAGATCCTGGAGGCATATGAGAAGGCTCCGCCGGAAGGGCGTCAGCAGCTGCTGCAGGACGTGCGTGAAATGGTCATCAAACAGGCAGATGATTTGGCTCAGGAAGAGGAGGAGGCAGAGTTTGCAGAGGAGGCCATGGATGATGCAAGCCATGGCCAGGTATCGGACATACCCCAAGCGGTCGTACCCGAGGAGAAGCTCTCGCCGACCCCTGCAGCCTCGAGAGGCCAGGCGACTCGAGCGCCTCCTGTGGACGAGTCGACGCCTTTCGAGCAGATTATTGATGCATGGATCGCGCAGTCCGCGCAGACGGGCGACGGCCCACCTCCGGAGTACAAGGACGAAATCATGCAGGTCTACAGGGACGCACCACCGGAAGGGCAGGAGCAGATGCTGCGGGACATGAGAGACATGGTGATCAAACAGGCAGAAGAGCTGACACTGGCAGAGGAGGAGGCCATGCCGGCAGTGGCAGCGCCGGCGGCCTCGGCCGAGGCTGCGAAGGAGCGGTCGGCGGAGCCGCGGGCACCGCGTGGGCAAGTGGAGGAGGAGGCGCGGCTCGCGGCCGAGAAGAAGGCCGCCCTGCTGGCGAAGATGGGCGTCGTCCCCGGCGGCGCTCCTCCTCCGCCTCCCCCAAAACCGGACCCGGAGCCCGCAGAGCCGGAGCTTCCCGACCCGAAGACGGTGCGCGTCTTCTTTGAGATCGCTGTTGAGACCACGTCGATCGGGCGTATTGAAATCGAGCTCTTTTCTGAGGTCGTGCCGAAGACGGTGGAGAACTTTCGATGCCTCTGCACTGGCGAGATGGGCCGCAGCGTGAGAACGAAGCATCGGCTGAGCTTCGAGGGTTCCGTGTTCCACAGGATCATCCCTGGCTTCATGTGCCAGGGTGGAGATTTTACTCGAGGTGATGGCACTGGGGGTGAGTCCATCTATGGAGAGAGGTTCAATGATGAGAACTTCGATTTGCTGCACAAAAAAGGATGTCTCTCCATGGCCAACGCCGGTCCTGACACAAATGGATCCCAGTTCTTTATTTGCACCGCAGCAACGCCTCACCTTGATGGCAAGCACGTGGTTTTCGGTCAGGTGCTGACGGGATACGAGGTGGTCGAAAAGATGGAAGCACTGGGCCACCGGTCTGGCAAAGTGGCCAAGAGGGTGAGCATCCTGAGCTGTGGCGAGATCGCGACAGAGACTGCACCGCCTCCGAAAGTTGCGAGGGTCATCGACGTGGCGCCCGCAGCGCGCTTGGCCTGTGAGGGCGAGGTGGTGGGTGGCGGCTTGGGCCTTCTGGGACTTCTGAAGGAGGCGGACAACACATTGGCCTTAGAGCAGGCAAAACAGGCAGCAATGGCAAGCCTTCCACCTGCGGAGGAGCAGGGTGCACCCGAGGAGGTGCGTGCTCACATGCCCGAAAGCACTAGGTCACTAGGGGTTGTTAAGTTCAAGATGCTGGACCAAATTCGGAAGATACGAAGGCGCGTTTCTAGGCCCAGGCAGTCTTCTTCGTAGCTGCTTGTCAATGTGTTCCCGGAGGTGCACGTGATGCACATCCTCCGCAAGCACACGGGCTCCCGGAAGCCGAAAAATCGTGGGGGTCAAGCCATTACCTGCGGTCAGCAGGAGGCGGAGGAGTACTTGGAAGAGATCGCAAACCAATTGGTGGGACTCTCAGCGGAGAAGCTTCGGCAGCGTTTTGCGGAGCTCGCCAAGTCCGAATCCGACTGCGCCTCGGCCAAGAAGGGAGGAGACTACGGCCGCTTCCATCGGGGCCAGCGGGAGCAGGCCTTTGAGGATGCAGCCTTTGCTTTGAAGATCGGTGAGGTCTCAAACATCGTCTCGACGATGTCGGGAGTCCACTTGATCCTGCGCGTGCCGTGAAAACAGTGGAGGTTCGGTGACCCCCAAACTGTGAGACCTTCATACTAGGCCAAAGAGATCTGTCAGGTAGACGTGGCACCACCGCCGCCGCAGGCTGCCGTGTCATAGATGGTCCCCTAAAAAGCCCCGTCATCAGAATGCTCGAGCAGCTCGAGTCGAACTCAGCTGTGGTGGCAGTTGCGTGTAATCTACACTTTGGTTTCTTCCGGTAATCACTTGCAAGCAGTTTAGTGTTTCGCCATTCTTAGGAATTGGTGGCTGTCAGTTGTCGCGTTTTGTGGAGCTACCATGTCTGGCATTCTCTGAAAGGAGTCAGCATGGCAACAGGGCAGCAGCTGTCACTTGCATCTGCAGAGCATAGAACCATTCCTCATCCAGAGCTGGCTTCCAACAAGACACGTTCATCCTTCATGCTGCAGAATGCCGGATTCGTAGTGGGGTGTACATATGGTGAAACCCGAGGGCGGAGATCTGCTCATGTCTGCTAACTCGCTCGCATATTGTTTGTTCATCAACAGTGGCAGGTGTCGCAGGCGTCCCAACCGGCCCCCGCAGAACCGGCCGTGCCTGTGCAAGCATCAGCCGCGGCGACTCAGGCTGGAGGGAAGTCAGTTGCTCATCGGCCGATGCTTGTGGTGCCTGCAGCGAGAAGAGGGTGCCTCTGATCTGTCAGGTAGACGTGGCACCACCGCCGCCGCAGGCTGCCGTGACATAGATGGTCCCCTAAAAAGCACCGTCATCAGAATGCTCGAGCAGCTCGAGTCGAACTCAGCGGTGGTGGCAGTTGCGCCTAATCTACACTTTGGTTTCTTCCGGTAATCACCTGCAAGCAGTTTAGTGTCTTGTCATTCTTGAGAATTGGTGGCTGTCAGTTGTCGCGTTTTGTTGAGCTACCATTTCTGCAGCCAGTCGAATCAACGAGCCGTCCGGTATCAGCGATGTTAGGCATGTTGCATTCAGGGCGAGAACTTCTTTGAGAAGTTGCATCAGCATATATGGAAGCGGGGCTGTTACCGGGAGGTGCTGCAGGCTGCGGCAGCGGCGCTGCCACAGGCACTGCTGGGCATTCTCTGAAAGGGGTCAGCATGGCAACATGGCAGCAGCTGTCGCTTGCATCTGCAGAGCATAGAACCATTCCTCATCCAGAGCTGGCTTCCAACAAGACACGTTCATCCTTCATGCTGCAGACTGCCGGATTCGTAGTGGGGTGTACTTTTGGTGAAACCCGAGGGCGGAGATCTGCTCATGTCTGCTAACTCGCTCGCATATTGTTTGTTCATCAACAGTGGCAGGTGTCGCAGGCGTCCCAACCGGCCCCCGCAGAACAGGCCGTGCCTGTGCAAGCATCAGCCGCGGCGGCTCAGGCTGGAGGGAAGTCAGTTGCTCATCGGCCGATGCTTGTGGTGCCTGCAGCGAGAAGAGGGTGCCTCTGATCTGTCAGGTAGACGTGGCACCACCGCCGCCGCAGGCTGCCGTGACATAGATGGTCCCCTAAAAAGCCCCGTCATCAGAATGCTCGAGCAGCTCGAGTCGAACTCAGCTGTCGTGGCAGTTGCGTGTAATCTACACTTTGGTTTCTTCCGGTAATCACTTGCAAGCAGTTTAGTGTTTCGCCATTCTTAGGAATTGGTGGCTGTCAGTTGTCGCGTTTTGTGGAGCTACCATGTCTGGCATTCTCTGAAAGGAGTCAGCATGGCAACATGGCAGCAGCTGTCGCTTGCATCTGCAGAGCATAGAACCATTCCTCATCCAGAGCTGGCTTCCAACAAGACACGTTCATCCTTCATGCTGCAGACTGCCGGATTCGTAGTGGGGTGTACATATGGTGAAACCCGAGGGCGGAGATCTGCTCATGTCTGCTAACTCGCTCGCATATTGTTTGTTCATCAACAGTGGCAGGTGTCGCAGGCGTCCCAACCGGCCCCCGCAGAACCGGCCGTGCCTGTGCAAGCATCAGCCGCGGCGACTCAGGCTGGAGGGAAGTCAGTTGCTCATCGGCCGATGCTTGTGGTGCCTGCAGCGAGAAGAGGGTGCCTCTGATCTGTCAGGTAGACGTGGCACCACCGCCGCCGCAGGCTGCCGTGACATAGATGGTCCCCTAAAAAGCACCGTCATCAGAATGCTCGAGCAGCTCGAGTCGAACTCAGCTGTGGTGGCAGTGTCTCGTCATCTTTCATGTGGCGTTTTGTGGTACTACCATCCCAATGTCGCCAGTCGAATCAACGAGCCGTCCGGTATCAGCGATGTTAGGGCGATAGCTGCTTTGAGAAGTTGCATCGGTACATCTGGAAGCAGGGCTGTTATCGGGAGGTGCCGCAGGCTGCGGCAGCGGCGCCGCCACAGGCGCCGGTGGGATAGAACGATTCCTCGCCCGGAGCTGGCGTCGAAGAAGACGCGTTCATCGTGCATGGATAGACGGACAGACAGCGGGATGCTGCAGAATGCCGGATGTCGCAGTGGGGTGGGCAGTTGGTCTAATTTTCGAACAGAGAAGATAAATTTGACCTGATAACTGTGTCGGATGCTGTCGGGGATCATTGAACACATGGCAGGCGTCCCAGGCGGCCCCTGCAGAACAGGCCGTGCCTGCGCAAGCATCAGCCGCGGCAGGGGCCCAGGCTGGAGGGAAGTCTGTCGGCCTTGGGTGTGCGAGCGCATGTGTCTACAAACAAGTGAGGGTGGCTCCGATCCAGCAGGCAGATGTGGCAGCACCCCCGCCACCGCCGCAGGCCAGAGCAGAGTGGGCCATCAGGATTCTCCGGCCCCTCGAGAGATGAATCGTAGCTACACAGGAATGCACTTAGACAGCAATGTCGGACGACACAACTTCCGGCTCCTTTCATCCTAACGAACCCCGACGCCCAGGCAAAGGCTTGTTCTGAGTGCGTGCATTGCGTGCATTGGCAGCAGGTACCGCAGGCTGCCGCAGTGGTGACGCCCTTGGCCCTGTCGGACATCTGCATCTGCACGGAGTGGGAGAGAGACAATATATAAGACCCTTGCTGTCTCATCATTCACCACCAGAGCATGTCAGCGGTGTAAAAAAGTGAGGGCTTTCTCTCTCACTCTCTCACTCTCACACTCTCTCACTTCAATCTCTCAATCTCAATCTCTCAATCGCTCAATCTATCTCTCAATCTCTCTCTCTCTCTCTCTCTCTCTCTCTCGTGATTTTGTGAGCGTTTTTTCCTGCGTTCTCTCTCCCTCTCTCCCTCTCTCCCTCTCTATCTCGGGTTGTGTTTCTTACTGTTCGTTTGTCACTGTAAAGTCTTCTGCACGGCAACCATGGAGACTGCAGGCTGCTGTAGGAAACCGCAGTTTCAGTGTTATAGGGTCTGCAGTTGGAGAATCTTGCACAGTGGGAAGTCTGGCTTGTTGACAGCGGGATCATGTCGGTAGCTGTTCCTTTGTTTAAAGCAATTTTCAAGTGGCGCATCGAGCAGCACCGCCAGTTGGTTAATTTCGCTCGTTTTCGTTTCCTTCGTAGCCCGTCTCTTGCAGGTGTCGGCGCAGCAGGCTCCTGCTTCGTTGCAGCCAGCGCCAGCCGCGCCAGCTACCACCCAGGCTGATTCAGATTCAGAGCCAAGCGAGTGATCGCCGCATGTCCCAGAAGGACACAGAAGTGATTTTTTTTGGGAGTGGAGCGATGCAGGCATTGTCCTGCGCCTGTCTGCATGTTGTTTTCTGCTTCTGCTTCTGTAGAAGACAGGGCATTCTCGGTCTTATGATTACGCTGCATGTCGATGCAGAAATCGTGGCCACCACCATCAGTGTCAAAGCTTCGGGCATTCTGTAGTCAGAAGCGAGACGGATCTCGGATGCTCATCAGGCAGAGGCGGCGCCACTGCCTCCGCAGGCGTCCGGACACGAGCAACGGTCATGCTCTCGCAACACGGCAGAGTGCAGTCTCCAGTGGTAGCAAGAAGCGCACATCAGTATTCCGAGTGAGAACCACCTGGCCTGCCGTGCTTCTCTCCGCTGATGCTGCTGCTTTGCCCTGAGCCCGACGGGCAAGCGATGGCTGAACTGCAACGGATCGTGCTCGAGAGAAGAAACTGGCCGTCCCCTCCGCATTCAACCTTATCGATTCTTATTGCATGCCTTCTCAAAGTCGGACGCTCCTCTCGATCCATCATCATGAAGCAGCCACTGGGATATTTTCAGCTTTATGCGTATCCAGGCCTCGTGCAGACAGAGCCAGAAAGACGAAACCAGAGACAGCGGGAGCCAGCAAGGGAGGGAGATGTGGAAGGAGGAGGGAGAGGATGAGTGCAAACCTTAAGGCCCAGGGCCCAGTCCTCCGAAAAACCGCTGCAGGCTGCAGCGGTGACACCTCAGGTGCTCTTTCTCTCCTGGTTACGGGTTCGATGATTCGGCTTTCCCGGGTCGAGCTCTGCAGTTGAGGGGCGAGCTCTCTGCACAAAAAAGCGGGAAGAAAGCTTTGTGGTCACTTCTTAGGTCAGCTCTTTCCCTGAAAGCCGGGAGTCTCGGATGTAGGGCTCTGAAGCTGCACAGGCTGCGCAGGCTTCTCCGACTGCAGCTTCGCCCCAGGCGAGTGTGGCTTGAAGGGGAAATCCGGGAAACTGAAGCAGAGAAGCTGAGGGAGGGTGTAAACTCTGGATTCATTGAAGTTTGAGATAGGCCCCGTCTTGAGCAGGATCCGATGCAAGGCCACCCCGAGTTGACCACAAGCTGCAAGAGCATCTCAACGACCCTGTCTGTCGCGCTTGCTGTGCCAGTTTGAGTTTCTACGTGGGCACAAGTTCTTGGATGTGCATGGCAGTTCAATTGTGATTTCCATATCGGGAAGAAGCAACACATCAGCATCTTTCGTCTTTGGTTTCGTTCCGTTCGCGCGTTTGGCCCAAGCCTGCCAGTCTCACTTCCGTTCAATTTGCCGTTTGCTTTTTCGGTTCCGGTCAGGTTTCCATGCAGGGGTCCATCGTCAATTTCGCTTCTATTTTTTTTGTTGTCTTTTCCTTGCAGTGTCTTCCGCTTGTGCGCTTGAACATGAAGCGGAACCTGAGAAAGTCTCCAGCCCTCGAAACGAACAACGGAAGCAGAGACCGAAATCCAGCACCCCACCTCCAAAACGGAAGCTGCAAGTTTTGATCGCTGTCGCCTTTCCCTTTCAGGTTCTGTTTGGTTTGTGGTTGTGGTCATTCGTGGCTTTCCGCTTCAGCTCCCGTTTCCATTTTTGCTCACTGCTGGAGTTTGGGGCGAAACCAGAACGGAACATGAAACGAAAGAGAAAGCCACAAACGGAAACAAACGAGGACGGGCACAAAAACGTGCCCACGCCATTGTGGCAGGATGTGGCAATTACCATGTTAGCTTATTGAGGATTCCCACACAGCTGTAGCTGCCTCGAATGAAGCCTGAAGCCTCAATTGGTGAGGCGCCAGTCGCAGGGAACCGTGAGGCCCCGTGGAATGGATGGAAGTTCTGCTATTGGTGGAGTGCTCTTGTCTTGGGAATCCTCGGAGACGTCTCCTGCGGCAACCGGGATTTAAGAATCAGCTGAAAGCAATTGTGTCTGAGAGTCGCAGAAGCTAAGTATGCAGCACACGTGATTTGAGATCTTGTGCACTGCAGCAGGCTGGACTTAAGTTTCTTAAGCCCGTTCGTCGCGACAAGGCCTCACAAGTGATGGGGGCGTCGACGCCCTCCACGAGGGAGGTGCCCTGTCAGTTCGGTTGACCCTGCGGAGCGGCCTCTGTTTTACCTCGGTTTGCCGTGCTGCGCCGGGCGTCGCAGGCTTCGCATTCACAGGCTTTGACCCCACAGGCCCGGCACAAGTGGCCAACAGTTGCGGGGCCAACATAAGTCTCTGCGTAAGGCTTCGCATGGCTTCGCTGTGCTCTGACTACAGAATCGCAGGCAAAGGCTTTGAAAAAGACAAAGTCGACGCGGCTCAAGGACGCTGCGTGATGCTTATGCGGACCGGCCTCAGAGCACCCTTGGTAATCGTTTTACTGGCCCGAGAGTTTTGATGACTCTGCGAAGCTAAGGGAGGAGCCCTTTCAACTTCCTTCTTGCGTTCCCACTATCTTGCGATAACGGAGGGTCTTTGCAAGGAGCATGAGACCTTGGATGACGACAACCAGGAGGAAGCCGAGGACGGATGGCACGTGAGGTTGAAATCTTTGTGAAGGTGAACCTTGGTAGCAACGCCCCAAGCTGTTATCCTGCTTGTGTAGAACTTTGGTGTCTTTCATGCCTTCTTGGCCTTCTTCGCAGCCAGCGCAGCTCTTACTCTTGTGATCCCAGCCTGGCTAGATTCGTTATCGGGTCATTTCTGTCATACCCCCCGGGCTGTGCAGCAGGATGAGTCCTCCGAAGACGAGAACGCAGAGGATGCCAACACACCTGGCGACTATCCTGACAACATGAGCAAGGACGAGGCCGCCACAGGTTCTATTCTGGGAAGACATCCCTGTTGCTTGATAGAAGTGTGATAGTGTGTCACACTTCACATCTTGAGAAGCTCTTGTGAGCCCCACTGGCACCTGAAGGTGAAAGAGAAGTCGCCACTAGGGCGCTTCGTTCGCTTCAACCGGAAGCTTGGATCTGGGTCCTACAAGACCGTTTGGCTGGGCTTCGACAACGACACAGGCGCGGGCAATCTCTTGCAGCCACTGCAGCTGTTGCCTGCTGCCTTCTGCCAAGGAATGGAGGTCGCCTGGAACATCATCTCGTTCCAGAACTTGGACAAGCAGCTCGTCTTTCAAGCTTGCAGAAGCCTGCAGTTACGGGAACATGCTATACTACTCTGAGGAAGGCAAAGAAGCGGATCTCCGACGAGATCCAGATGCTGAAAAACCTCAAGCATCCCAAGATCATCGCCTTTATCAATGCATGGACGAACAAGGAGCAAGAGAAGGCCCATCAAGAGTTCTTCTGTCTCCCCTAGCTCCATAAACTCCGTAGATGCACTGCCGGACAGGTCTGCTTCATTACCGAGCGGGTCACGGGAGGTTCCCTCCTGCAGTACATTAAGCGCATCAACGCGCCGCTGAAGCTCAAGGTGATCCGCAACTGGTGCAGGCAGATCTTGGAAGGTGCCTTGGCCGTACACTACATGTACATACTATGTAGCATCCCCTTATTTGGGCTTCTTCGGAGAGGGGTTTTGGGCTGCGAGCTCAGGTTTGAACTACCTTCACACGCGTCCGGACCCCATCATCCACAGAGACCTCAAGTGCGACAACATCTTCATCAACGGTGCCCTGGCTTTCGGCTACTTCTAGCACGAAGCGTTTAGGACGAATCCCGACACCTCCAAGGAAACCGTGGTGACATCGTCATCGGAGACCTGGGCCTGTCCACCACGCTGCGGGAGTCCTGCGCCGTGGCCCGGTCCATTGTGGGAACCGTCGATTTCATCGCCCCTGAGATCTACGATGTCCCTTGGTCTGCAGCTGCAGCCAGGGCATGGTTCCTGGTTCCCGCCCTGCCAAGATAACAAGTCGTGCTCTGCTGCCCAAGGAAAACTACGGCACGTCCGTGGACATCTACGCGTTCGGCATGGTACTTCTGGAGCTTCGAGGGGGCTGGGGTGTTGGCTGATGGGAAAGTCCTAGGGTGCAGGTGTCTGAAGGACCAGTAGTGTGTGTTTCTCCATTTGAGGGGCCGTCCCAAGACCTGAAGCCTTAAACCTGAGCCGATGCTAGCTGGAGTTTTGAAACCCACAACAAGGCGACAGTTGACATGAGCCGTAAAGCTAGTATTGGTACATGCTTTCCTGCAAGGAGATGATCGGGAGGGAGCAGCCCTGGAGCGAATGCGACACTCCAGGCGGAGCGGTCGAGGGCTTTCCGGGCTTTCCAGATTCTCACATGGGTTGCGGCAGGTTGGTTTGCTCACCTCCACCAGCAAGTGAAAATTAGTAGATGAATAGAGCACTACCTACCTACCTGCCTGCCTGCCTGCCTGCCTATCCAACTATTGATCTATCTACCCATCTACTTGTCTACCTATCTACCTATCTATTAACCTATCCACCTGTCTACCTATGTATCTACCTATCCACCTATCCACCTATCCACCTATCCACCTATCCACCTATCTACTTATCTATCTACCTATCCACCTATCTACCTATCTACCTACCTATCTACCTATCCACCTATCTATCTACCCATCCACCTATCTATCTATCTATCCATCTACCTACCTGTCTATCCATCTTCTATCCGACCCTATCTATCTAGCTATCGATCTATTTGTCAGTCTATCTGTCTACTGTCTGTACTGCATACGTGGGTATATGCATATGCAGATGCATGTATCTGACTCTCTCTCTCTCTCTCTCTCTCTCGCTCTCTCTCTCTCTCTCTATACTTTAACTATAACTATAACTATCTATATATATATATAGGCATTCGTAGATGTGTATGTGCTCGTATGTATTTGTATCTACAAATTTTGGAACACATTCCCGCAGACATATACATGTCTGTATATACATGTATATACATACATACGTACATACACACATACCTACGTGCATACATACGTACATACATACGTGCATCCATGCATGCTATCTATACATAGATACATATGTATATTTATGTATGTACGTACTTACATATGTATGTATGTATGCATGCATGTATGTATGTATGTGGGTATGTATGGTCATGATTCATCGGCCTGCAAGCGATTATTCTATTTATCTCATTTGCAAACAAACAACGAATGTCGCACATGTAGGAATGTTGTGAAAGAGCAAGACCGCTGGGTTGCTTGCTGCGCCGTGGTCTCTGGTGGGTTGCTCTGAGGGCAGATCTACAAGAAGGTCCTGGCCGGAGAGCGTCCAAGAAACCTTCGCAGGGTGAAGGCAGGGTACAGCAGGGTTTCGATCCGGCAAGTGTAGCTTCGGTTGATGCCTTGAACAAGCGGCGCAGTACTCCGACCTTGCAATTGTATCCGTGATGACCAATGGCTGGTGACACTTTCCCCTGCTATTGCTGGTTGCTTCTCGTGCCACCTCTAAACTGCAGCTGTCGTGAGCGTGAGAACCGCATTAGCAAGGATGAGCTGCTACGCAGCATCGTGATGCAGTGCTCGCGAATGGTTCGGCGCCAAGTGCTCTTGAGCAGCGTGAGGGCTTGGAGTTGAGGTTTGATTGTAGCAGGCCGAGCACACGGTGCGGTTGACGTTGACCCCAGCCCGTAGTTTCTTCAGTCCTGAAGCTTGCCAGAAGCCCGACGAGCGCCCCACGGCGCAGCAGCTCTTGGATCACTCCTGGCTGGAGGAAACGGATGGCCCCAGCCCTGGGTGTTCTCAGACCCAGCAACTTCTCCCATCTGTCGGAAACCTCCACAGATGTCAAGTATCGAAGCCTCTCCTCACCAGGGAACCGGCTCTGCGAGCTCCTTCCCCCCGAAGAAGCACCGGACGATGTCCCAGACGTGGATATCTTCCCGAAGGCCGCTTCAGTCTGAGGGACCCTGCGAACTGCCTGGAGTAGACGGTAGAGTCGTAGACTCTGGGGAAGAAGTTGAGAGCCTATGTCCTATGTTCTGCCAGTTGCAGCCGCAGCTACCCCAAATCATGGAGGAGGATGAGGACCTCCAGGTGCGGTGGGCGGGACTTGTGCAGAAGCGGTTTCGACATCCAAGTGCTCCCTCTGGAGCTCAGCCGCCCCAAATTCCTTGCTACCAGGATGGTGCGGCGCTCCCGCTCAGTCAGCACCCTCACTCAGCCGATGCTCGCTGCGCTTTCGCCCATTGGGTGTGCGGAGTGGTTAACCTGGCATATCTTAGCCACTCTAAGTCTGCAAGTGGTCCGATCTGGGAAGTTTGACATCCGAGCTTCTCACTCCTCTTTCTCGGAGAGGGTCAGTGCCAGTGCCCCAAAGCTCGGAAGCCTCAGAAGTCCTTCGGGCTCTGAGGTCGGAGGCTGATCTGCCAGCGGCTCGGAAAAGGGCACCGACGAATGCAGCAGGGAAAGCATCGGGAAGTCGTCTTGTCAGGGAAGTTGTCGCATGGTGTGCAGCTCCGGGTGCTAACGACATGGGGTGATGGGGTCGAGTGCCTCGTTTGCCGAAGCCACGCCCTGTCCGAGACCGCACCATTTTTAGTGAAGATGCACGGGCAGATGCACGTCCTTGCCTTTCTTCTGCCCCTCGCAGCGAGCTTTGCTGCGAGCTCGAGCTCCGAATGTGAGGCTTCGGAGGCCTCCTTGCTGCAAACAGCGACGGCGAGCGGCATGAGCTGCTCACCGCTTCCGAGCATCACCTGTGACGCCCAGTCTGGTCAGATGCCACGGGCGCACAGCAAGAGGCAGATGAGGCTGGTCAAGGACCTTGATCCGTCCATTGGACTGACCCCTTGGAACTGCTCCCTGTGCTATAATGATCCCAATGCCGCCACGGTCTACGGCGTCGAGCGTTGGGACGGCCTGGGCCAGAGGGCAGCGAGCCTCATCAACTTCATGGCGCTGGCAGCCCATCTGAAGCTAAACTTTGGTGGCCTCCTGCCGAACCCTTCAGAGAGGGAGCATGGGGTGTACATCCCAAAGTGCATGACCCAGCTTTTTGGGACCAACTACAAGGAACTGCGGAGATTCGCTCCCGAGCCCCACTTCGACCTCTGCCTCTTCGGGCCCGAGGCCATCCAAGAGGCCGTGAACGAGAGGCCCTGGCAGAAGCAGCAGAGCATTCTCATCGAAGAGTGTGGCAACGGCCGGGAGTTCGTTGACTACTTGACGCCGGAGTTTCAAGAGCGACTCTGGGTTCTTGTTAAGGGATATATTTAGTTTAAGGTACCATAAGAGGGATATACAGTACATACTTCATGATTTCCCTATCAGGGCACCTTAAATTGAGTCCCTTGATAAGAACCCAGGACTCCGTCAGTCGACGAAACTCCAACGCTCGGGGGCCTTCCACTTCGCCTCGCGCGGCCCGGCGGTGAAAGTCGCCGTGCACGTGCGCCGCGGCGACTTGACGAACCGGGAGCATCTTCGTCATAGTTGGGTAACATTCTGCATTTTTATGGGTACTTAAACCCAATGAAAAATATCAATGTGCAGTTTAGAAATCCTGTCCCAACCATGAACTAGGCATTGGGCTCACCGAAATGTGGCAGATGAGATTTACATGGGACTCATTCAGGCAGTGAAAGATGCCTTGAACGAGCTGGGACGGACGGCCGAGGTCCATGTCTTTAGCTCCACGGAAGGTGGTAAGTTCTCCTCCGAGGACTTCGATGGGTACAGGTCCAAGCAGATGCAGGTGCACCTGAATGGAAAGGTGCGGGCCGAGAAACTCCATTCCCGCTTGTTGTTTCACAAATTCCAGCTCTATTGCTAAGCCGGTCCTCCCTGAGGAAGTCGACGATTGGACGCACATGACCCATGCCGATGTCCTGATCCAGGCCCCGAGTGCCTTCTCCTGGGTGCCCGGCGTCCTGACTCTCGGCAAAGGTCTCCAGGGCAAACGCAGAAACCTGTTTACAGGCGATCGAACCAACCTGTGCATGTCACGACTGGATCGCAGCCGAGGAACTCCAAGTGCGTGCTGGCTTTCGACTCGCACCGCGGTTCACCTGTAGGAACCCGCAGTGCGTTGTTTTGTTTGTTTGTTGGCTTATGCATTGTTTTGAGAATTTGAAGACGTCCAATGAGAGACTCGACGCTGAGGTATCCAAAGGCGCTGGAAGGCTGGATCGTGCATACCCAAGGCCAGCTTGACTCTGCCAACAAGCAGCATCTGCGTGATTGTATCTCGACAAAGGTTTTTCCTTCCGGGGAAGTTTAAAACTTGAATTCCGGACTGCCTTGCACCGACTTCACGAGGGAGGTTTCTGGGCTGACCCGATGGCAACCAGCCAACCTCGGAATGAGTCACCAAAGCTCCAGTGACAACTCATAAGACACAAGATTCATAAGGTCCCAGCAAGAGGCTGCGACCCGCAAAAAGACGTAGTTCTGGCAAATTGCCTGGCCCGCTCTGCTGCAGCAGTTTGGAGACCGAAAAGGGCAGCGCCTCCGGCCGTGTGCTCCTCCTCGGCTACGTGCCTCGTGCTGCTTTCTCATTTCTCATCCAGGTTGAGGGGCAGTCGGCGGCTCCGTCGGGAGCCCGGCCCGTTCCTGGATCTCGGATGCTTCCGGGCATTCCGCATCAAAGATAACCAGAGCCGAACCTGAGGCTTAACAGCCGTAACGCTCCCCGTGGGGTGGCCCTCTTTGAGACATGCCACCTCCGTAGTCTGCAGTCCCTTCTCGCGGTGATCTCGTGAAGTCTGCCATGAAGCCCAGAAGCCGCCTGTCAGGCGAGCCGGAGGACCAAACCAGGCTCGATTCGGGAGAAGTGGGTGAAGAGATTGGGTTCGTCTTCGCATCAAAAATGAATCCGATTTAGCTACGCAGCAGTCATACAATGGCAAAGGATTCATTCCCAAAGGTAGCAGCCGTGGCTGAAGCTGCAACAATGCCAGCCTGCCCAGGAACGGGAGTCAGCACAATAGCTTTCAGCTCTTCCTGTAACCGGCTTCATGGCCATGATAGCCGGGCCCAGGCATGCCGGAGTTTTGACGGCAGCCCTCGGAACTTCCCTACTCGCCAGTCTTCTCAAACAAAATTCGCCAGTCTTCTCAAAGAAAATGCGGGACAATGTGCAGCAACTCCACCTAGGATCCGCAGCAGCATCAAACGGGACCACGGACAAGAGAGGCTACCTTTGACAGTTTTGTCCCTTGCATGTGGGGGTGGAGTCATAGAGGTCCGGATTGGGTTTTTTAAAAACCTAAAACCTATGTTTTGTAAAAAACCTATGAGCCAGATGCCTATTTTCGGAGAGGCCCAGCTCGCCGGAGCAGCAGTCGCCGCCTCCTGGCAGATCTGCAGGGGATGTCTAATTGCTCGTGGCTAGAGCACATGAAGGGAAAGCAGGAGGTGCCGCCTTTCGGGGGGCCGGCGGGGGGGGGGACGGTTCTGCTGTTCCCAGGCACCTGTCTTCTTTCCCGGCTCAATAAAAGACCTGCAGGGTCTCGTAGGGACGAGAGAATGGCAAGAGATGGCCCTGAAGCAGCCTCGCCCGTCCGAGGTCCAGTAATTCGCGTCAGCTCGGAGCCATGAGCACCGAGCAGGGAAGCGACCCCGACCTGCTTTCGCCAGCTTTAGTCAGATCGTCAATAGCAAGGAACATGATCGTTTGAAGTTGCTCAACATAGGGAAGACGGAAGGTGGGTCCTTCACTTTCACGGACGGGCCTTCCTCAGAACGCTCCGGTAGGAACAGCCGATGTTTATCTCTGATGTCGAAGTTCTAACCAGCAGTAGACTACGTCAGAAAGAAGCGAGGGTTGAGCCTTCTGGGCGCAGATCCATAGCCTTATGTTCAGAGCTCAGACCCCATGATTTGCTGAGGATGCTGCGACTAGCTCAGGGCGACAACGTGGGTTTCGAAGTTGTTTTAGAAGGACCGCAGCCGTGAGTGAGTGAGTGAGTGACTGACTGAGGGACCGATTGACTGATTGATCGATTGACCGGTGGATGGCTGAGTAGCTTTGTTATTGAAATACTGTTTGATTTGATCATCAAGCCGTCAGTTGCAATCAACCTGTCAATCATAGTCAATCAAAAACTTGATTGCTTACTGCATGCATGCATGAATGGATGGACAGACGGATGAACAATTGGACGAATGCACGACTCAATGAATAAAAACGTGAATGAGTGAGTAAGTGAATGAATGCATGCATGCATGCATGAATGAATGAATGAATGAGTGAGTGAATAAATGAATGAACGAGTGAATGACATGAGTGAGTGAATGACATGAGTGAGTGAGTGAGTGAGGGAGTGCCTGAGTCAGCGAGTGAATGAATGAAATTTAATTTGCGAAATGATCCGCGGGTTGACTGATGGCAATTCTTGACTGGCCCTGATGTTAACGGGAAATTATCGACCAGTTATTTGGTCAATTACTCATGAGTCCGTCAGTGCAACATTTAATTGGTAAGTGAATCGTTGTTTGCGAATTCGTTTGAACAACAATTCACATCGGATCAGCGTTAGCTATTTAGTTAGCTGGTCATTCAGTTGGAAGTATTTGTCAGCGGATTAGTCAACCCATCGACTGATCAAGCAACCAGCCTATCAGGCAAACGATTAAGCAAATAGTTAGCAAACTACTGAATGGCTAGACGGGATTAGCTAGTCATGCGTATGAAAACTATACGTATGTATGTCTGTATGTCCGTTTTTCTGTGTGTCTATCTGTCTGCATGTACGTCGGTTTGTCTGTATGTACTGTACGCGTGTACCTATGAATGTATGTATGCACGTATGCATGCATGCATGTATGTGCGTGTCTGAATAAATATGTATATGAATGTATGAATATGTTTATGCAGATGTTTACCTATCAGTACATGTGCAATTCTGTTGTCCTTCTTTGTTCATGCACTTTCGGCCAGGCTCCGTGGATTCTCACACAGATGCCGCTGCTCATGCTGTACAGGAGGAGGCGTCGAAAGGTGCCACGCCAGGGGACTCAAGTTCAAGTGTGCCAAAAAGACCTAGTCGTCGATATTTGACGCGATTCTCACCATCAACTGGTTTTTGCATTCAGTAGGCTGCGGTCATCAAGCGGCCATCGTAATCTCGCAGAGGTGTTTGTTTGGATGCCCTTGTCGACAACTGTGCAAGAAGATTCTTGATCTCGCATGCCGCCAGCGTCTGTTGCTGTCTTCACGGCTTCAGCTCTTAGTCGACTTCGTTTTGCCCCAGGGAAGCTGAAACCTGCCGTGAAATCCGCCTGCAGCGACAGCTATGGCAGAGACGTTCGCCTTCAATGCTGACATCCAGCAGTTGATGTCCCTCATCATCAACACCTTCTACTCCAACAAGGAGATCTTCCTCCGAGAGCTCATCTCGAACGCATCGGATGCCCTGGACAAGATCCGGTAGCAGTCCCAGTCAGTGTCTCTGCAGTCGCTTCGCCAGTATCTTGCGGTTTTGTAGTTTTTGTTTGTCGTCTTGTCTTCCACTGAGGTACGAGTCCATCACGGACCCCGACAAAATCGAGGCACAACCTGAGATCACGGCAGTGGTGTGGGGATGAGCAGAGCAGCAGACACGTGAAGTCTGGTTTCGGTGCTACTGTTTTGAACTGGCTGGGCTGCGCAAGTCTGGCCATCAATATACGGGGGCTTAGGCTAGGCCTGGCATAACAACAACTTTCAGGCTCAGCCGAACTTTTTCATCAAGATCATTCCCGACAAGACGAACTCCACCTTGACTATCGAGGATTCCGGTATCGGCATGACCAAGAACGAATTGAGTGGCTACATGTACACCTCCTGCGCCTCAGCGTGCTCGGTGGCCACGGGACCTCCTCCTCTTGACACGGGGCAGAGGGGCGAGGTAGCGAAGTTACATGCAGGTGACCCTCACTGGGAGATGCTGATTGTCATCATGGCGAGGCATGTGGGCATACCGCTTTGCTTGCAGCTGACCTTGGCGAGCCTTGATGTGGATCGGGCCCTACTGCGGGGTTCGTGTCGGGGAAGCCTCTCACCCCGGGCCGTCTGGTGGCGGTTCCCGGGCGACTGACCGAAGACGAGAGGAGAGAGAGACTGGTGGAGATGATGGCGATGCCTTGGGCCTCGCCTCAATCCTCCGTCCTTTGATTGAGAAGCTGCTCCGGGAAGTTCTCCGTGACCTCCTTGGCTGCAGCGGCTTGAAGCAACTGATGGCGGGCATGCTTGCGGGTGAGCAGCCTGCCGCGAGGACTTCTTCTACGGCTTCTCCTGCTGTGGGTGGCGAGGCCGAGGACGAGGGCAAGAGCGCTGGTTGCGAGAAGGCGACTGGCAATTGCCCGACGACTAGTGGCGAGAAGGCGGCTGGCAAGGGCCCGAGCACTGGTGGCGAGAAGGCTGGTGGCAAGGGCAAGAGCACTGGTGGCGAGAAGGCGTCTGGCAAGGGCCCGAGCACTGGTGGTGGCGAGAAGGCGACTGGCAAGAGCAAAGCGGAGAGTGGCGACGGAGAGTGGATCACAGTTGGGCCCCGCGGTGGTGGCGACTGGCAGCTCCGTGCGTCGGACTGGACAGACCCTTTGCTTTCCTACGAGGAGCTGGTGCGACTGGCTGCAGACGCTACTTCCGTGGTCAGGGCCGTCGCAAAGGTGAACGAGGAGCAGAAGGACACACTTGTGTCCCTCTTCCGTGGGTCTGGTCGGGCCCACGCTTTGCTGTTGGTGGAGCTGAAGCAGGGACCTGACTCTGAGCAGTGCCCGGGCACACAAGGGGGCAAGCTGACCTTCAAGCAAGTTTCCTTTACGAGGGCTTGCTCGACTGGCGTCGAGCCTCCGGGACCCAAGGTGAAAGCTGCGAATTCCAAGGTGGAGCTGCAGCGCAGCTCTGTGATCGTGCGCTTTGTCCAGCGCTTCATGGACAAGGAGGCTTGGAGCTCTGCCTTGAAGATGCCGCAGAAGGCCTTGCTTGCCCACCTGAGCAAGCATCGGCTGAAGGCCATGGACACATGGGGCTGGGTCGTTGAGGCCGGGCCTGGTGGCGATGGGCAGCAGATCTTCGGCAAGTGCCGGCCTGCTGATGGAGATGTGGCCACCTTACTGGCGACGAGCGGCCAGGCGGCTTTCTTCGACCCGAGCCGCAGTTTCAACATGGGCCCAGTGGTGACGCAGTGGCAGCCGCAGCAGGACCGGGAAAGCAATGCTGCTTACCTTGCGCGCTGTCTGACGCTCCAGTCGGACTTTGGGCTGGTCGTTGGCCGCAAGCAGCTGGGCAAACGGGTCAAGCATGATCCGAGCGTGCCGGTGAAGAGGCTCTGGTTAGCCGAGGCCGTGCCGAACGTTGTGACGGTGGATCAGCTCTCCACTGTCCTGGGCGCTGCTTTTGAGGAGGTGGAGATGGTGCATCAACGCCGGCGCGCTGGCTGCAAAGACTATAACCTTTCGCGGCACCACGGCCGAGCAAGCTGACAGCATGGCGATCCCCTTGGTCTACGGTGATGACAGCATCACGCTTTGGGTTCGGCACGCTCGGCCAGGCGCAGGAGATCCGCACTTCTGGTGCCTGGTCGCTGTTGGGGCCTCGGTCTCTTTTGGCAGCGAGCCGAGGGCTGATGCGCCGGAGGCTCCGGCGGGCCTTGGCGAGGCGGAGGATGAGAACGACGAGGGCACGACGGCGGCGGGTGCGCCCGCGGCGCAGAAGGAGGCTGCAGCACTTTCGCAAAAATGAAGCTCGATACGATGGCACCTGGGATCGGGAAATGCCTGATAGGACTCAGGCCAAGGATTGGTCCGGCTACGTGGCGTCCATCGAAACCGATAAGGTTTGGGGTGGGCTGTTGGAATTGCGTGGGGCCTGTCGAGTTTTCGATGTGAGAGTGATCGTTTTCCCGCAGAGTGAATGGCAGGAGCCTTTCCATCTCCATTCTCAGGCGCGCAAAAGGGTCATTTGTCTGTATTTCACCGGCAGCCACTATGACCTGATTGAGGGCACGGACGGTGGTCTCCCGAAGGCATCAAAGGGGCCTGGGAGGAGGTCCCTGTGAGAGGAGGCGGCGAGGGTGATGCCACGCCGGCCTCCGTCTGGACTTCGACGGTGTCAGCGAGGCGGATGCGATGGCCTCAGTGTGGACGCGATCCTCCAGATCGACTTCCAAGCGGAGCGCGGCGGTGCGATCAGGGCCGGCGGCTTCTGCACGGTCAGTTTGGACTGGGGCTGGCCAGGTGACCTCGGTGGCGGTGGGGGCAAAGCGCACTTTCTCCACGGCTTCTGCGGGCACCGGACCTGCTGCTAACGTCTGTGTGGCGGACTTTCTGGATGGGGAGGAGCCGGCTGCTCCCAAGAATGCCTTGGTGGCCTGCTACCGCAGAGGCACCTCGCGCAATCCTTCCAAAGTCAAGGACGGCGACTACCAGGAGAAGTGCGAGTATTGTGCTAAAGTCTTCAAGGCCAAGACGGCGACGCAGCTGAGCCAGCGCAGGTACGACCATTACCGCGTGTGGCACCCGGAGCTCCCTCGATGCCACACGCTCTGCACACCGGAGGCTCGCATATGCAGGTTGGCCAAAAGTGCGCCGGCGGACTGGCGGTGCCCTTTGTGTTCCTTTGGCGTCCCGCAGGGTGAACTGGCTATAAGGTTTCGCAGGGCAAGTTCACGCAGGCGAGGGAGGCACACCGGGAGCGCTGTCATGCCAAAGTGACGGCGGCACAGTATGCCATCAAGTGCCGTGCCCAAGGATTGAGAGCCCCTGCGGTTGTGATGAAGCGCCGCACCAATGCTCTGAACCGTGGATTGGGCAAGCGGCTACGTGCCGCTGCGACTTCTTCGGCCAATGCATTTTGCCAGATGTCGACAGCGTCTGGCAAAACGCACTGTGACCTATACTCCTGGGGTCCACTCTCCGACCTTTCACGTGGCCCATGATTCGGAGCGCCAGCAAGAAGTATCCTGCCAGGATTGTGCTCTATGCTGCCTGGAGATGCACACAGTGCGTCGGATGTTTTCGAACTTTGCGGGTGGCCCAGCGCCACAAGTGCACCGGGACCTTGGCGTGGCGGGTGAGGGGCAGGCTTCGCGCCGGCGCACCGCTATCAGCATGGGCTCGATGCCAAGATGTTAGAGGGCATCCTCACGAGTGCCCACACCATGTTGAGCGGCTCTTCGATGCAATGATCGAGCTCGCTACGCTGAACATAGGCAAGGCGGGCGCGGCCAAGGTGAACGCGTTGGCCGATATTATGTTCGACGACACTTTTCCTGTTACAGTTTTGTGTGTGCAGGAGCTCGACCTCGACGAGCCCTCGGCACCGACCTTCCTGGCCATGCTTCGTGGCCGGGGCTTGCACGTTTTTCTCAGCCCGGTGGACAACGGCTTGTACAGGTGCGCTGTCCTGGCTAAGGTGGCGGGTCGTGCAGTCAACTTGTGCAGTGGACGGCTACTTTTGAGTTTATGAGGGGCGACTGCTCCACAAAGGTGGTGGTGGCCTCGTTTTATGGTTGTGCATGGAACACTGAGGTTGCAATGCAGGGGGCGCTGGAGGCGGTGGAGCCGCTCAAGCTTACTGGCTCTCCGTGGGTGCTGCTGGGTGTCTTTAACCTGGAGCAGTTCTCTGAGCCCATGGCGGCCAACCTGGCTTCTGGTTTCGCTTGGGCCTGGGATGATGGTTTCCAGGGCTGGGGTCGCTGCCTGCCACACGTGTTTCGGGGCGGCGGTTGGATTAGTTCTTCCCGTCTACGGTACGGCAGCGCTGGACCTTCTCGGATCACGCGCAGGTTGCCTACGAGCTGGACTTGGAGGACCCGGTGGGTCATAGAGGCCCGGCCTTTCGGGGCCTCTCTTCGACGAGCGCTGTGACTGAGGCGCAGTGGGAGGCTGCTTGGAGTGAAGCTGGTTTTCAGGCGGCGCTGGAGGCTGGCGACTTGGATGGCGCATGGACTTTGATTTCTGACGGTTCTGACGTGGCAGAGGACCTCCTCGGCGAGCCGGGTGCGAGCGGTGCGAGGCGCTCTACTTCGTGGCGGCCGGTGCTGCGGGCACATCCTCGGAGTCGCGCTGCTGGTGCCCAGGACTCCTTGGTGCTAGTGCGTCTTCGTCGGCTTCAGCGGCGGGTGGCTCAGCTTGGGCATCGTCCTGGCGATCGACGGCTTGGGCGGCGCATTTGGCATGTGACTTGGTGAACCAGGTGCCGTGGCTCGCGGAGCTGCCCTACTTCGAGATGGAGGCGTGGAGTGACTGGCTCGAGGAGCGAGTTCAGGAGGAGGAGGCACGCTGCAAGACGGCGGCCGTTGCTGCTTGGCGGGGGAAGATGGATACCTCTGAGCCCTGCCTTTTGTCGTGGATCAAGCGGCGGGAGCAGCTGAATGTGGAGATGGAGCGGCCCCAGCTCGGAGCTGATGAGGTTCGTGAGTGCAAGGCCATCCACCCGACCCAGGTGCTGAAGGAGTCGGAGGAGGCCTGGATGCGGCTATGGGGACGCCGGGATGCGACTGGGCGCGTGGGCCAGTTGCTGTCGCAGCGTTGAGTTCTTGTGGCGACCCACCTTCACTGCGGAGGGACTTCGCAAAGTTGGCAAGGAGATGGCGCAGAAGGCGGCGGGGCCAGACGGTTGGTCTACCTCTTCGTGGTGTCTGCTTCCGGATGGCTTCTGGCATGCGCTCGGCCGGGTCTGGACTAGAGTGCTTGACTTGGGGGCCACGCCGGCCCTTTGGCGCCGCGGCCGGGTGGTGCTAGTGCCCAAAACGTCTGGTGGGCACAGACCGCTCACCATCCTGGCGTGTGCATGGCGAGTGGGTTGTCGTCTCTTGATCCAGCAACTGGCGGGGTGGATCGACACATGGGCCACTCACCGGACTCTGGGAGGCGTTTGCAAGAGAGGCGTTCAGGATTGTAGACTCCCTGGAGCAAGCCCCTCTGTACATCCAGGAGGACCTCACCAAGTTCTTCGACGGCATCCGGGTGCCGGACCTGGTGCTCACGTTGGAGCGGCTGGGTGCACCGGGTATGTTGGTGCAGCTTCTGCAGAGTTTCTACGGTGACCATAGTCGCGTCTTCACGGTCAGTGGCATGGTTGGCCCGCGGTGGTGCCAGGTGCACTGCGGCATTGCTCAGGGCTGCCCTCTTTCTCCAGCGCTTGCCGGCGCCATCATGGCTATGTGGTCCTTTGTGACGGAGCGTGGAGCAGAGGATGCGGTTTCGACGATGAGTTTTGTGGACGACCGGCTGCTGTGGGCTGGTACACCTGGGCAGGTTTTGGCTGCCAAGTGACGCAGCAGCAACTTCGATGCTGCCTACGGTTTCCGCTGTGACAAGCTCAAGAGCCGGTTTGTGCACAACAGGCCGAGTGAGGAGGTGACTGAGCTGAGCGAGGCCCTGGACTACGAGGTCTCCGACTGCCTTTCCCTGCTTGGTGTGGTGGTGCCACTCGATGTGACGCAGCGGCCGGTGCTCAAGGACTTTGACTTGCGGAAGGCCTTGCGGAGGCTCCGGTTGATCACTGTGGCTGCCCATGGCTTGGAGCGCAAGAAGCGCATGCTCACTGTGCTGGTGGTTCCGATGTTGACTTGGGCCGGTGGCTTTGCGTCAGTCCCTCCGGAGCTGCTTCAGGAGCTCGTTGCAAGTTTTCGTTGCATGCTCGGCAAGGACGCTGCGGTGGACACGTCGTGGCTGCTGTGCTGTGAGGTTTGTGGATGGAGGTGCATCCGGGCTACCCGGCGGACCTTTCGGCCCTCAGGCACTGTGGATCGAGGACGCCCCGCTGCGCCTGGTGACGAAACGGTGGCCTCAGCTTCTGCCCTTTGCGGTCGAGATCCTCACGAGGCTGGGCTGGTGGCGTGGTCGTGACGGCCGCCACTTTTTCCGGCGCGACTCCTACGGCCAGGTTCGGCGCTTTGAGCTCGGCGTGGACACCTTTGCGGTTGTGGAAAAAACTGGCACAGACAGAAACCTGATGCGTTGCTTGGAATGTGCACCGAAAAGTCTTTCCTGCCGCGGCCTGAAACAAGCGAGCTCTGCATTGCTTCTCTTATACCCTTAGACCCGGGCCTGGCAGTACCTGTAGGTGCTGCGCCTGCAGTGCCGGTGCATGAAGATGTACCGAAGCCGCCGCCTGGAGCTGAGCAGAGCGCCGGAAGGAAAGTAGGTGGGGTGATCCACCATGGTATGATGCCACTCTCGCATGGCAGCAAGATGAGCCATGATGCGCCAGAGCGTAGCATCACATGATGCATCGCATATTGCTGAAGTGCCACATGACATAGTGGTACTTCACGAGAAATCAACCAGTGGTGCACAGTGTTGCATTGCACAGCACAGCGCCGGAGATACACTTCAGAGGATGGGTGCTGAATTTGTATGCATGTGTACAATTTTCCATATCATGTCATGCAGCGCCATGCCGTGACACATTAGTCATGGGACATCCTCCAACGTCATGCCGTGCGTCATAAGCTTTTGTTGGGCACCCTCCTAGACGCCTCCTTTGAACTTGGAGCAGATGTTTCGTTAACCGGGTGTGGCCGTGTGTACTGGAGGGGTGAGTGGAGGCGGACAGCGGGCTGACCACTGCCTTGCATCGGTGTGCCTCGTGTCCTCGCCCCTAGGCTCCACAAGTTCCCAATCTCAAGACCCGCCTGGAGGCCCGAGCAGCCACCCGCAGAGTCGACGGGAGGTCCTCGGAGCGTCTGAGGAGGATTTCAACTTTGGGCTTTGGGGCACGGCAGCAGTCATTTCAGTGCTCAGTGCTTGGGTGGCAATTCTCCTGCTGCCAGAACCTCGATTCTTGCCTTTCGAAATGGGCAGGTGTGGCACCAGAAGTCCCGAGGCTGGAGCGTGAGCCAGCTTCACTGGAAGAGCCCGTGTGCCAATCCTCTGTGTTTTCTTGCACTCCGTTTGGACATGCATAGGCTGCCGCCAACAGAGCCGGAGCCAGCGAGGGCCTTGATGGGCTGTGTCTGCGAGACTGACATCAAGGCTCTTGACTTCTGGACGCGGGACTTGATGTGAAACGATGAGCGTCCACGTGTCAAAGGACGCTGGCCGGCAAAGCTGCAGGACACATCTTGCAGAAAATATGCCTATCTACGGAATCTACGGGAGAATAGCCGGTTGGATACTACCTACAGACCGTAGGATCACGTATCGACTATGATATTGTGAGTGGTTACCCACTGGTTTCAACTTTTGGACCAACGTTCCACTACGGCTGAGGTTCATGTACAGTCCGTTCAGGATTTGCCGGCGGAGCCTGGAACCCAGAGTGAGACCAGTCTGCCTGTCGTGCCATAACACCCCTAAATCCTCAGCCTTTGGCTGAAGCCCAACTGCCTCCTGTCACATCATGCAGTGTGCAGGTTATTCTGGGACAAAGCCTAAACCCTAAACCCTAAACCAATGGTGATCTGGAGCCCAGGCCGGCGCATCCTGAAGAGCCTCGTCCGGGGCGAGGTCGGGATTTGCAAGAGCGACTGCGGATGCGGCCTGTGGTTCGACCTGTCTGCTCTTGTGACACCTGTCGAAATGGCCATGGAACCCCAAACCCTAAAACCCTAAACCCAAAATTTCCAATACCTTAACACCCAGATGGAAAAGAGAGTTAGAAAAAACCTTAACACCCTATAGACCCAAAGCCCTAAATTCTACAACCCTAAAGTAACCCTAAAGCCTGTGCCCTGCAGATGCGGCCACCACGCCCACGCAGCCAGCAGAGGCCAGGCCGACAGTCCTAGCGGAGCTTAGCGTCTTTGAAATGGGTCGTCAAAATTATGGCCCCCTTTTTGGGTCTCTATCAATTTAGGGTACCCAAAAAAAAGGCCATAATTTTGACAACCACCCGAATTAGTACCGATAACAATAATGATTATGAGCTTAGTAATATTAATTAGAGTACTTAATATTTAGTAATACCAATCATGATTTTAATGTTACTAATGTTCTTCTCCGCTGAGACTAATCGGTCCGTTTTACAGGTGCTGGCACCTCTGGCACACCCTACGATGGGTCGGGCACTCGACTGCTTGGGCCGCTGCGCAGATTAAGATTCTGCTGCATGGCACAGTCCGGAGTTCATGAGCTTTCCAACTCAATGGTTGGGCACGCGCAGAGTTTGTTCCGGCTGTCATCAGACGACCCGAAATGTTTGTTTCAGGACCGCCGGATGTCACCAGTCCGAGGCATCTAAGGCAGTGGGCAAGTCATCGGGTGTTGTATCCGGCTCGAGATTTGGGATTTTTTTTAAGATTCTTCCTGGGAGGTTAGGCCTTCGTGCTGTGCCAGGCCGATGGACACCCTTGAAGAGCCGGAGCCGGATCCGGAGGATGGCGAGGTCAGGGTGAAGACTAGTGTACTAGAGCTCTGCCCTGTTGAAGTCAATCAGAATTACTATCTTTGTAAGCGTCATCACCATTTGTTTTCTTCCTTGTCTTCTTCGTTGCCAGCAATACTGCGAGTAGCATATCCGCGCTCTCAAAAGGCGATGACTTCAGGTGTGGTAGTGATGTTTACGGCGATGATGACGATTCGGATCGCGGTCGCTACGAAGAATCACTACGTCTGCAGAGTGAGCGCTTCAGACACCCACTCCTCCCACTCACGACATCACTCAGCACCCTTTGCACAAAACAGCACATGCGAGATAGCAAATTCACATCTGTGAAGTGACTGAGCAGCTGGAGAAGGTGGAATGGGAATGGCAGTTGGCCAATGAAAGTGAGCAAACAAGGAGCAAAAGAAGAAGAAAAAGAAGAAGCAGAGCACGAATGCAAAGGTAGTGTTGTTCGATCGCTGCATCTCCGAGGAGACACAAAAGCTGCCCCAGCCGCCTAGCTTCGTGAGCGAGGCGACTAACGGGCTTTTGTCAGAGCTTGGGTAGTAGGACGTAAAAAATTAGAGTTGTCGGGTACACCTTGAGAGTTCATGAAGCTGGTGAGGCTGGATCTTTAGAGCCTTCATGCTTCAAGGACTGTGCCCCACCCGGCCCCGGCAGAGTCCTGTTCGAAGCATCGTGCGGAGGCCGAGACGAGCATCGTTGGTGGTGAGGCACGGAGCAGACAGCGAGCGAGTGTTGTGCGAGCGGGTTTTGTAGGGCTACTGATAGGCTTTGTAAGCCGCCTGCCCTGCCAGGAGCCGGCGAGGCTCCCACAACCACAGAGTTTTGCGACCGCCAGCGAGGCCCGATGGCCACCGTTCGAGATGGGTTCGTCCTTTTTTGTTCTGGTTGTGGTTGCTGTGATGGCGGTGGCAGTGGCGGTGGTGGCGGCGACGGTGGCAGTGGTGGTGGTGGTTGCGGTGATAGTGCGTTGTTCACTCCTGCCAGTGCCGGTGCAAAGCAGCCCGAATTCGCGAAAACAACCTGCAGAGATGTGCCTGCTGCGGGCGAGCCTGCTTGTTTCGGGCTAGACGAGTTTTTCGTGGTGAGCTTTTCTCGACCAAAGCCTTGGAGTTCTAGCCCTGCTTAAGTCTGAATGTTAGTTTGGCCCAGTCGTTACATGACAGTGAAGTTCTAATACTTCTCGATTGGCCATTCTGGGACAGGCGGAAGTTGCCGCCGTTGAGGCGTGGTTTTCCGCTTGTGCTTGTGAGAGCACCTGTTTGTAATGAGGATTATCATACGTAGCAGCAATGCGCAGGACGATGTTGAGGTCAGGACGGTGAACATGATAAGTCGGTGATGCCAATGATCAACATTGCAATTGATTTTGATGACACCGGTAGTGTTGATGCCGAAAGTGGCCAAGCTGCAGTTTGCAGCTTGTCCGGGCTGAGAGCAAGCCTCCCCAGAAGTCAAGCAAATCCGACATAGGCAGCAACCTCGGTGTTGACTCAGTGTTGACTGACTCGGGAGAACATGCGCGCCAGAGGGTTCCATGCACAAGTGTCTCATGCTAAGTGGTACCAGATTACTAGACTAGAGTCTGCTGTACTCGGCTGTGTGGATGTCCGCTTCTTTGCTTGGGCTCCAGAGCTACGACACGATCTAGATCTAGCAGGTCCTTCATTCCTTCATATCGGTCTCTTCCGCGAACATGGAGAAGGCCCCATTACTCTCACCGACCCAACATACCATGGACGGAGGCAGATGGACTCACACGAGACAATCTGCGCTTCACACCCGGCTTCTTCACCCACATCGACGCTGATTCCACGACGCTCCACCTGGGTGGCAGCAAACACAGGGCTGAGGGCTTGGCCAACTTGAAGCCCCACCGTTTCAAGGAGACTCTTGACCGTCCCGTTGAGTTTGGTGGAAAGGATGGTCCCCGCTACGTTTTCCACAAGCGTCGCCTTTGCGCTGCCCTCTGCACCCCCAACATCTTGGTGAGTGCCTATGACCAAGATGGAAAGCTCCAGGGTCAGCTGGCGGATCAGGACGTTGGAGACTACATCTGCTGCTCTGGCAGAGATGTCGCCCTCATGAAGGTACTTGATGGCCAGGGGAAGCAAGTCTTTGCGCTCCGCCGGCCAGCGACTTGCCAGGACATGTGTCTGGCATCATGGGCCTTCAGGGAGTCGAAAACGTCAAGGTGGATTTCGTAAACGATGTCAGCCATGAAGAGAAGATTGCTTTCTCCACCGTCATGATGTGGGAGGCCATGAGCAAGTCTCCAGACACCATTATGCAAGGCCAGACCCTGACTGCATCTGCTGTTGCGGGGATCAGCCAGCAAGATACCAAGCCATTCAAGCATGGCTACGGCGCAATCAGCTCCGGTCCCAGTCCAGAAAAGACCAACCCGCCGGCCATGGTAGCCATGCCAGCCAACCTGTCCAAGCTCCCCGAGAATCCATCCACTATGCCTGCCATGCCTCCAGGCATGGCAGTGACCTCGAATCCAATTCCTGCCCTTCCACCGGGCATCAAGTTGCCGTGAACACGCCTCTCGTGCAAAGATGCGATCTTGGTGTGTTGCGCGGGGTAAAAAAGGTCAAGCTGCGGGCACGGCGGTTTTCCTGCAGTTCGATAGGAGCCATGCTTTCTCTGTGAGTCTAGGGATCACTAAACTAAACTGGTTGCAGTTCCGATGCAGCGTGCTGGATGTAGTTCTGCTTGCACATGTGATGTCTTGTGGCCGCGAGGAAACGGAGCCCCAACAGTTAAACGCTAAGTAACAGGAGGCCAAGCTTCCGCAGCCGCCGAGCTTCGCGACCAGCGAGGCGTGTTTGTTGTTGCTGGTTCCGAGTCCGCAGCTGTCCGCCCAAGAGTTCGCGACTGAATGCACGGAAGAAAGCGCGCAGACCGCCGAGTGCATGCATGCTTGCCGGACTCTGACAAACCTTGCTTTCCTCGCCATGCTCAGACCGCCCCCGCAACCAACATCTTCCGAACCTTGGAAGGTGTCAAATGAAGAAACGGCAATAAGTGCTGCTGCTCGCCGCTGCTGCTGGTCCTGCTGCTGCTGCTGCTGCTGCTGCTGCTCTGTTCCTCCTACTACCATCACCACTGGGACCACTGCTCGACTATACAAGCACCCCAGCATCCCCAGCATCATCAGCATCACCAGCATCACCAGCAGCATCATCATCACCATTACCGCCGTCACCGAAATCACCCCCATCACCGCCAGCAGGGCAGCAGCCATAGTTTACCATGCGCTTAACATGCTTGATGCAGTCGCCTTGCCTGCCGTGGTTTAGCCTAAGCACCCCGAGCGCTGACTCCAGTCAGCCACAACCTTGCAGGGCGACAGCGGGGCTGCGGGAGAGGCTGCTGGGAAGAGTTTTCGAGTCGAGTTTGTCAAATCGCCCCAGCCCGGCCGAGTCGTGTGCGTGCTCAGAGTCCAGCAAAGGTTGCAGCTGGGGCCATCGAGGCTGGCACCTTCTTAGTTGTGGCTGTAGAGATCCAAAGCAGATATCTCGAGGAGCTCACACGACCCTGTTTGTGGGAATCGGCTTATGTTGGGTCGTGCCAGGTGGAACCTCACGACTCCATTTCCGTTTGTGCTGCCTCTGAAGCAGGCGCACTTCGCATCTGTGTGGAAAGGAATCCCTTTCTGCTTTCAGCTGTGCCGGACTTGCGTCTGGCCAGAGCGTTTCGCCCGGTCTCGCTGGCCAAGCGCGCGAACTCTTGCGGAGGCTCCGTCGTTGGCGAGTCGGTCGTTGGACCGCCGAAGCCGCTAGTCAGCATTGCACCGCGATTTCAGTCTTGAAGGGAGATTGTTGGAGACTTCCTTTCCGCTGGGCTCTTGCAAGCGACCAGCGCTTCCTTTTCCAGACGCTCTCGTCCCAGGCCCATCGAGGCGCCTCCTGCAACCGAACGGAGCCGTTTCCAGGCACTTGGAAGGGTCTCTCTCTCTCTCTCTCTCTCTCTCTCTCTCTCTCTCTCTCTCTCTCTCTCTCTCTCTCTCTCTCTCTCTCTCTCTCTCTCTCTCTCTCTCTCTCTCTCTCTCTCTCTCTCTCTCTCTCACCATATCACTACCATATCACTACCATATTACTACCATATAACTACCATATTGCTACCATTCCTCCATTCCCGGTTTCTGGCGACGAAGCTTCGAAGCTTGGAGCCAGGAGTTGGACAAGGAGGCCTTGCTCCGACCTGAGTCGGTAATCGGTAGGGGGTTGCAGGCAAGCCACATGGTAGTAATATGATAGCTATATGAGGCTATATGGTAGTAATTTGGTAGTTATATGGTAGTAATATGATGGCTGTATGGTGGTCATATGATAGTTATATGGTAGTTATATGGTAGTGAGATGATAGTAATATGGTAGTAATATGATAGTAGGTAATCCGGAAGACTTGCCGCAAAATATTCCGAGATATTCCGAGCCTGATCTGGACCTTTAAAGTTTGAAGCCTCAGCGTTTTTAGTCCTGAGTCCTAAACTATCCTAAATTTACCCAGGTCGGGTGAGGCGGGTATGAGCGGCTCGGAGAGGGACTTCCTGGCGGCCCTGCGGGCAGTGCACGCCCAGGTTATCACCGAGGCAGGGGTCGGCGAGACAACTATCATAATACTACCATATTACTATAATATTTACTACCATATATTACTACTATTACTACCATATAACTACAGTACCATACTACTACCATGTGCTGAGGGAGGCTGGAGCATTTCAGGATAAAGGTGTTTTTTTTTGGAGTTCGGGGCTCAGGGACGATGTGGGTTGAGGATCCGCGCTTTTGGGGTCAGGCGCAGGGCTGCGTTTGGGGTAGAGGTTTCGGGGTTCCAGGCGGGAAGCCCCCCCCCTGCGAAAATACGCATTACGGATAATGGCGTCGTAGTACCACATAGTATTTTCAAGAAGCTGCTCTGCGCGATGAAGCCTAAAGCCGTTATTTCCTTGAAATCTTGCCTGCCGGATAGTCGACACTGCTTTCTACGTCCCGGAAAAGAAAGGATCAGGAAAGAAAACCAAGAACACCAAAACAACCAACACAAACACAACAACCAAAAACCAAAGAAAACAACTCTCGGAAGCTATATCTACTGTTTTCTTTTTTTTTTGGTTTCTTGTTTTCTGGTGTTTTGTTTTTTTGGTTTGTTGTGGTTCCTCAAATGACCTGTCTCTTCTGTCTGTGCCTGCTCTCAGGAACTCTCGCACACTCAACCCGCCTCTGCAAGACATGGAAAAGCATGACGTGCTCGGAGTGGTGTACCCGGAATGTGTAATGTCGCAGGGGGGGACTAGGCGCCTGAAGCCAGGGTTCGGATATGAGAATGCGCGTATCTTGCCCCAATGTCTGGTCCAGCTTTCCGACGCCTGCCGAATTCAGCGTCTGATATCTGTGAAGCAAACGCATGAAGGTTTCAGGCTTGCAGAGCTGCGGTTGTAGCTTACAGCCTCTGGCTCCAGGGTTCTTACGCATCGGCGTTTGAGGTTTTCAGGCGTGTTTATGTGTTGTGTGGGTCCTGGGCCCGGGGCCTTTGAATCGTAGTATGTCATGTGTCCCTGCCCCCTGCACAGTGCTCCATCAGCACCAAGAACTCGCGAGTGCTGGGCCCAGCATGAGGGGGGGAGGTGCATACGCCGGGCCCCATCTCTATGTTGCGAAACAGAACAGATTTGCCTGACCTTCTAGTGTCGGCAGCAGCGATTGCAGCAACACATCGCGCTTGCATGCATTTGGGACCCGCAGCAGTGAGTCGACCTAGTTTTGCCCCTTGGAAGCTGAAACTTGTGTGTCCAGCGATAGCGATGGCGGAGACGTTCGCGTTCAATGCTGACATCCAGCAGTTGATGTCCCTCATCATCAACACCTTCTACTCCAACAAGGAGATCTTCCTGCGAGAGCTCATCTCGAACGCGTCGGATGCCTTGGACAAGATCCGGTAGCAGTCCCAGTCAGTGTCTCTGCAGTCGCTTCGCCAGTGTCTTGCGGTTTTGTAGTTTTTTGTTTGTCGTCTTGTCCTCCATTGAGGTACGAGTCCATCACGGACCCCGACAAAATCGAGGCACAACCTGAGATCGCAGCAGTGGTGTGGGGAATGAGCAGAGCAGCAGACATGTGAAGTCTGGTTTCGGTGCTACTGTTTTTGACTGGCTGGGCTGCGCAAGTCTGGCCATCAATTTACGGGGGCTTAGGCTAGGCCTGGCATAACAACGACTTTCAGGCTCAGCCGAACTTTTTCATCAAGATCATTCCCGACAAGACGAACTCCACCTTGACTATCGAGGATTCCGGTATCGGCATGACCAAGAACGAATTGATCAATAACTTAGGCACGATTGCCAAGTCTGGCACGAAGGCTTTCATGGAGGCCATGGCCGCAGGTGGGGAGGGGGTGCGGAAAGTGCCTGACTGCTTTTGCAGCATCCGGAGCTCGCCATTTACCTGCAAAGGTGGTGACATCTCCATGATCGGCCAGTTCGGCGTCGGCTTCTACAGTGCCTATCTTGTTTCGGATAAGGTTCGTGTCGTCAGCAAGCACAACGACGACGAGCACCTCGTTTCTGAATGGCGCAGTGACTCTAATCTTTAGGAGCGACGATGAGCCAAACATGATGCTTGCGGGCCAATGATGCTTGCGGGCCAATGCGGGCGACATGTTACACAAACAAGCTCGGCATTGCCGGTATTGCTGTTGACAGTCAGTGACTCGAATCTTCCAAGATGACAAGCCCAAACTCAGATCGAAGCACCTGAATCGACCACTCTCGAAGACCTTGACCGCGCAAAACTATCAATCTGCATTTTTTCGTAAGTTCGTAAGTCACTGGCTGCGCCCTTTCCAAGACCTTTCTATAAGGCAATACATCTGGGAGAGCGGAGCTGGCGGATCCTTCACCGTCCAGAAGGACACGGAGCTTGTCCATGGAGAGATCAAGCGTGGCATCAGGGACGCAAACCAGACCCTCAATAGCTTGAACTCGTAATTAGTGAATGAGGGGTGCTGCATGTATGGATGGGTGGGTGGCCGCCCAGGCACCAAGATCATCTGCTACCTCAAGGAGGACCAGTCGGAGTTTTTGGAGGAGCGACGCCTGAAGGACTTGGTCAAGAAGCACTCCGAGTTCATTGGCTTCCCTATCGAGTTGTACGTGGAGAAGTCCAAGGAGAAGGAGGTGACGGATTCTGAGGAAGAGGCGCGACTTGCAACAGTCCAGATATGAATGTCCAGCTTTTTTGCTAATCTGGCAAACTTCGTTGATCTGCCATGCTTTTCCTTCATATCTTGCAGGAAGAGGAGAAGAAAGATGAAAAGGAAGGCCTGGTGGGTCGAGACGAGGAATATAAGGCTAAAGCGAAGATAGCCTTTGGAGGGAAGAGTGGGACACGCTGTGCAGGTCCTAATCAGTTGTCTCTTCGCACCTGCTCAGGCGACGAGCCCAAGATCGAGGAGGCAGTGTTTTTGATTTTGCTGTATTTCGCTTGATGTGTGGGTATTCTGCATTATGGGCGTTTCGTTTGTACCCAAATTTGCAGGAGCGTTTGATAACTGCGGCAATGTGCAAGTCTGGTTGCGAAGCTTCAACATCTGATTTGGAGTCGGTGTACCATTCTAACGGTTCTACTACTGCAATACAATAGCAGAAAGGCTTGATTCTTGAAAGAAGTGGGGGCACAACAGAAAAGCTCTAGGTTGATGAAAAGAAGGAGGGGGCATGCCTGAACAAGCTTTTATATATAGGTTGATGAAGAGAAGGAGAAGGAGGAGAAGAAAAAGAAGACCAAGCAGCTTGGCAGTCCGATCATTTCATGAGCCGCCAGGCTCAGCTGAGCATTCGGGATGTTCGATGATGTTCGATGCTACCGAGGAAGGTCAAGGAAGTCTCGCACGAGTGGGAGCAGCTGAACAAGTGCCCAGCCTGGATCTGGATCTGTTCTTCATTTTCTGACACGCATTCAGGCCGGTTTAGAGCATAGCCCTATAAGCTTCTAAGGAACAAGCCACTTTGGATGCGCAAGTCCGAGGCCGCGTTACTGTTGTTTTCGTGCTCTAAAGGCAGTAGCCGAAGGGCATCGGTTTGGTTACAGCGCCTGGCCACGGTCTGCATTGTTGCGGAAGGATGTGACCAACGAGGAGTATGCCTCCTTCTACAAGTCGCTGTCCAACGACTGGGAGGTGTGGTCCGCAAATATGCACACGGTCCCACTTTGCACTCCACTGTGTTCGATGGTCTTGTTGTCGGGATGTTCACCGAAAATAAAACAACCGGACAAGCCTCAGTTGGCACCTGCTGAAGTGAGTGGGAGGACCACCTTGCCGTGAAGCACTTCAGCGTCGAGGGTCAGCTGGAGTTCCGTGCGCTGCTGTTTGTGCCGCGCCGGGCACCTTTCGATCTTTTCGAGACCAAGAAGAAGAGGAACAACATCAAGCTCTACGTTCGGAGGGTCTTCATCATGGATGACTGCGAGGAGCTCATGCCCGAGTGGCTGAATTTTGTGAAGGGCGTTGTGGACTCAGAGGATTTGCCTTTGAACATCTCTCGCGAGACCCTGCAGCAGAACAAGATCCTGCGTGTCATCAAGAAGAACCTGGTCAAGAAGTGCTTGGAGATGTTTGCGGAGATCGCAGAGAAGAAGGACGATTACAAGAGACTTGGCTCTTGTCAGCTCCACCTATTGATCCAGTGGTGGTCTGATGTGGCCTGAACCGTCTGCACTGTCATAACTCCAGGGAGCCTTTACTTTAGCCTCCTTCCAAGGAAATGCTATGAGCAGTTCGGCAAGTGCTTGAAGCTGGGTGTCCACGAGGACTCCACCAACCGCACCAAGGTGGCGGAACTGCTGCGTTACCACACCTCCAAGTCGGGTGACGAACAGATCAGCCTGAAGGAGTACGTGGATCGCATGAAGGAGGGCCAGAACGACATCTTTTACATCACGGGTGAGAGCATTGCGGCCGTCTCGTCTTCGCCTTTCCTGGAGACGCTCCGAAAGAAAGGCATCGAGGTGCTTTACATGATCGACCCCATCGACGAGTATTCAGTGCAGCAGCTGAAAGAGTTTGATGGGAAGAAGCTCAAGTCCACGACAAAAGAAGGTTTGGACATCGAGGACGAGGATGAGAAGACTCTTGGGCGAGACGACCAGGTTCTTCGAGGTTGAAGATTCAACTGGCTACAGCACAGGGCTGCAAGCTTAATATTTGACTTTCTTGGTTTCCGGATCTTCCAAGGAAGAAGCTGGAAGAGATGAAGGCCGAGTTCGAGCCTCTCACGAAGCTGATGAAGGAGGCATTGGGATCCGGGATCCAGGGCCTTTTGCGTTCTGAAGACGAGCATTCGCTTTTAGGTTGACTGCTTCACCCCTGTACTGACCCCTGTACGCTGAACGTAGCACAGCGCCATTCCATCCTGCAACGAACACGCGGTCGCCCTTCAGAGGTCCTGGGAGACAAGGCTCCTCGGCTGAGCTGCGAGGACTTGTCGCCACGGCATCCCGCCATCGCCTACTCTTTGCTTAACTTTGGCTTTGTACTTTTACCACTAGTTTGCTTTGCCTAGCTTAGCCTTGTTTGCTTAATTTCACTTTTAAGACAAGGTCGAGAAAGTCATCGTGAGCTCCCGCATGGCCGACTCGCCCTGCGTCCTGACAACATCAGAGTATGGATGGTCTGCCAACATGGAGCGCATCTCGGCCCTGTTTGGAACAGCTTGTTGGTTGTATGTTGGGGAGCTCTTGCTGTTTTCTGTTTGTCCCCCTTTCTCCTTCTCTCTGCCTCTCTTTCTCAGTCGCTGTCTCTGAGTATCTCGCGCTCGCTTTTCTTTTGTTCTATCTCTCTCTCTCTCTCTGTCTCTGTCTCTGTCTCTGTCTCTGTCTCTGCGCTCTCTCTCTCTCTCTCTCTCTCTCTCTCTCTCTCTCTCTCTTTCGCTGTCTCTCCCGCTTCTTCTTCGAACTTCAACAGGCATCATGAAGGCCCAGGCCCTGCGCGACAATTCCATGACTTCTTACATGGTGTCCAAGAAGACCATGGAGGTCAATCCCAAGCACTCCATCATGGCAGAGCTGAAGAAGAAGGCTGCTGCCGACAAGTCGGACAAGACAGTCAAGGATCTCATTTGGCTCCTGTTCGACACTTCGCTGCTCACCTCCGGATTCAACCTGGATGAGCCCACCCAGTTTGCCGGGCGTATCCACCGGATGATCAAGCTCGGTCTCAGCATCGATGATGATGACGAGGGTCTCGGCGATGACGACGACCTCCCGCCGCTGGAGGAAGTCGAGGGCGCGGCCGACGAGGCTTCCAAGATGGAGGAGGTCGACTAAGCTGTTTCACGACGAGTGCAGAGATGCTGCACACGAATTCGCATAGGAGCCAAGCTGCGGCCTGGCTGTAGGAAGAAACCATAGACCGGAGGCAAGCTACAGTCTTTCAAAAGGCTTCCTCTTCCAGTCAGGTGGCGGCTTTGACTACATGTCAGGCCGCAGCAAACTAACCGCAATGAATCCGGAACTAAGGGCATCCAGCAAGAGATCAAGTTTGACTTCGACAAGAAGACAGACAATGCCGCGGCCACAGTCTCCAGAGATAGCATAGGCATAGACCCTTAGACCTCGGTTGCAGACTGTGGCTTGGCGTTTTTAGGGTGACACCTTGCTCGTTCTCTCATGATCTCTCATTATAGTATACTATAGTATATGATAGTACATCATAGTATATCATAGTATATTATGGTATATTGTAGTATATTATAGTACATTATAGTATATTATAGTAACATAATAGTATATTATAGTATATACTAACGCAGTCTACTCTGGTATATCAAAGTAGACCGTCCTGTCTCGCCAAGCCCTGGAGGTTCTGACTGCGGCCTTCTGTCTCTTCGGCAACGGGACTGACCAAGGGGGTCCTTTCTCTGAGTGGAGGGTTTTGGATGAGGGTTTAGGGTTTACTGTAGGGTTTATAACATACTATAACATACTATAGTATACTATAACATACTATAACATATTATAATACACCATAATGTACTATAATATACTATAATATACTATAATATACTATAATGTACTATAATATAATATACTACAGTATACTACAATCTGTTTAGGGTTTCGCCCCAATGACACCCTGAGTAGGAGCGTTGACAGCAAGATGGGCTTTGAGCGGCTCACTCTCGACATCGAGAAGGCCCGGAGCTAAGCCTGTTTTATCATAAGGACCCTTAGGGGAGTCTTAATACCTATAACAAGGGCTTAGGGTTTAGGGGATAAGGACTTAGTAAGGACCCTACCTCCCTCCCCCCATCTCCCCCCCACCTAACAGTCCTTCTGAGTTTACCAGACCTCACGATGCGGATCGCAGCGATCAGGTGTAAAGGGTGTGTACTGGGAGTCGATGGCAGTATGTACTTCTGAAGTGAGCTTACCCCGCTTATGAGTCCGTCATGCTACAACTTCAGAATCCGTGATTGAGCCCGAAACTCTATGGAAGGCTGTGGTCGCCCGCTGCCGGGAGCTGGTGATGGAGGCTTGTAAAACCTCGCGCAATCGGACAGGTCTATGAGCTTTGAGAGGGGTGCTATACTAGTCCTGTTCGAGCTCCAAGCGCTCCGGCATCCGACGTTCTGCGTTACAGTGCCCCTGCGAGGCCAATTCAGCAGGCCTGCAGACTGCGGCCTTGGCCATCCAGGCAAAGTGAACGAGGGATTGCTGATATCCAGCCTCGTCGTCACCTGCTCTGCCCTCGCGGTGGTCACAAGTGCGAATCCGGGAGGGGCATTTGAATTTAGGGTTCTGAAGCTACGCAAGAACTCCAAGGATCAACAACCTCACTTCGTGTCGTTGACGGCAGTCATGAAAGTGATCATCTACCGTGGGGAGCACGGTCGCAGTGGTCGGAGCATACTTCGTGGCAACAGTTCATCCCGTATCTCTTGACACTGATGATGGAAATGATGATCCGAAAAGATGCAAACTGCGGACGGGGATATGTTGATGACGGTGGTGATGAACACAGCGATCAGGATCATCTTTACTATGGTCTTTGATGTTGTTGACGGCGGCGACAAGGCCCGTAACCAGTGATAGTGGCGGCGATGGCGATGGCAACAGGTGCTCGGTGGTGTGAGTTCTCCGTGTCATGGTGATCTGATGATGCTGCCAGAGTGTTTGCTCCAAACTTGGAGTCTCCAGCTACATTCCCACAGCTCGTCAGTGACGGCAGGTCAGTTGTCGATGTGTGATGATGGAGCTGCTATTCTTCATGCAAGAGTCTCCGAAGATTTGGGTATGTCTGGGCCTATGCGGCTTTGCATACTATAACATACTATAACATATTATAATACACCATAATATACTGTAATGTACTATAATATACTATAATATATTGTAATGTACTATAACTCAGCTCCTCAGGGAGGACCACTGGCCGCCCCAGAACAGAGACACGACGAAGGCGGGGCTTCAGGACTTTGTAGGTTTTTCCGAATCCTAAAGTGAAAAGCTCAAGCAAACGAACGCCGCCTCTCGTGAAGGCCAGCAGCCCTTCGCAAGGGAGACCTCGGGGCCCATAGCGCTGGGCTCTCTGAAAGGGAGTTAGAAGGCTTTTTTCGAGGCATTTCAGGTTTTTGGGGTGCGAAGTTTGGCGGTTCAGAGTAGGACGATTTGCGTTGGGGACAGCGGTCAGATTGAAATCATAAAAGACTTGCAGTGCAAAGCGATTGGCCCATCTGTCCGCGGAATGGATGCGGTTCCCCAAACGTCGAACCAACCCTCAGACAAGGCATGGAGGCTCGCTCGTGCAGCCAGCGCCTGAGGATCTGCCAGTTCTAGTTTCGCACATGCCAGACAAGTAGTCGTTAGAAGGGCTATCATAGTCAGTCCTGGTCCTGCATGTTTCGCAGTTGCGTGATATTGCTACTGAGCGTGAGCAGTTGCTGACCTCTTGGCCTGCTTGGTCTTCCAGATATCTTCGCAAATCGGGGGTCGTTCTGATTTATCATGGTGCAAACACACGGAATGGTGTGATTGCGGGTAGAGCGTGGCGCGCCGGCCAAGGCAAGGCAAGGACAAGGACAAGGACGGCACTGACCAGGAAGACTCGCCAGCTCCTTAGCCTTCCACAGTTCGCATGCTGCTGATCATGGTAACGGTGAGTATGAAGAAGATATGCTTAGAGCGATAATGGCCATGGTGGTGATAGCAATTAGGGAGCAGGGTGATGATGATGGTGTTGATGTCCACATCTGTGACGGTTCTCCTGGTCACTACGGGAGTTTGTTTGATGGTGATAGGACGACTAAGAGGAGGAGGAGAAGGAGGAGCAGGAGGAGCAGGAGGAGGAGGAGGTGGAGGGTACCGACGACAATGTCCACGGCGATTGTGACCTAGATCTTGCTGATGATTATGTACTTGTGGCGGTTATTGTAGTGAGGTTGATGGCCAGACTTGAAGCTGAACATGAAGACAATTTACACAGCCGCTTTGCTTGAGGTCGGCTGCTACGAACTATAATCCAACAGTGACCACCAGTACAACAGTAACGATGCTATGCAACCGCCACCCTGCAACAATTGTTATGACAATACTACGCATAATCAAAGAGACGTATGGCAAGAAATATATCACTGCCAAGCGTACTCCGCCTCCTGCTGCAGCACGGGCGACGGCAAGGACAACGACGACGATGGCGACGATGACGACGACAGCAACGAAAGCACGGAAGAGGAGAAGGAGAAGAGGCGGAGGAGAAGGAGGCGGACGAGGAGGAGGAGGAGGAGGAGGAGGAGGAGGAGGAGGAGGATGAAGACAGGACGAAGGAGGTCGGGACGAGGACGAGGGCACGGACGACTGCTGCTGCATGCTTCTGCCGTTGCTCCTGCTGCAGCTGTTGCCACTGCTGCTGCTCCTGTTCCTGCTACTTGCAGCTGTTACTGCTGCTGCCACTGCTACTGCTGCGGCTGCTATGCATACTCTACAACTATTGCTGCCACTACTACTGGCACTGCCACTGCGGTCGCCACCACTGCGACCACTGCCCGTACCACTACTACTGTTACTGCCGCTACCACTACCACTGGTGATGCTACTGCTACTACTACTACTACTACTACTACTACTACTACTACTACTACTACCACTACCGCAATACTCTTACTACGCGTGCTTATGCCCTCAGTGCTACTGCTATTGCTTCTACCACTACCACTACCCTTGCCACTGCCTTGCCACTGCCACTGCCACTACTACTGCTGATGCTACTACGATCGTGATGAGGACGACTACTATTCCTACAGTTGCTACTATGACCATGTACGCTACGTCTGTGTCTGCCCAAAGGAAGGTGAACTGGCAGACCCTCGGCTGGTCCCTTGCGAAGAAGCAGCCCCTCTCTGCCGAAATCTGCAGAGTCAATGCGGAGAAAGGCTGGGGTGATCTAGGCACTTGCAAGTTTCATTGCAAGGGTTTCTAGTATCTAGTCTAGGCGAAAATGTCATCGACTATGTCATCGAATATGTCGTCGACAAGTCCACAGAGTTGTTTCTGTGAGAAGATTTTGTAGTTGTCACCGAAAGCTTCACCGAATATGTCATCGAATATGTCTCCGACGAAATGCTATTGTAAAGGACGCTAGTCAATAAATGCAAAACGGCCGTTATCTACGAACCCTTGACCCTAGCCTAGTTTTTCCATGAGCCCCAACACCAATACCCTGGTGCACAAGCGCTTGTGGGACACTTCAGCCTACTTACTCTATGCGGCAGCTCTCCTCAGCCTCTGATATCAGATGGCTGCAATCCTTTTCCCGAAGTTGGGCAACGCTCAGCGCCTTGTGGAGCTGCGTATTAGTGAATGAGTGAGCGTCTAGGCGGCTGCTACTAGTTCAAGGCTTTCGGCAGGCCCTGCAGAATTGTGGATTCTATGAATATAGGAGTAATATTGTTGATTTTGGTGTCATTGATCGTTCCTCCTGCGCTTTGCTGTGTACCTCAAAGTCGCCCCATGACAAGTTTTACAAGCACCCTCCAATCCACTTTGCAGGAGCCGACGATGCAGGTCTGAAGGAACAACGTGATGGAGTCATGCTGCTGCAGAGGTGCCACATTTTTTGCAATTTTCGAGTGTGCTTGATAAACCGTCTGCTTTTCCGACGCCGTTCGCAGGAGCCTTGCGTATCTGATCCCGAAAGTCACTGAGGCCACGGCCCCTGCCTGCATAGCCCAGTTTAGGTTTACTCGTGTCGATTTGAGCCCTTGAGTTGAAAGGTTTCGTTTGTGCCCGTTTGCTCGCGGAAAGTCGGCGCATTTGGGGCGGAGTGAATTGCCGCCAAGTTGGCAAAGTTGTCCAACCCTTGCACCCAAGAGCTGCTCAAGTAGACGGTTCCTTCGCCCCTCAGAATACGGCGCAGCTATGAAAGAAGGCGTGCAGGTGGTGCATATATGGTGAAAGCGCGTTGCGCAAGCCACACTTCCTCGCGCTAGCCGGCCTAGCCGTGACAGCTCCGAAGCGCAGGAAACAGGAGCTTTCAATCCTTGAAACTGGAGCCCAGGAGTTCTATGCCTGCTTGGGTGAGTGGTGACGGCCTCAGGACTGGGAGCGCAGGATGCCGCACATCTCAAAACTGTATGTCTCCTTGTTGCCAGCAGAGCTTTTGTTTCCGAGCTTCAAAACCGGAATCGCCACAATCATCTGGGGCGCAGGGTCAACCGAAAGGGCAATGACTGTCGTCACGGAAATCGTATATCTGAGGTGTAAGAAAACGACCGAAGCCGTCGAGCTTTTCCAGAACTTCCATCACATCCCAAGCGAAAAAGGGGCCGGGCGCTTTGTGATTCTGGTGCTCCAGATGAGTTTGGATTTAAGGCTTGGGATGGCGAGGAGGATTGAATCATGCGTTATGTGGCCTTACACATGCCTTACACCCCCATCGCAACCGCTCTGATTTTTTACACCCGTGACTGCCCGAACCCAAGCACTTGGTCCGAACCCTCGGCACTTCATGCTCCACCCAGAATCCATAGTCGAAGCCGCACACTTGGATTGCTGAACCCTACGACTCTGCGGGCCAAGCGAAGTTGCTGAACAACCTATCATGACGGATGAGCCGCAGCCAAGGTAGCGGATTCGAAGATGTGGGACAAACTGTCCGACGAGGTAAAGATGAAGGATGAGAAGGAGGGGTCTTGCCTTGTTTCAGTCTCCTCGTGGCTTCGGCCTGTGCCTAAACCTGCTCTTGAACCTAGTTGCCCGGAGAGTATGCCAGTATGTCATGTGGGCATTGCTGTCACACCCGCCTCTTTCATGCTCGTCCAGGGCCGGATTTTGCTAAGTGCACTGCCGAGTGGCGAGAGTCGTGCAGATGTAGACCAGATCCCGAATCAGGCACCCCACAGTTCATAGACCCTTCCTCGAAGCTTGCAGCATCGCAAGGAGGCAAAGAAGAGGGAAGACCGTCGGAAGGATCAGAAGAATCGCGAGCAGGACTCACACCTTCCCTGCTCTGCCAAATCCGTAGCGGACTTGACCCGGTTAGTTGCAGGTTTCCGTCTTTCAAGAGGATCAGTATTTGAGGGAGCGCTGGGCCCTGGACGGTCAAATCCGCTTTGTTGGGAGCAACAGGTGGCGATGCCCTGCCAGCTCGCTCGCTCTCTCCTCTCTCTCCCTCTCTCTCTCTCTCTCTCTCTCTCTCTCTTCCAGCCTCATTCTTTCGGCATGTTTACGACTATTTATGCCCTTCGGAGAATCGAGAGGTTTAAGAAGAGGCAGTAGATGTGTCTTGAATCATGTATGGGTCCACACGCCATAGACTTGCATACTTCACGTTTATGTGGGTAATCCTACATACATCGCGCTCCGACCTACATCGCTCTAGCACATCAGCAGCACTTGCGTGTCGCTTGAAGGAGAAGCTGCAGCGAAAGGAGCATCGAAACCTCGAAAGCTCTAACATGTCGGGAACTCAAGCATCTATTGATCAGCACTCGTGTGAGATGGGATTTACGACACATAACATGACATATCATGTCACACCGCAAAGACTTTCATGTACACATACATGCACATACGCATGTTTGAATCCGAGAGTAAATGGATGCACAAATCGATGAGTAAGTGATTCAATGTTTGTCTTTCCGTCCACGAAACTAGTGCATGCGCGAGCATACGTATGTGCATAGCTACGTAAGCACGAATGAGCAAAATGCATGCATGCCTCTCATCCTCACATATGTATGTCTGCCTGCCTGTCTGTATGTATGTACGTATGTATGTACGTGTGTGTGTATGTATGATGTATGTATGTATGTATGCATTGATGCATGTACGCACGTGTGTACATTCTATGCTTTTAGAGGAATCGTACATAGTTTGCCTAGATCACAAACCTGCAGTGTGTGTAAGCACGCCCTCGATGCGGAAGGGTCTGAGACCCTGAGGTACAAGAACATGATGGATGCCTGCCAGATCAATCTCGGCAGTGTGTCCGGCATTGCCCTCGGTAGGCTCTTCGGACTCCCCCTTGATCTGTGAGTGCAGGCCTTGCTGAGGATGTCAACTTGCTGGGCCGTCTCCTTGGCTCTTGGGCTCCAGCGTAGCTTGCTGTGGAGCTACATATGCTCCGGAAAGCAGCATTGTGGCAACGTGCCCCTCATGGCTTCCCCAGCCCCACCGGACGTGGAGAGCCCGGCGAAGAGTAGCAAGAGCAAGAAGGAGGCGGAGCAGGAGAGACGCTTGGCAGAGGCCAAGAAACACGTCAAGGAGCTGGAGTCCCAGGTTCTTCGGCTTCCTCTCAGACCCCCTCCTCGCCTTCCCCCCTTTTTTGTGTGATCTCTTCAGGCTTTCCTGTATCTTAGCCTCCCTGTCCGAAGGTGGTGATCAAAAGCCCTGAAGAGCTCAAGGCTTCCGCCAAAGACTTCAGGGACCAGAATGCTTGCACCCTCTACGACGAGACAACGAAACAGTACAAGTACAGGTCTTGCTGTGGAACGAAGGTGTCCGACCTGGGCGTCTACGGGGTCGGAGTGGCGCTTTACTTCCAGTTCATCCGGCAGATGGGCGTTGTTTTCCTTCTGTGTGCCATTGTCTTGGGCCCAAATCTGGCCTTCAACATAATGGGTAACATGGTGAACGAGAACAGTGCCCTCTACAAATACCTGGGAATGACCACGATCGGAAACCTGGGTGCTTGCGAAGGCGCCCTTTGCGAGACAGATGAGGACTTGCGCAATCGCTGCCTCATCGACGAGTTCCCATGTGAGACGATGCTAAAGGCCGCCAGCGATGAGAGAGAGATAGGTCAAGTTTTGAGCACCCTAAAGTTGAACCTTACAACAGGACTGCTTGTAAAATTGGGGAACTGGCAAGCAGTTCAAGAGGTCCCCGGGCAAACATGGCTCCCAGAACCCATCCCGCTCCTAACTGTTTCACTCTCTCGACCTCTTTTTCGGCTCCCTCTCTCACCTTCTCCTTCACTCCTCCGACTCTCCCTCCCTGTCGCTTTCTTCTCTTGCTTGTTCCGACTTCGCCCGACTTCTACTTCGTTTATGTCACGTTCGTTTCGCCCTGTGGGCCCTTTCACTCTCCTGGGGCCATGCACCCTTCCTCAACAGGAAGTCACGCAGTGGCTCGGCATGGCTGCAGCTTGGTCCAATCGTTCAGATTCATGACTTTGGGTTTAGAGTAGTGTCGCGCTCTTTTGGGCGGAAGCAGCATAAGATCTGACAGCCAGCTATTCGACATCAGATTGCTGCGCTTACTGAGTCATAGCATCTAGCGTGTCTTGTCAAGCAGAAGGGCTGAACGAAGCAACATACTACACATTGTACTACACATAGATCCGCACACGCACGCATATGGTGTGTATATAAATATTTACATATACAGAGACTTATTTCTTTCATTTAGATGTTTGTACATAAGCGTACTTATTTGGACCTTCGGCCTCTATGTCTAGACCATATGCATATATCTTTATATCCTTTCTTTCTTTCTCTCTCTCTCTCTCTCTCTATCTCTCTCTCGCTCTCGCTCTCTCTCTCTCTCTCTCTCTCTCTCTCTCGCTCTCGCTCTCTCTTTCTTCCTTTCTGTTACGTATCCTCGAACCCTGTTCGAACATCCAAGCACCGGTGCTTCCTTTGGTTTGTACATTCGTACCTATCCGTCATCTCATATATATAAGCAAAATACAGTATTTGTATGTGTGTGTATGTATGTAGGTATGGATTGATGGTGTATTTGTCCGTGTATGTATGTATGATGTATGTACGTGTGTACATGTGCATGTCTGTCTGTAGGTATGTATGCGTAGGTATGTACGCGTATGTATGTGTCTGTATTGTTTGTGCATGTATGTACAATATACTTTTATGTCTATGCATGTCTATGTAGGCATATGTTACTATATGTATGCGTAGGTGTATGACTATGTACGATTATGTATATTAATATTTATGTTCGTGTGTGGCTATGTAAGTGGTGTATACTTATATACATGTATATGTGTGTATACGTATGCAGATGTATGCATATGTATGTATATGCATGTGTATATGAACATCTACATGTGCAGGTTTGTGTTGATTCACATGTGTATGTGTATGTATACATGTATATGCATATGTAAATGCATAAACATAGGCTTATGCGAATGTATATGCATCGGCAAGGTTAGACGTTTATCTCGAGGTGAATGTGTCTGTGTCTGTATGTATGTACATGTATACATGTGCGTGTATATATATATATATATATATATATATGTATATATATATATATATATAAATATGTACACGCATACTACATGTTTATGCGAGCCGCTCGTGCTACCGAAGTAGACTGAAAGCTAAAAACACAGCAATGCACCAACGTGGGTAGCATTTTACCTACACTCCACCCGGGAGTTTCAGGAAATCGGGGACCCTCGCCGACTGAAGATTCATGAACCCTACACCGTCCGACACCTCAAGCCCTGTCGCTACACGCCACTCAAGTGGCGCCAAGGATGGTATCGGTATCCTGTTGGTCCTCGCCTGGGGCATCTTTTTCCAAGCATGCCATATCCCTCGCGCCACAGCGGAACTTATGATAATCATGATCATGGCAGGGTTGATAGTGAGTGCGGTGCGGATGATGGGTCATAGCAAGAACAACGTTTTGTGTGGCTGGTGTTTCCTTTCTAGGAGCAAAGTTAATACAATACCATAGCAGCCATGTCGATTTCAGCATCACCATTGCCTTCATAGTTGTCAGGAGCGTCGTTGTCACGGTCACGTTACTAGCAATGTCATGAGTATTGTGGTTTGTCATCGTCGTCATTGCTGTCATAAGCTCCGCCGCCACCCTATTCGCAGTGTCGTCCATCGAATTGAAATAACTGCTGACATTAGCACTGTGATTGTGATTCGCCTTCATCGTTGTCTTGACATTCATGAGCATGTGTGATGAGCACCAGATATCTCAACTGCATCATCATCAGCAGCATCACCATAACCATCCTTCTCTAGCATCAAGATCATCACCGTCATCGTCATCGTCATCATCATCATCATCGTCTTCATCAGCATCATCAGCATCATCAGCATGATCAGCATCATCAGCATGATCAGCATCATCAGCATCATCAGCATCATCAGCATCATCAGCATCATCATCATCGTCATCAGCATCATCAGCATCATCGCCATCATCACCATCATCACCTTCATCATCACCATCATCATCATCAGCAGCATCATCGTCACCACTTTTATCACCACCATCACCATCAGTACCATCACCATCATCACTATCATCAACATGCTCATGACCATGCTCATGGTCATGGACATGATCATCATGACCTATGGTCAGTGCCACCATTCCCATGACAATAGTCGTAAGCAGCAGCAGCAGCAGCAGCATCATGATCACCGTTATCATCATCATCATCATCATCATCATGCTCGTCTGCATCTGTCATGACAAGCCGTAGGACAAGCTTGCCGGAATGAGGCATGGTTCGGTTGAATGACGATGCCAATCTGACCCCGTCCGACTTTGCGATTGACATCAATGTCTTGCCCTACCAGCTGAAAGACGGCCACAAGCAGTACCAGGATCCCTCCGGCACGCTAACACTGATGTGGTTGGTGTGGTCTGTTAGGCTCGATAAGGAGGCAACTTGTCGGTTGCCCACCAGTTTGCACTGTCGCGTGCGGAGGTGAGTTTCCCATGTTGGCGACTGTTGCCCCATCCCAGTAGCCAGTAGAGGGTTTCGTGGCAAGAGCAGGTGTTTCTTGTAGAGCCCTGAGATGCAGGAGAAGCTGAAGAACCACTTCCTGGGCGTTCTGAACCGCCTGGGGTTCAACGATGGCGACGGCGTCGTGGAGGTGTGCCTTGTGCGAGACTACGAGGGTGCCATCAGCACATTCCTGGCCAAGGGAGACCTGATCCTCGCCGAGCATGGAGATGTGATCCGGATGAAGGCTCTGGAAGGCAAGGAGGACGCCGCAAGCAAGGCCAAGTACCAGAAGTTGGAGAAGGCAACGCACAAGAAATATGACAAAATGATGCGAATGGATAACAGCATCCGATCGCAAGCAGACAAGGGTGACGATGATCGTGGTGTGGTGCGTGCTTTCGTGATATTCGCCAAGGAGGCCTACAAGAAAGCCGTGCTTGAGGAGTATCGCTTCTCTCAGTACAGCTTGTTCCGCTGCTGTCAAGGTGAGCCTCGGAGATTTGAAGGTTACACGCTGAAAGTCCAGAACGCTTGCGAGCCCAGTGACTTGTACTGGGAGAACCTGGACTTTGCCTGGTGGAAGCGAGGTTGCCGAATTTGCATCGTGGTGTTGCTCACATTGATTTTCTTGATCGTTTGTGCCGCATCACTTGTGTACTTCCAGTCGCTCTCCAAGTCGACCCTTGCAAGCCTCAACGAGAACGTCGCTTGGGTGATCAAGGGGAACGGCACTGAGTGCCTCAACTTCTGTGATGTCGAGCTTTTTGCGGACAGGCTCTGCTCTGGAAACGGGGACACGTCCAAGACTTGGGACACTGTCAAGGTCTTCGACCAGTTCACCGACTATGATAACGGCTATGCCTGGAGTGGGATCTGCACTAACCCCTGGACATCCAGTTGCACTTCAGCAACTCGCCTTGCTGAGGTCTCCGGCTGTGACGGGGACTCGGGCTCGATCAACTGGCTTGGCTTTGAGTTCGCAGAGACGCAGCAGGTGCAGTGCTGGCAGGCCACCCTCACGGCACTTGCTAGGGAGGTGCAGGTGTTTGGGTGTCCTGTGGCTCCCCCACCGGTGGCTGAGCGTGGCTGCTGGAAGGTCGAGGAGAATTGTGCTCCGATGTACCCCAACACCCTCACACCACCAACGACTGGAACCTGGACCGCCCGTGACAACAAGATCTCAGCGGACATGTCCTGCTCTCTTGATATCGAGCTGCATGTCGCGCAAGAGAGATGGGCCAGCTTTGAGGAGGGTTCCACAGAGCGTGTGTCGAACCCCATCATCAACTGCTTCTGCCAACAGCAGGTCCTCAACGTCGGGCCGGAGTTCTTGTTTCCCCCTTACGACACGGAGGACGCTTTCAGGGTTTGGGGCTCGTTCTGCACCGTGATCCCTTGCGCAGGTCCTGTAGCTTATCGCACTGAATCTGCGGTCGTGTTTGGGTCCACAGCAACAACTGCGGATCGAGGCCCCAGACATGTCATCTCCAGCAATGAAGCAAGCAACAGCAAGCAAGCCCCAAGCCCACGCATTGCCTGAAGTCGCGAGTCGAACCTCCGAGCTGAAAGCCGAACATTCCTAAAACACCAGATGTGCTCACAGGAGAAGCTGGTGTGTCAAGATTGGCTCGTCGACAACAGCCTCAAGATTGCGAAGGTAATCGGGGCCGCAGCCGCCGTCTTGGTGATCAACCAGCTCCTCCTGCTGATCTACGAGTTCCTTGTGGCCTTTGAGAGACACTGCACAGTCACGGAGGTGGCGCAGAGCCAGTTCTGGAAGCTCTTCTTGGCCCAGATGGTGAACACAGGCTTGTTAGTTTTGCTTGTGAACGCCTCCTTGGACCTCCCGGAAGTCTTAATGCCATTGCGGGTGTTGCAGATCGGTACCGGGCAATTTGACGAGCTATCCGTATCTTGGTACATTTCTGTCGGCACCGGTATCTGCCTCACCATCTTCATGCAGGTCTTTAGCACGACGGTTCCGCCCTTGATCATGGCCTTTGTTGTGGGGCCCTGTTTGCAGTGCGTCTTCGGCAGGGGCGAGGTGGTGGAGGCACGTTTGCAAAGGATCTATCAGCTTCCCAAGTGGAATTTGTCCTTGCGAATGGCACAGACTCTCACCGTGATCTTCGTGATCTGCATGTACTCGGGAGGCATGCCAATCCTATACTTCGTGGGCTTCGTCTACAGCATCGTGGCCTTCTGGTTGGACAAGTGGTGTTTGCTGCACGGCTCCTCCAAGCCACCTGCCTACAACCAGGCCATCGTCCATACTTGCTTGAACTTCCTTCCCCTTGCTGCTTTCTTCCACACAGTGATTGCTGGCTGGAGCTGGGGCATCTCGTCACAAGACTGGCACATTGTTCCTAAGTCGGGCAAGGGAGCATAGGACGCAGGTGGATAGGAACACGACACAACACTGACCCCGCTGCGAGGCAATCAGGAGCTCGTTCCAAGCGAATGGAGCAGGCTCTTCTTTGTCGTGGAGATAATATTCGGCAAGTCTAAGGAGGATTATGACAACATCATCAGCAGCTACAATGCAGCGCCAGCTCGTGACAAGCCTTCTATGCAGTGGGACTACTACGAGGCCCGCATGATGGACATGGCAAGGGAAGGCTCTTGGCTTATCTTCTGCACTTTCGTTGCCTTCGTGGTGTACTACGTCCTTCTTTGGAGCTACAAGCTCCTCTTGAGGCCCTTCCTGTCTCCGTTTGTCTTTGCCATTCGTGAGTGTTGTTGCTGCTGCTGCAGCCGCCGCCGGACTTCAGCTGGGGACCAAAGCTGGGACACCTGTGTGCAGGAATGCCGCAAGCACAGCACTCTCACCTCCTATCTGCTCAAGAACAACCCTTCGTACCACTCGGCAGCAGTGGCCATTGCGCATGGAGACCTTCGGGCACAGAGGCGTATCTCAGAGAGGGACGCTCCAGAGGAGGCCACACTGTGAGAGAACGCCCGCCTGATCTCTGCACTTCCAGGGGCCATCAAGTTGCCCCCCCTAAGTTTTGTAGTTCGAGGCTCTGCGGAAGCCTCTCAAAGCGTTCTAATTATGCCCTCGGGGCATGGACACCTGGGCGACTGAGTTGCGCAGCGTGCACGGAAGAACTTTGTACAACGATTCCTCTTGACTTTGGCAGTTGGCCCGGGCTCGGCTTCCCTTGCGGAAGTGGCCCCTCATGTTGTGAGGTGTCGTGAGCTCGGGTGTCAGTGAGTGTTCAGGCCTTCCTAGAGAGGACGGCCCGCAGCACGAGCGAGTACAGTGCCAAGAAGCCAAGACTGCACCTGAACCCGAAGGGTTCAGGCCTTTTCAATGGCCTTGGTCTCTTGAACTGTGTACGCCATGAATGAGACAACGCTTCTGCAAGCCCCGCCCTCGATTCACTCGAAGTTGCAAGGCCAGTCAAGCTGATCCCGAGCCTTAATCCCAGGCAAGACGACATCGACATCGTCAACCGTGGATACTGCAGTGTCCAAAGGCACGCAAGACCGAAGTAGCGGTGAGAGGCAGCGGAGGCATGGCGTGTTCTGCGCGCTTTGCGAGGAAAGGCGCCCTCCGCCTCCGAGGCTTCCTCCATAGGCCATGCCCGGGGCTCCATGTATGTCCCACAGCGCTTCGAACCTTGAAGGAGGCTGTAACTGTAACAGCAGGAGCGATTTGAAAGGGAGGGTAAGGCCCAAGGCTCTGTGCAGTCTCTCTTGACCATGAGCTCTTTCGCGATCAGCTGGCGAAGTCGATGTCTTGCCAGGGACCGCTGGTGCTGCTACAGGGCAAAACTATAGCTCTGCAAAAGCGATGCTTGTCTTTTGTTTGGCACGACCCAAAGCTCCCAGCTGTGCAGTGTTCTAAACCCCTCCTGTGGGAGTTTATACAAACGTTAAGATTGGTTGGTCCGCGTCAGCTGGGGTTCGGTGAGCGACAGTGGCGCGTCAGTGAACGCGTTAGCGAGTACCAAAACTGCCGGCGCGCTAGATGCTCCTTAGCGCGAGTCAGCAATGCGATAGCTTCGGCGCTAGTATCATCTTGTTAGAACAGCATGACAGAAGGGCTCTGAACACCGCACAGCTTTCTCCGACACAATCCTCGCAGCAAGCATATTTAAGTAGCATAAGTCGAAGCGGAAGTACCTCAGGAGCCTTGTATTTAAGCATGGAATGGCTTGCAGGACCATACTAACACCTGCAACCCTCGTATCGAGCAGCCAAGGAACCCCCAGAATCTTCAGCAGGGCAACTTCCCCATGCAGCAAGGCCACTGACGCGAGGGCTGTGCTTGAGTTTGCAGCAATACTACAGGTCCATGGACGTCTGCTTGAGTTGAGAAACACTGAACTTCGCATTCCAAGCGCGCTGGAAGGTGCGATTCAGCAGCAGCCGATTCAGCAGCAGCAGCCAATTCAGCAGCAGCAGCAGCAGATTCAGCAGCAGCAACCGATTCAGCAGCAGCCGCCGATTCAGCAGCAGCCGCCGATTCAGCAGCAGCCGCCGATTCAGCAGCAACCGCCGATTCAGCAGCAACAGCCGATTCAGCAGCAGCCGCCGATTCAGCAGCAACAGCCGATTCAGCAGCAACAGCCGATTCAGCAGCAACCGCCGATTCAGCAGCAACAGCCGATTCAGCAGCAGCCGCCGATTCAGCAGCAGCCGCCGATTCAGCAGCAGCCGTCGATTCAGCAGCAGCCGCCGATTCAGCAGCAGCAGCAGCCGATTCAGCAGCAGTCGCCGATTCAGCAGCAGTCGCCGATTCAACAGCAGTCGCCGATTCAGCAGCAGCAGCCGATTCAGCAGCAGTCGCCGATGCAACAGCAGCCGATTCAGCAGCAGACGATGCAGCAGCAGCAGCAGCAGCAGCCGCTGTGCTGCCCTGAGATGAGTCTGGCAAGTTATGGTCAGCGGCAGTTGAAGCTAATGTTGCCAAAATCAGCTACGGGATACTGATTGTTGCTGTTGATACGAGCAGCGTAAGCTGCACAATGCCGTGCGACATTCTCCTGAATCAGGCTAAACCCTAAACCCTGAATACCCTAAAGCCCTAAACCCTAGGCTTTCGCAAGTCCCAGGCAGAATCAGCAGTGGCAACAGGCGCTGCTAGGGCAGCAGGGGCACCAGGCCGGTTTGTTGTTTCGGGGCTCAAAGTCCGACTTTTGCTGCTTGATCCTACTGGTAAGGGGTTGACTTAGCGAGAGCATGTCTGGAGATGCAGGTGAGGGAGGTCAAGCGAACAATATACAATACAGTCGCATAAGTGGTTCTAAAGCGGAAAAATGAGCTAACCTGCCACTCTGACAGTTACAGGCACAGAGGGAAATGTGATCTCGTGTAGGCGCATTGTGAAGCCGCACCTGATGCATACAGAAATGTTGACAGAGCGTACTGGCGGCAGTATCTGTCACACAGGAGTACGACGCTGTTGCAAGGTTTGTAGTCGAGCATTGCCATCGTACGGCATGGCCAGCTACTTGTAGCAGTATCCAAACGTGCTCTAGCAAGACGGTAGGATCGGTGGAGTGTTGTTGTTTTTATTCTGGAGCGTGTAATCCTAGAGTCTAGAGCAGGCGAGAGTAGTCTGGTATTAGCTCGCTTTAAGATTTGCTAGAAATCTGTCGGCTTACTTGCAGCCGGCTGCCAGTAGCCCAGCAGAATCACCCTCAGGCTCCCCCTTCCCATCGAGACACGCGTCGATCACCTCAACGCGTCCGCCGCAGGCCACGTCGCCCGCCACGCTGCAAGCGGCGCCACAGAGGGGGATGCCAGTCTGAGGTGCGTAGAGGGCTGTTTTGCTTGCTACCGTATTACAGCAAGGACCGGATTGTAGTTTGCGTTGGTCTCCGACTGTAGGGGTCGTATCATCTCAATAGCAGTGTAGTCAGTATAGTAGGTTCTTGAGGTGCAGAGGCTGCTTCAGATCCTTTGAAGCTTCGTGGTTGTGGAGCTTGGGATACAGGGCTAGCTACTGACTACAATGTCATATATATATATATATATATATATATTTCACTTTCTCTCTCCATCTCTCCCTCTTTCCCTTTCAGTCTCTCTGTCTCTCTGTTTGTCTGTCTGTCTGTCTGTCTATCCGTCTCTCTCTGTCCATACCTGCTTGCACTTGCACTTGACATGCGACATTCCTACAGACATACAGATGCATTTCAGTCTACGCAGAATACATGTATGCACTCTCATACCTACATTTTTGTCCACCTCACCTCTATACATACATTTATCTATTCACTTGCTTAGATGTAGATACATACAGTATATATGTATATATATAGATACACATACGCACGCACACACATCTGCACAAATGCTTGCTTGATCCCCACGCCAAAGACAGGTTATCGATGGGATTGTGCAGTGTGCTCCGTCGCACTGCCAGCGGCCGTGAGAATGCCTGGCAGCAGCCCGCGAAAATTATCGCAGTTTCGCATGGTCAAAGGACCAGCACTTTGGGTTGCCTGCTTTGTGCGCCAGGGGCGTGCACCCCAGTATCACAGCGTTTTCCAAGAATTTCCAACAGCGATGTCGCCTGCAGCGGACTTGCGAGAGCTCATTTCTGTAAAGCGACCGGCAGAGCAGATCACAACTCCCAATGAGCTCTCACAAACCTTGTGAATTGCTTGCCTCTCACAGTGGCATGGCAAGGAATATAGGGTTCGAAACGACATGATAGCGTTCTTGTCATGGTATGCCAACACCCTCAAGCAAAAAGTCTTGATAGTTGATTTTGGTATGTTTTGGTATCCGAGCTGATTTGGACCCCTATAGCAGCCGAAGCGGGAAAGTCTTAGACCCGAAGCATTTGGCGGAGCCGCTGCTGGCCGAGTGGCCCGGCGGCAAGGCAGCTTTGGGTCAGTCTGCAGCCAAATGTACTGGTGCTTTGTGCCTCATAGGAAAACGAGAAGTAAAGTAGGTAAGCTTACTGGTTGTTGCCACAACGCTGTTGTTCATGCTCCGGTCAGTCTCGGTATAGCCAAGATTGTGGGGGATGTGCACAGAACCCTCAAGACTTCCCTCGCTGTTGTGCCTAGTGCTCCGGGAGTTTATCAACATAATGGCCCCTTTCGGGGTTCCGTATAGCATGGGCTCCCCAATGTGAGCGGACCTTCATTTTGATGTTCAGTCGCTTGTTTTTGCCAAGCCCACGGGGCGATGCTTCAGCGGAGGGGAAAAAGGTGAGATCTACGCGGTAGCCTTGGCCTAAGTGATAAATAATAGAGAGCACGTGTTTTTGCAAGCTGCCTGCATGGATGGATGGAGGGAGGCAGGGAGGGATGGATGGATGGACGTATCTATGAATGGATGCATGTTAAAGTGGCTTCTCACCAGTGTCTCGCGGCAAGTGTTGCAAGGGCATTAGATGCAAAAAGAGAGATGTCGTTTCTGGCCTGATTTGTGTCGAATGTCGCTACTACATGAGCTGCAGTTTGCCTGGAAGTGCAATCAGACATGCATCCAGGTCCTGTTTTGCACCGCATTCAGACCGAAACGCATCCTGCAATACCAGCAATATGCGAGATGCCCGAGCAGTCCATGCAAATGGCTGCCAGTCGTAGCAATGCTCCTTTCAAGTCGTGCTATCAATCTTAAACCCGACAGCAGTTGTGTGATGATAACCCGCGCCGCTACATTCCAGCTGACATTTGTCCACTCGATGGGCCCGCAACCTTCCAATGGCACCTTAACCCACATATCACATGTCGACCTGAAGTGCCAAATCCCTCCTTCCAAAATCGTGCCAGCAAGCATAGTCCTCCAGCCCAGAGCCTACTCATGAGTCAGGGTCGAGGGCTGGTTTGGAACGCATCGGCCACACTATGTGCACAAACACCACAACCCCGAGGCCTAGCCAGAAAGGCCGTTGAACCTTGTGAGACCTTCAAAGAGCTCCAACAGCCCAGAACCCTTCTTAAAGCCCCGAAGAACCCCTCAGTGTCGAACCCTTAATCCAACCCCAAATCCTGAACCCTAAAGCCTAAACCCTTTTACCGGCCCTGGCCAATGCACTGAGCCGGGCTCGTGAATTGGGCAAGGCCGCTCTGCAGGGGCTGTAGCATGTCAACGTCTAGCTTGTGAGATTCAGGAGTTGTGGGTTTAGTGTTCAGGATTGGGTGCAGTCCGGGCCGAGGGGTGGATGTTTAGGGGCCTCCTGGGTCCATCTGGGTCCTAGCCGTCTTCGAGAGCATCGCGAAACAGGCCGAGCCCCCGACGCTTGCAAGCCATTCAGGGTTCTGTCAGAGTTGTGGTCTTTGAAGGTTCTCGTCTAGACTTCAGCCACGCGACACGCTGCCACAGGCCCAGCCAGGGCCCCCATGAAGATCGCGGTGGACTGGGACCTTCCTCGCGGCTCGGTCGCAGTGTATGGATTCAACTCACCAGGGGGCAGGGGCGTTGGGAGGGTTTTGATTTATCGCTTCCGAGTTTTGGTGTCTGACCTGAGGTAGCCAGCATGGCAAGGCTGGAAGCCCGGGGCTCAGGAAGAAGGGATGCCCACAGAAACTTCGAAGAAGCGTTCTGAGCTACAAATCCGCCCCCCCCCCCCCGCATGCAGGAATGCAGGAGCCTTGATAATTAGACTATATACTTTCTTGTTTCGGCTGTGGTACTGTTGGGGTTCTAAATTCGCTAAACATTGATGACCATTACCAAAACTTGTTAGTTTCCTCCCCCTTCTTATAAGTGACCATTACCTGATGCCTGAGCTCTTCGAGTTTATTATCTCCCTTTCTTGTATCCCTTTCTTGTTAGCTCCGTTTACTTCTCCTTATCTTCCTTCTTGTGTGGGTGGCCTCTGCCGGGCTCCCGGGTGGCTTGCATTCTTTGCCGGGTTCTTGTTGAAAAGGATGCCGACTTTTTCTTGTTGGGAGTGTAGCATGTGTCCCACCCATGGGAAGTCCTTTCCATGCAATGCTTTCAATGCTTGACTCCCCTTGTCCCCTTCTGTTTGAGAAGAGGAAATCACACAGCTCGACAAGAGAGATGCTAAAAGGGGACAACAACTTTGGGAAAGACGAGCAAACCGCTTGAACGAGGCTCGGGGTTTTGAGAAAGAGGAGAAGCTAAGAGACTGGAAAGTTTGAGAAACAGGCGCAAACGAGAGGAGAGTTGTAGAACGAGGAGCGAGCCCGTGGAAAGGGAGCAGAGAATATGCAACCCATGAGAACGACAGCAAGCGTTTGAGGAAGCTGACGAAACCAACTGAAAGGGTTTAACTAAAAGCACGAAGCACATCCAGCGAATCGTTCGAACGAGATTTGAATCTTTGTGTCTCCCTGGTTTCCCTTCTTTTGGGAACACCACAAATGGGACCGTTGGGAGTAGCCAATGCCACGGCTTTCCACGCTTGTCTCCCTGCATTATCAGAAATATTCACCAGCAGTTTGCTGCACTGGTTCTTCTAAAAATATGAACGAAGATGCCGACGTTTCGGGCTGTTAGTGGGTGGCCGCTGACGGGGCTTTGTGGCCCTGTGTTTCCCTCAGTTTGCTGTTGGGGTCCTTTGTTAATTCCCCAACAGTTAGTTTTTTCATTACTTCGGGGGTTCCTGTCAATGTGATCAAAATCAGGTATTCGGTGGTGTGCTACATTAGGGACTGTCAGGGGATACTATTGCTGATAATTCCGACCCCCGTAGCACGATGGCCTGTGGCCTCAGCGTGGCAGCTCCAGGCTACTACCCACCGCTTCGCTTTCCTCGATTGGGCGAGGATTTGAGCACAGTCCCCAGACATTTGAGCATGCTTGTGGCATAACGTACTAGTGGAGAGTATGGATGTATTGGCGTTTCCAGTTGGCATCGTAGGACCAATCAGACCGATCACAATTGCCAAGACTAGTAGCAACACAAGCGCCAAGGAACCTGATGTGACCCGTGGAGTAAGCGATGCGAGAGGAACGACGGGGTCGAAAGCAACAGTAGCAGCAAGCACTGGGGAATGACAATGAGTAGACAGATAGTTTCACAATGCAGCATAGTTCCGCGTAACTACTTAAGTCTAGTCGGGTGAGAGCGTAATTAGCACATCGCCCTAGGTGCATGCAATCATGGTGGTGATGCTGGTGATCCAGCGGTCGATTTGCAGCTGTTGTGAAGTATTGCCAGTCCGTGTGTGTGTGTGTGTGTGTGTGTGTGTGTGTGTGTGTGTGTGTGTGAAATTTCTTCCCCCTCCTCCGACTGCGACTACTGCGACGACGACGACGACCGCAACTACTACTCCTGCTGCCAAAGCCCTCAACTCTGTCCGTTGAACTCTAAGCAATAACCGGGCCGCCTGCGCAAAGGCCCTGACCGGGCCGCCTCCTGGTGCAATGGGGAGGAGCCGAGGTGCCCAGCACTTTGGATACGACGGTGCCGTCTTTCCTATTTTGGGTCGATTTTGGGAACCTCGGGTTCGGCATTTCGCGTTGTTTCCAAACTCCCTCGAATCCCTCGAGGCCAAGGCAGTCTCCGACTGCAGACACCGCATGCTCTGGTTCTTCAAGTCTGGAGCAACATGCTGGGTACAGTGTCGGCAGTGTAGGCTGCAGAATTTCGGGTTTGCAACAAGCAGAAACGTGCTGAGTTAGCTCTGCCCCAGCCTGAAGGAAGTATGCGGCCTTCAGCAGCATGAACGCCATGAGGCCTGTTGAGCTTATCTCGCCGTGATGTCCAATGGGGTGCTGTTGTCGCTCTCTCTCTCTTTCCCTCCCTCCGCTTGCTCGCTGCCTCCCCACGAGTCCTTCGACTAAAGCACCGCTTCGTGTCGGCTCACAGCCCGAGCCGTCAAACCCTTCGGTGAGCCGCAGCGGCAACGAACCGCATGGCTGGGGCGAAACGCACCTTCACCTGATCGCGTTGCCGAAGAGGCAACTGGAGATTTGGCGCGCAACTTGTTGACGACGATTTGCGTGTCTCATCCCACGTCCGCGACGCGATGCTTTATCTTTTTTCGGTGATCCGAGACCAGCCTGCCGGATGGCCAGAAAAGAAAGCTTTTGTGGGAGATTAAGGTGTGTCTGTGTGGGGCTGCACTAAAGCTTTAGTTTAGATCAAGTCTTGATGAAACGCCAGAACCATCCCTGCACTCTTCGGATCTGGAATGACTCGTCACAGGGTGACATTCGCCGATGCACTCGGGAACGTAAGTTGTCCTTTCCTGGCACTTGGCTTCAGGCCGCAACTTCCGGCGCATGTCGACGCTATGGACATGGCAAGGCCCCGGGAGATCATGGGAAGGGCAGTAAGTGCAGTTGATTACACGCTTGCCACAGGGCCTAAAGGAAAGCTTGCAGACCGCAGGCGGCCGCCGCACACATGGCAGAATGGCCTGGATGCGAGGCAGCGATGCTCACATAACTAATCCCGAGATCGACCTTCAGATGGGTTCACGACAGAGCGTCCTAGGCCGCACCCCTCGCATCAGAACGGCATCGACTCCCTGTGCGGATCCCCTGTCGAAGCAGATCAGCGGGGCTTCACCTTCCCGTTCAAAGCGCTGAGGTCAAGACTGGACGTGGATCACGCGCAGGACTTGGTCAGGCCAAGGCTGGCATCCGAGCCCGGGCACAGTAGGACGCATGTAGTTCTAATCCCACAGCGTCCAGATCCGTATGAGCAATTTTACAGAAGGCTCTACTTCTGAGGCCTAGCGTCAGCTGCAAGGTCTTCCAGCTGTGCCTCCATGTACCATTGCCTTTGCAGTGCTTTTGACGGAACGTCCGGGTTGCCCCAGGCCCCAGTTACAGTCCCAAGCAATATGCTTTGAGCACTTGACCACCCGCTGGCTTTAAGTGTACTTGCGACTTCTGGCATGGGGCAGTTCTCACCAGCACTAGCAGACTGATCATCATACATAGTGCCATAGTGATCGTAATCCCCATAGATCCACCACCACCGCCGCCACCAGTACCACCGCGACCACCGCGACAACCACCACTGCGACCACCATCACCACCATCGTGATCATCGTCGTCGTCATCTCCACCACCACCGTCGTCATTGTCATCGCTATCGTCATGGCCATCAGCATCCATGGTTCATCGCCATCAATGATGATCATTGTCCATGTCCATCATCCATCATCCATCGTCGTCGGCGTCAGTGTCAGCGTCGGGGTCATTGTCGTTGTTGTTCACCTCCTCCACCTCACCTCCTCCACCTCCACCTCCTCCACCTCCTGGTCCCCGCATCATCACGGCCACAATCATCATCGTGAGTTTTATGATCACCATCACCATCATCGCCAGCATCATCATCACCATCCTCATCCTCGTCTGCCTCGTTGTCGTCACCAACGTCATCGCCATGTTCAGGCCAGCTCCAACCTTCGCCAATGGCTTCGACCATGCGCTGGGACCTTAGCATCGTGAGAAGATGCGGAACGCTTGTTTTGTCAGGTAGAGGACTTCCATGTACCTGACCGCAAAAACCCACGCACCGGTCAATGGCCTCAGGCCCCTACAGAACCAACCCAGCTCAGGCATTCGGAGACCAGCATCTCGCGCGGGGGCTTGAGCCGCGGGTGCGGGGCCTGCCGGTTTGCAGTCTGCTTTGTGGTGGGATGCGACGCTTTACGCCTTGTGCATCAAGGCAGGAGTCGTGAGTGGCTGCAACCGGGGAGTAGGTCTGAACCCCCTCGCATACCCAACACTGGCCAAGTGGATTTCGGGGGCTTGTCGCCATCCTCTGTTGCGTGGCTGAGGCTCTCTCCCCCACGCCAGAACCGCGACGCTTTCGCGGGGTCGGAGCCTCATACGGCAGCGTGCATCGTGTGCGCGTGCGACGAGTGGAGCATGAGCCTGAGTGTCCCTAAGAGGTCTGCTGGATACATGGAGTCGATGCCGTGCGGGCCCAATCGTGGCAACCAAGATTGGAGAAAGTTGAGGGAGCGTTTAGGCGCCTGCCTTCATTTCTTCGCGCAAACTGTTTCTGAGCTGGTTTCCCTCGTATACCTTCTCAGAGACTTTTCTTGAACCTTGTTTCACCTTTGTAATCATTTAGGTGTTTATGGAATATACCAGCAATACCTGTTCACAATTCTAGTATATAAGCCTTCGTGTAGACTTCGCCCCCTAAGTCCTGCGGCCTCAGTGCTTGGGTTTAGCAGGAGGCTGCTCGCCTCGCCTCACTGTCGCCATGCCTTCCACCGTGGCCTCGCCCTATTGGTTTTCGGAGACTTTCGGCTTCACTGAGGAGGCCTATGAGAAGACCCGGGAGAAGTTTGCGTTCACGGAGGATGTCCTGGAAAGCAAGGCCAATGGCCGACGCTTCCACGTCGGCCCTTGGGCCCTGGCCTCTGTCGCAGAGCTGCGAAGCCAACTTCTGGCCGCGAGCGCCGGCAGTGGTCGTGGCCTCGGTGGGTTGACCTTCAGCAATGTCTGCGGAAATGCACAGACGATGCACCGCGACCCTGGCAATGCCGGGGCCGTGTTTCAAGTCGCCTCGCAGTTCAACTGCCTGGAGATGAACGAGCCTGGGGCAAGACCCGAGGATGGGGTGACGCGGTACTACAGCGACGCCACGCAGGGGCCTGCTTGTGCGATCAGCTGTCCCGCAGGGACGGTCTTCCGCAACTATTTCGTGAACGGCAAAGGCCAGGGTCGCGGCCACCAATTGGATGGCTTGGCTGACATAGCGGAGCTTGTGGGGAACTCCAAGGAGAAGTACTGGCGAATGGTAAACGGTTATTGTCTGCCCGTGGATGCAAAAAGCATCGGGCGACTGAGTAGTCGTTTGAAGGAGGACGAAGGGCTGTCGGAGGAACTCCGCGGCCGCTTGCGCATTGGCGTTCACTGGGAGACGGAGGTGGCCAACAAAGATCACCGGGTCTGCCAGGTTTTCTGCTCCGCATTGCCGGTGGCATACGCAAAGAGCACTCGATCCCAGGACTGGGAAGCTTTCGGGCGCTTGGTTCTGCAAGGGACCTTCGAGGCGACGTTGTCAGCGGCTGCTGTGCTGGCCAGTGAGCGTGGCCAGCGCATGAAAGTGTACCTTACAGCCGTCGGCGGAGGCGCCTTCGGCAATCGAACGGCTTGGATTGTGGAAGCCATCGACCGGGCCTTAAGGATCCATGCTGACTCGCCCCTGGATGTCATGCTGGTGCATTTCGGCACTGTGCCGCGAGGCGCCTATGCAGATCTGGCCAAAGGCCGCAAGACGCCCAAAGCGCCACCCAAGCCGGCGGCAACGAAGACCGATGCTGCACCGGAAGCCGCAGGAAGTCCTGCTGGCGCTGCGGAGGCACCGCCGGAGGCATCGCCGGAGGCACCTGGGCCGCCGGCCCTGATGCGCACGGAGAGTGGGGCCGTGTCCATTTCTCGAGCCTTTGCCAAGCTGGACACGAACAACGACGGAGTCATCCTCGAAAGCGACATGAGCGCCGTGCTAAAGCAGCTGGTGCCAAGCCTTACGGATGATGACATCAAGGCCATGTTTGCAGCAGCAGATTCCAACTCTGATGGTGAGGTACATTACACCGAATTCGCCGCATGGGTCACTAGTGAGGATGCCTCCAGCGTCGTTGGACACGTCATGCAGCTGGCTAAGCCAAATGCACCATCAGAGTCGTGACAAGTGGAGAAAGGATCGCCACAATATAATAAACCTTACAGTGCGCCCATAGCAACGTTGAAGGTAAGACCACAGCAGCTCTTTCGGAATCCTCGTGCAACCTTTTAATCAGCTTGCCAGCAACCCGGCAATGGTCTTTCTGGTACCTTTAATGCTGATAAGGCCACTACAAGTTCTCTGGAAACCTTACGTGCCCTGCGGATCGGACTCGCGCCCGAGAGCATATTTCCTCCAGAATTAGCTGCGCCAGGTCACGGCCTACTCCTGCGTTCTCGAGCACAGCGCCGGCCGGAGCCTCGGTGTTTCGGATGGAGGCCAGGGGCTGCCGACACCGACAGCAGCGACAGGAGCAGAGCATTGGTAAGCCCAGGCAAAAGCGAGAGCCTTAAAACCAGCTTCAAAGCAAACAGTGCACACAGCGACAGCAAGCAACGAACCAGAGCAGGAGGCCTGTCAGCACAACTATCTGCTGTTCGTAAGGAGGCCCTTCATGTTGCTCTCAATGGGTGTAACTCTCGCCACGAGACTTTCTCAATGGATTTCAGAGTGCCTTTACGGGACTAAAGCTGGCTGCTGCATACCAAAACGGGTGGGGCCAACCCCTCTCCGGAAGGAATTGCGGCAGAGCGACCCGGCAGTAAGGGCACCCGTGCCCTCAGGCTCGCCGTTGATCTGCAGTTACGGCATGCGAGCCTTCAGGGTCGAGTTTCTGAGTGGACGGATCTATGGTTGAGAGAGGGGTGCTCGAGGCTGAAGGGGCTTTCTTAGATAGTGAACGGGGGAACTTTAAACTTTTTGGCCTTATATATTAGCTCTATCTTAGAAAGTTTGAACTTTTTTGGGCGAGGTTGTTGAAGAAGAGAGCTTTAGAGGGTTTTTGGGTTTTGCTATGCCAGTTCAGTCCGATTCGGAAGTTGGCTTGAGGACCTGGTTTTTCAAGGCAGCCTGGGGGCCCCATGCGGCAGACTCCCAGGAACTTCTATGAGCCTTTGGGGCACTGACATGAGCTGAAGAAGATGAGAAGAAGATGAGGCTATCAAGAGGGATGAGGACGCGCATAAGTTATCCGATGTGAAATCACATGAATGCACGATGCCGAAGAAAAGGGGGAACTGGATTTGTTCAATGCTCTGCAGAGAGGCAGCAAGCTAATTTGTGGGGTAGCCCCGAACAGAGCCCTCGCCACCAGCAGAAGTTTCGACCATGTTCAAGCCCGTTCCTTACAGAACAGCCACACAAATCCTGAACACGCAAAGCCTTGAGCAGGTCTGTCTGAGACAGGCGGCCCGCAAGTCTCTGCGATTGCAGCAGGCCCCGAGGGCAGTGCTAGACGGGACGCCAAGGACCAGGACCCACGACACACCACCGCCACCGCCACACCCAGCGCCGCCACCACGACCACCAGCATCGCAACTTTCACCGCCCAACACCTATCAGGATGTGTGTATATATGTTTTGTGTATGTATATATATATATATATGTATATATATGTACATATACATATACATATACATGTACATGTACATATACATATAATATACATATACATATACATGTACATATACATATACATATACATATACATGTACATGTACATGTACATATACATATACATATACATATACATATACATATACATATACATATACATATACATACATACATACATACATGCACCTCCAAACGTTTGCATCTGAGCTTGCGAGGCGAGGCTTCTCAAGCAGCAGCAGATGTCCAGGTCGAGGCGCGCTCTATGAGCACCCATCTTCCATGATTTGATGGTTTGATCAAGTACAGTTGTCACTACGTATGACATAATCTCGTACGACATACATTCTGTTGTTCTGTTTATTTCGATTTTCTTATCTGCTAGCTGACATAAGTTGTAGTTCTTTAAAAGTCTGATAATTTGATTGGGCTCTCCGGCGAAGACATCCCGAAGAAGTTCTGCATCGCAGATCTTACCGGGTCTTACCGACATGAACCACCAATATTTTCCTTTCTTCCAAAGCTCAAAGCCCCAAAAGCTCAAGAACCCGAATACACAGCCACTGGACCACACCACCAAGGATCCAGACTCTCAACTCCCTAAACCTCGCTTTAGGCTTTTTGAAGCCATTAACTGTTGGACAGGTACGGGGCAGTGGCCACCTGCCCTCAGCCTGGCGCACGTGGGAGGAGGTGTCCAGGGGCCCATGCGGCGTATGCCATGAACTGCAGGACATCGTCCTTTGCCAATCGAGTCGAGCAGGTGACATTCCCACCTCGGGTGCGGGCTCCGCTGGTGTCGGCGGGCTTCCCGGCCAACGGCTTGGTTTGCCTGGAAAATCGACTGCGGGATGTTTTCCATAGTGTCCACATGTGTCCACATCAGGCACCGACTGCGATCCAGCAGCACTCTTGGCCGATTCTCACTGCAGGCACGAGGCTCAGGATGCTCAGGACTATTACCCTTGCAGCATCTTGCAGCTTCCTTTGCGAGACGACGAGCATGATGTAGCATGTCAAGGTAGCATAGATTGACGTAGACCTGATGCTCGACTTGATTCTGTGCTCGCTTCGTTTTGTCGCCGGAGCACTTACTCGTGCATTCTGCTTCATGCTGGTGACACAGACTCATGCTTTTTTGGCCATGTGTGCTCTAGCTAAGTCTGATAGATATTTTGTGCATCCACGCGACAGGCCGTGATCTGATAGGGGTTGCAAAGACGGGCCGTGACCCAAGCGATGCATTCGTGTGCTCGATTGTCTTGCAATAGACTCAAGAAGAGATATGTCAGTGCGGAGCGAGCAGTATGGGACTCGAACCCCCTTAAGGTGTTGAAGCTGTGTTTTTGTTTTCCGAATTACGGTGAACGAACTGCATCCAAGAAATTGATCGCCGTCTGGATGGATTCAGGCGCAGAAGAGTTTGGTTTCACACATGAGCCGACAAGTATGTCATGGATTCCGTATGCATGTATGTATGTGCATGCATGCATGCATGAAGCCCCTCAACGAAGCCCAAGCCGCGCCTGATCACTCCTCCTGCTGCCTGGTGGCCGCCTGAGCTTCCTCAGGCTCGGGCAAGACGCTGGCCTTCCTGCTCCCCATCTTCGCACGGCTCCTTGAGAGCAAAGTGGATCTCCGAGGCAAGCGGGTCAGTTTCTCTCTGACCTCCGCAGGGAGGTTGCTTTTGATTTGTCTCCTGCTGCACATGGTGTGGCCAGGTCCACCAGCAGCGCTGGTTTTGGCACCCACTCGAGACTTAGCGGTAAGTTCGGATACTGCGATTCGGGGTCTTCGGTACAGCAAGACCTGAGTTGCACCATTCGGCGAACCTTGGGATCGTAGCCAATGCCTTCAATTATTAACTTTAGCCTTTGTGTACATTGTGACCCTAAAGCCGTCTAAAACTGTAAAACTCTATGGCCGAAACGGCTTGGGTTGCGGCTCAACTCAGGCGAGCTTGCCTGCCAGATCGAAGCCGAGGTCGCCCCAAAAGCTTTTTTCGGGTTTGAGGGCTCGGCGAAGTTCAGGGGTTAACAGTAAAGAACTCAACAGTTAATGTTGAACCATTGGAAGGAGTTTTATTTAGTAATCAATTTGGAGCAGAACCAGACAGAGATGTAGCAGTTTTTAGAAATCAAACAAGTTATATAACATTGAAGGGAGATAAAATAAGTTGTAATGCTACATCAAACGATAATGAAGAAACATTAGAATTAAACAATCAAGGCAATGGAATAGTCCAGATAGGGAGGGCATCAACAGCAAGAGTAGGAATAGGTGCGTCGCCTAATCCACTGTATTTTTTAGCAGTGGCGGGGACTTCATCATTTGATGTTATAAGAAGTGCCATAAGGTTAGATTTACTAGGAGATGTGTATGTACAAGGAACAGGAAGCGACATAGTCAGACCATCTGCTACTTCTGATTATACATTAAGAGTTAGAGATACTGTAGGGACATTTGAATTTAGAAATAATAAGTTTGGCAGAACAAACGGACAAATGGTTTTACAAGATGACGGCGACTGCGAATTATTTATAGGAGCAGAAGGAACAGCAAGAGTAGGAGTTGGAACAGCACCGGATGCTAATTATTTCTGAAATGTTGGTGGAACTTCTAATTTCAATGCGGCAAGAATTACAAATGGTTTAGAATTAGAGAATGAAACAGCAAACATAAACAATGCTAATGGACTTACATTAGATAAAGATACAACTGATGCCAGTAGTGTTTTAACAGTAAAAAACGCTCAAGGATATGTAACGTTTGATTCTTTCAATATAAATGCTTATAATACGAGTAATGACACATCGTCTTTACTTTTATTGAATGCAGCGAATGGTAATGGTTGTTATTGTTTAAGTACGGGAGTTGGAAGAATAGCAGGAGCAAATAAATTAAATGTAGGTGGTGGTAATAGTAATTTTGGCGGAACAGCAACATTTCAAAACATATCAACATGTAATAACAATGTCCATATAAATAGTAGAGGGCGACTATTTCAAAGAGCAGACGCTAATAATTTATTAAACATAATATCAACAAACGATTTTAATTTTTCATTACAAAGTAATAGAGACACTGATCCGACAACAGGAACAATAGCATTACAATTAAATGACAATCCAGCAGGAATTACAATGAATAGAGCAGTTGTTAATAATAAAACTTTTAATTCTATTGGTAATATAACAGCGGAAGCAAATTTAAATGTATGGGGAGAAATATTATTTCAGAATTCATCGGGAATTAAAGAGACATTAAACGGAAGCGATTATGATTTAGATATAAGAAACGGAGACACCGACAGAGCAATTAATTTAATAGTTGGAGCAATAAGAAGCACACCTGAAATATCTACTCAAGAAGCGAAGGTAAATATGTTAGGACATTTAGATTTTACACATTCAACAGTTTCAACGAGTGAGCGCGTAAAAATTGATAATCCTGATGCTGACGGATTAGTATTTAGTTCTATCAATGGTGCTAATATATTGGAAGTTTCAAGCACGGGCGTTTATGTAAATGACACATTAGATAATAGCAGTGATGTAAGACTGAAAGAGAACATTAAAGAAGTCAATATCAAAACTGTTGTTGATATGGTTAAAAACATAAAGCCAAAAGAGTTTAAATATGTTGATAAAGATGAAAAGCATATCGGGTTTATCGCTGACGATGTCTTGAATTCTAAAATGCCGAAGCATTGGTATAACATCGTGCATAAGGGAAGCGAAGGATATTTGAGAATGGATTATAGCAAAATGGTTGCTCCTTGATGGGGTTGTGTTCAGTCTCTTCTTAGTGAAGTTGAAGATTTGAAGAACCAGGTTAAAAAGTTGGAGGGTAAAGGTAAAGGGGACGGAAAATAATGTAAGTTAGTATATACAATGGGTTCTAAAGCTTCTAAACCTACTGATACCGATTATTTGAAGCAAATAAAAGAATTAGATATTGATGAACAAACCAAAACTGATGTTTTTTAATGTTTAATAGCATAAAAGAGTGCATCAGTCGCATTGAAAAATTGGCAGAAATCAAAAGCGATATATTAGTTTATAGACTACCCCCTGTCTCATTATGTAATTATTCAATTCAATAATATAATCAATAATATTATCAATGAATAGTAGTATTAATCAACTGGTTCTATTGTTTTGAGATATTCTTGGTGCTTGTTGCTTCTTTCGTGTCTTCGCTTGTTTGCATAAGTGTATGTATCACCACATTCACAATTACATTTTCTATTTCTTATTTGGCGTAGTTCATCTATATTGGTCTCATAATATTGTTTGTGCTTTGCTATGATTTCGTCCCTGTTTTGTTGATACTTTGCTTTCTTCTGACTACAAATTCTGTCTCGGTTTTCATAGTGCCAGTTATGTTTGTATTCTTGTATTCTATGTTTGTCTTCCTCTACCCACTTGTCTTTCATCTCCTTTTTTCTTCATCTGTTCTAAAAGGTATTAATTTGTTGAGGCTTGGCTTTAACTCTTCAATAGGTTCCCTTTCTCGCTTTATTTCTTCTAACGAACTATTTAAGCATGTGTCTCAATTAATATCATATCAAAGTTGTCCCATCCCTGATTATCTCTTATGAACTTGTATAATGGTGAGTTATAATTTTGCTGTTAGGATTATTACAAACTCGTTTATGACAGTTCTTTCTTGTTGTGAAATCGGTAGTGTGTCCCACATAAATATCACAAATATTTATGTCCCTAGATACAATTTTATAGAAATGAGTATTAGAATAATGAATTTTACACTGTGGCATTATATCTTATAGAATCATCGTTTCTTTAAATGTCTTGATCATCAATCATTATATATTTTCAAATCTAACCATAAACATTTTATTTATGTCTGGTTGCATTAAATTATCGAATAAGAAGCTAAACGGTTCTTCTGTGGCAACATAATAAATCTCTAATAGAAGTTGTTTTGCTTGATGAAGACTTTTCATATCAGACATTGCCTTTTGACTAATTAAAACACCTGCCAATTCATCTAAAACACTCTCAGCCTCTTTATAGTTTCTTAATTTAAAAAATATCAACTGTCTTGAATTAGTCCTAATCGTTGTGCTTAATCCGTTATATTTTTGTGAAGAGCTAATAATATTTACTCCGTAGTGTCGGGGTTTGATATACAGAGCATTCAATAAATTATTATGTTTTGCAATTGAGGCTTGGTTTATGAAATCATCATTAAGGAAGAGCCCAGAAAAAGATTTTGGATGTTCGTTTTTCTTCTGAAACTGATTAATTTTATGTTGTAAGTCTAAGACTTTTTGCATTTCATCAATGTTAAACGTGTCAAAATAGACCTTCTCTTTTTCAGGATTTACACTTAAATCTTTTGCAATGTATTTCTTAACAGGTGTCCATACTGGGTCTAAGTCTATGCTACTTGACCAAATGAAGATGCGACTAAAACATCCTTTATAAATATCAAGAATTTTATTTGAAAGAAGCACTGTTTTACCACTACCCGACTGACCTGTTATAACCATTGAAAATGGAATACGAAGGGCGACTTCATAGTTGCTTTGTGTAAATGTGTATTCTTTTGTTTTGTATGGTTTTACAATTGGTATATCCGACATTATTAATAATACATAGAAAAATTACATCGTTATTAATATATGAGCGATTATGACGACTATTTAGATGTTATAGACGAGATAACGAAGGTACATATAATAAAAACACCAAGATACAGAATGTGTTGTTATAGTTTATTAGACTTTTTGAAGGCAGTTTGCTATGATTTGAAGAATATTAAAAATCTAAGTAATATAAATGAGCGAAGCTTCAGACGAAAGCAATAATAAAGGATTTCGTATTAATGCTAAAGGTATAGCTTGTATTCCGTGCAGATGCAAGAGGCAATTTTTTCATCAGGAGACTAAAACAACAAAGGGGAATAACGTAATAACGACAAATACAGTTATTGATAAGAGAAATACTAAATTCGGTGCTGGTAGGCATACCTCACCCGATGACATTTTCAAAGCAGATACTAATTTACAAACAGGAAGCGTTGAAATATGCGATGCAGGATGGGGTAAAAGTAAATAACACCAGAAGAGTTAGAAGAGCGTGTTGATAAAATTGACACAGATATTGATTTAATTAAAAAAGATATAGAAGATATAAATAAATATAAGTTTAAAATAGATTAAGGGTTTATTTATATTACAATATGACAGAGGCAAGTGTGCCATTTTGGAAGAAGGAGATGAACACGCCCCTATGATAGCAACCCCAGTGTCTCACTTGAATGGTCTCACGAAAGGGGAAAGTAATGAGATACATTCAATAGCACTACATAAGACGGTGTTTAATTAGTTTGTTAAATCTTAATTAACTGGCTTTATAATCTTTATTATTATAAAGCGAATTATATGACTATATATACTGACAAAATCATAGTGTCATTCTTTAATAATGATGGATTTAGTCATAATTTTTCGGAAGTTAGAGTTTGTTCGGTATGTAATGTATGTCAAGAAATGGAACATTTCATAAGCTTACAGAAACACAAAGAATACAATATCGTATGCAGGAGATGCTTAGACAAGCAGAACGATAATAGAATAAACGCAAAATTGTAAAAGTTTTAAAAAATAATCTAAAGCTTTTATGTAGTATGAGCGATGTAGATGACGCTTCGGCAGATGCCAAGCGAGGCTCTCGCGACGTTGTAAACCCAATCAAGCACATCAGCAGTCAGAAGGTTTTTGAAAAGTTAGAACTCATTGAGAAAAAGATTAAAGAATTGCTAATTAAACCTAAGCCGGTTAATAAACCAATGGATAAAGATAGTGAAGTGTATAAGAATAATAGAAATGTTTATGTGAATAAATTGGATAACAAGGATATTAAGTTTCCTAAGAAGGAGACATTAGAATATTATGAGATTAAATTTGACGACCAAGAGAGAGCACATTAAGTTATTCTGTATTTTACGAAACACACTTAAAGACAATACCTTAATATAATAGGAAGATGGACTACACTGATTTGGAAACATATAAGATCCAAATGAAATACATTAAAAAGATATATGACATTAGAAAAATGAGAATGCACTAAAATTTAAACAACTTGAACTGAACAGTTTAATGGAAGTTCATAAAGATATAATGGATGAAGAAGACAAGCAAAATATTTTGAAAGATATTAAATTGATACAAAATAGACTTGACGAAGATGAACTGAATATTAAAAAGTATGCAACACTCATAGAGCATATTGAAATGCTAATTAACAACGGAGGTGAATATCTAAAATTTTTGGATCGTAAGCCACATCCTGAAAACTTAAAAAAATGGATTAAAATGACGGTTAAAGTTTTTGATGAAGAATATGGTGAAAGATTAAAATAGAAATACACATAAGAACAAGACCAATAGTATTATATGATTTTATTAAAATATTCTAAAATCGTATTAGGGGGTCGCGAGCCTGCGAGCTTCGCGAGGCTTTGCCTAGTGTCATTTCCCAGTTCAGGGTTATGGTCTTTTGGGGGTTTTTCGATTAGGGTCTTACCCCACACCTCATATTAGGATATGGGTTATTTTTTGGTTGAGGGTAGGGTTTGTTTAGGTGCTTTGGGGTTTGGGTTGTGTTTTTTTGGATTATTATATTGGTTTGGTAGGTTGCTTTGTTTCGGGATTGTTGTATTGATTGTTGGGAGGTGCTTTGTGTTTTAGTGTTTTGGAAGGTTGATTTTGGGAGTCGGGTTGAGGATTGAGGTAAAAGTGTAGGGGGGGTATAGGATGTGAGGTGTGGGGTTAGCTTTTGCTTGCTACCACAGGGGGGGAGGGGGGGATACCATGGGGTGGGGGTACATACACTCGTGCGCGCCATCATACAGGTTACAGTATGCGAGCGCCAGAAGACATGAATGAGCTACACATGTTTCGGGTATGAGGTTTCGCTATGTATTACTGAAGGTTCATAATTATGAAACAGACGGATGTTGAGGAAGCGGGTTCACTGTCCTCACCTGCATGCTTGCTTGGCAATTCACGAAGTCTCAGCCCAACGCAGGCCAAGCGCTTCGGGGCCACCGCAGGCATGCGCGCTGCCTGCCTCTATGGCGGTGCCCCCAAGGGCCCACAGCTCGCAGAGCTGCGGCAGAGGCCAAAGTTGCACAAAGGAGAGCAAGAGCCCTCCAATAAGTCATGCCCACACATGCAGAGGAGTGCCGAGGGGCGGATGCGGCCTGCGGCGCTGCCAGAAAACGCATTAAAGTACCCCCAAAGCCCGGAGGCCTCAGCTATTGGTGGCCACGCCGGGGCGGCTGAACGACCTCCTCGAGCCACCACCAGGCCGCTCAAGCATTTCCTGACGCCTTCCAAGATGAGCATCGTGGATTCGGAGTTCAATGCGTCATTGTGCCCAGTCAGTCCTCGGGGTAGGGCTCTGCCTCGGCGCAGGATTGTCTGTTGCTGTGGATGTCAAGTCCGTGCGGTATCTGGTCCTGGATGAAGCGGAGCCTTGGCACATCCCAGGAATGGGGGTCCGGACTAGGACTGGGATCCGATCTGCCGGTGCTGCTCAGGACCGGATGCTGGACATGGGCTTCGAGCCCCAGATCCGGAAGATTATCGGCGGACTTCCGCAGGACCGGGGGCTCTGCAGCTACTGGTAGCTTCCCGCCCGCAACAAGAGCATCAAGAGCCCAGGACCGCCAGACTGTGATGTTCACCGCCACGTGGCCACTGTCCATCCGCCGGCTTGCAGCGGACTTTCTGCGAGATGCTGCGGAGGCGCCCATGCTTGGGAGTGCAGTGCAGTGGCCTTGGCCTGGCCTGGTCTGAGTTGCCGAACGGCAGGTTCGAGCTGGCGAGGTGGACGAGCTGAGAGCACCTTGGCAACAAAGGGGGATTCTCTGTTTCACTTCGAGATCTCGAGAACTCTCCGTTGATGGCCAGATTGGTGGTGTGGACCCGAAACCGCACCGGGTGGGAAGCACGTCTAATCTGGCACATCAGGCTTAGGGTACCGGAACTGAAGCTCTCTGTGTTCACGCACTCCGCTTCCAGCACTCCAACAACTGCCCGGGTCTCTCCTTTTCCAGATGCGATCCTTGCAGGTTGTTTCGCTACTGTAGAAGGTCCCGATGCACTCTCCCAACAAGGAATCTCCGAATATCCCCGAATACGTGATTGTTCATGGGTGCCTTGTCTTGTATTCAGGTGAACCCAGACATCACGCAGCAGGTGGTCTTCTGCCTGGAATCTTTGCCGCAAGCTCCCACTTTCCCCAAGCTCCAACGGTTGAAGCTCAGACTCAGAGCTTTTGTTGGGGTTAGATTCGTCCTAAAATATCGCCGCCACGTCCGTGAACCAAAAGCAGATTCTGAGGACATGCGCGAGAAAGAGGAGTGGCTGGACAAGATCCTCCGGGAGAGCGGTAATGACCAGGCCATCGTCTTCGTGAACACGAAGAGGATGTGTCCTTCGGCGTGATCTGAGGAAAGTAAATCGTGGTGTTTTGCACGATTAGGGGGACCTTGCCTTCTTCACCTCATATTAGTGTCGTAGATCGAGTCTCTGGATCCACTGCCCAGTGCAAGCGATCGGTTGAACTCGACTACTGGACTCTTTCATGCATTCGTAGGATGAGGTCTCCAGAATCCATGCTCGGTTTCATGTTCACGTGTCTCCCGAGCGATGTGTAAGCCAGTCACCGAGCTACACATCCAGATGTCACCTTCGGTTTCAGGTCTTGGCCGGTCAATAAGTTCTCACCGGAAGCCTTCCCAACCCCACACTAAGTGCACCAAAACATGGTGCCCTAACTCTGCGAGTCATGCCCCCCTGCAGCACTGCGTTTTCGTTATCTGCCTGTCTAATTACTTATGTACTTCCCTGTATCATCTAAAGGAGCGCCCCTGCCGAGGCGAAGTGGTCTCCTCCCGCACGCCGAACTCGATGGCCATCCATGGGGACAAGGTCACTTTTGAAGTTTTAGGATGTGCGGGTTGAGGCATAGCTTTGTACGTAGAAGGGTAGGTCTAGGTGGTTTCGCAGTCGGTGAAGCGCATGGCGACGAGACCCAGTTTGACAGACGAGGGTTTAGAAATCAAAGTAACCTCTACCGCTTGGGATACTTAACTTCATTCGCCGCAACGAGCCGGTACAACTTCCAGTTACTTTTCTACTATCAATTACATACTATTACTAGATTATCTCTTTTCTGGGTAAGCATGGGTCCCGAGGACGCGCCTCTCGCATCAAATTCCGAGGTGAGACAAGAAAAGGGAAATCCGACGCACAGCTCAATCCAAAGGAGAGCAGCTGCAGTCAGACTCGACCCTAAAACCCCCTGATTCGAGCCAGGCCGGGAGAGGGTCCAGGCATCTCTGAGCAGTAGCGGAAAGGCGAAGGACGACAGGATGCGACAGGGACTGCTGAAGGGCAGCACCGATGGCATCACAGGCTGCCTCAAGCCAGTCAACTTGCCTGCGTGCGGCGACCAAAGGCACGGTAGCACGAAAGGGATAGACAAAGTCCCTCAGCGGCGGCTCTCCAATGCAGGTGGAGAGCACAGGCCCGGAGAGCACAAAAGCAAGCCTGCCAGGACCAGAGGAAGGCAGCGGCGGGCACACAACTACAGGCGCGGGCGGGTGCTTGGGGGCTCGAAAGTCTTCGCACCACAAATCCGGGTCAAGCAGCAAACGAACATCAGCAGAAAGGGCAGCCACGACGTCCGGATCCTGCAACGGACCGGGTGCCCGCTGCCATGCATCGAGGGTATTACGCAACACCTCGAGGGGCTCGACAAACTCAACCACGGCATCCCAGACCTGTTCCTGCTCGGGCGAGTCAAACCCTTGCAAGCAGGCCAGGGTGAGCACATGCAGGGTCGAGCTCGAGCTCGAAAGGGCTCCAATCCCCCGGGGCGTGCGAGGGGGGCGCTTCGGGGTGGACCTCAGGCAAGGGGGCCGAAGCAGGTCTAAAAGCACCCCACCCACGGCGGCACTTGGCTGACGCAGCAAGATGGCGCTTAAGCCTCCCAGCGTTTGCGTACAGCTTCCCACATGCCTGGCAAAGTGGCTTGACACAACCCGCAGCAAGCAGGGTGGATGGCGCACGATACGCGTGCAGACGGGAGGCGTGGCAAGCCCAAGCGGTCCGACTAGGAAACGCAATCTTGCATTGAAGGCACGCTTCAGGGTACTGGAGCGCAGTGTTGGTAGGGGCAGGATCACCTCCCGCTAGCTGCTCAAGCGAGCGCCTGACAGCTTGTAGTGCAGCGTAGCAGGAAGTGCGGGCGAGCTCCAGGCCACGAGCTCGTTTGACATAAGCCTTGAAGATGTGGGGGCGATGACGGAGCAAATGCTCCCAATCAGGCCACGCTGTATCCGGGTCACCCAAGTTGGAGGTGGCTCGCACCCAATTGTGGACCCAAAACAGAGCCTTACGCAAGTAGGCGATGTACGGCGGATCGCGTCGAATAAGGGCCCACAATTGGGGAGGCGCTGCATTCACAACCTGAAGCAAGTACCGAGCGCGCTCGGTCAAGAGCAACACCTCAGGCGGTGGCTGCCCAATCAAAGCACAGATGGTCGCATGGGTGAGGTGTTGGTCCCCCCTATGGGGGATCGCAAGTGTCTGTCGGTACAGTGCCAAGACCGTCCGGAAGAAAAAGGCGTGTTCGCCCTTACTGAGAGCGGGCCATGCGCCTGCGGCAAATAACAGCTTAGTCATGACATGCGTTGACAAGAGCAGGCCTCGCCGACGCAAAGCGATCCGGCCAGTCCGAAAGACCTTGGTACGCCCCTGCTGAAAGGCGGACCAAGCATGGGAAGCACGGTGCCTCAGCTCTGCCATCAGGGACGCAGCAGAAGTAACCTTAACCCCGAGGTGACGATAAGAAGTCACAAGAGGAAGAAGGGCGGCTCCTTTCTCCTCCCTCATGACCTGGAGTACCGGTTTGTCTCCAAAAAGGGCCCTGCGAACCCGACGAGACCCGGCTCCACGCGGAACCACAATCGCCGCTGTCTTAGTGGGCCCGAAACTTAGGTCGTAGCCATGGGCATAGAAGGCATCGGCCAAGAGGCCACACTCCGATGCAGCAGCAAAGGCCGCGTCCTTTGCTTCCGGCACGATAATGCATTTTGCAAGGTCATCGGCCCAGATCACATCGGACAAGCTGGTAGCAACATGCCAATGCGAAGGATCAGTGGCTGGCGGTGACAGGTCATACAGACCATCCCAATACACGACAGGCGAATGCTCAAAGTGACGGCCATGCACAGCCGCATCAGGCCTCGCCGCATCCCTCCAGTGCAGCTACTAGATTATAGTCTATATATTATTACTATTGCTATTATACTGTTGCTACCACTATGACAGGGTTTAGCAGAATTTTCCGGCTCCGTCGGCAGAGGACCAGCGGGAGCGAGATCTGGCCTTGGGCCATTTCAAGTCGGGCACCGTGCGGGTCCTTGTGGCCACGGACGTGGCCGCCCGCGGACTGGACATCAAGGCCACCTGTGGGGTTCAGGGCTGAGGGGTTTAGGGTTCAGGGGTTTCGGGTTTAGGCTTTAAATTTTAGGCTTTAGGGTTTAGGGGATAATATACTTGCAGGGGGGTGTCACATCGATTTCATTACCAAAAGACTTTGGTCGAGTTGGTTCGGGCAGTAGAGGATTTGTGCAGTTGCCAAAGTGTTCCAGAGCTGTCGACTGCAAATCCCGATGTCGTCTGAATCAACTTACTACAGACAGCATCATAAGCTTAGTTTAGAAACACAGGCTTCGTCTAATCTAATCGAGTCTTGGACATCAGATTGACGGAGACATGGCACTTCGCACAAGGGTCGAAACGGTTTGAGATGCCACAGAGACTCTCAGTTTGAAGCTGACGTAAACATTTAGAAGCACAATCACCTTATCAGAGCTTTTGTTTTAAGGGTGTCTTGTTTTTGGGTGTTTGCAGTCTCTTTTTTCTCCTGTCACCTGTAGCATTCGCCGAGTTTGTTGTTATTTTTTGGTAGCTGCTTTTCGTTTTGGTGCGGCTGCAGATGGAGGAAAACCTTTTTGCTGGGAAGGCGGAAGCATGCTGGCTGTAGCTTTGAGTTTTTGGGCGGAGGTCGAGCAGACGTGCTTTACACTGCTGAAGCTCGTCGAATCCCTCGAAGCCTCCCCAAAGCCTCAGGCCCAAGCCCAAGCCCCCAGCCCGGCTCAGGCTGTGAAGTTGGTGGTGAACTTCGATCCTCCGAATCGCGAGGAGGAGCGAGAAACGTCATCGCCGCAGTATGTGTGTGTGTGTGTGTGTGTGTGTCCAACTCTGTTTCCAAGAGACGTGAGTGAGTTAAGCAGCAGGGGGCAGAGGGTCTCATTTCACGGCCTCTGCCAATGAAGCTCCGTGATATTGAGACAGGTAAACGTACCTGCAGTGGTCGGCATGGGCACATTTGTGCAGCTTGCGACTACACAACTGTTGATTGCGGGTAGGAGTGCAGTGCAGTTTCATGTGCAGTTTCATGTGCAGTTACATGAGTGATTTGCGTTTACCCTATGGTAGTACTTCTGATTGCATGTTCTGACTTTCCCTGACAGCTTCTGACTTTCCCTGACAGCTTCTGACTTTCCCTGACAGTATGCACCGACAGATCAGACCTGCGACACGATGTGTCAAGTGTGCTTCACAACGGCATTCCCTATGGGCGCCGTGTCTCCCAGAGGTAGCTCTGGCGCTGACTTTCCCGATTGACTGCATAAGCATTGGATGACTTTCCTTGACTTTATATCCATGCTTGCAAGCTGACTTTCTCAGTGAGTCTTTCCCAAATGCCTTCACCGAAACCTGAACGCTGACTTTCCCATTGACTTTCTTATGATCTGATTGACTTTCCCGAACCTGACTTTACCGCCGACTTGTCGCAGGTCTTCGGCTGCAAGTTGAGTACATGAGCTGTACTTTTGGTAGTTGCTGATCAGTTTGCCATGGATACCTCAGGAAAAAGACGCAGTACCGGGACATCTCTTCCCCCCCCTCCTCCCCCACCTCTCCCCCCACCCTCCTCCTCTCCCCTCCCCCCTTTGCCCCCCCCTCCCCTCCCCACTGCTGCCCCTCCCCCCTCTCGTGGCACCACGCCGAAGTGGATTCCACCCCCCCCTCCCCTTCCCCCTCCCGCCTTCCCTCCCCCACCCCCCACCCCTGCAATTTGCCCGACGCCAACTTCGTCATCTTTGCCGATCTCTTCTGCATGCAATGTTGGTTTGGGAACAGCAGATGTAGCTCCTACATTGATTGCTGCACGTGCTGTAAGTGATCGACCTGTCCCACAGCAAGAGGTTCCACCAGCCATCACTCTTCTTGCAGATGGCGCAGGTTTCCGTCTGTCGTTTCGTTCAGTTGCCGATTTTGCAGTGCGGACCAGAAATACGTCTTTCGTGTTAAACCCCTGCAACAATCTTACGAGCATCTTGGGAATCGAGCTCTTCTCAGAGGTCATGTGGAAGTAGAGTGGGAACAAGATTCAAACTTCTTCGTGATTGCTGAACTTCGTGGGTTGGAAGTGCGTGATGAAGAAGGGAAGCTGATTCAAGTGTACTCAGCCAACTTCAATTGGGTCGCATTGTATCCCATGTTTACTGCTCTGCGCCCGCGTACCAAACTGCAACTCAGTGTTGCATGTACTTCAATGCAAGTGTATTGCAAGGGATGTGCAAGGGACGTGCAAATGATGCGCAAGGGATGTGCAAGGGTTATGCAAGTGATCTGCCGGCAGCATGTGTTGTGAATATTTGCAGACACTGTTTTGATTCATGTCCTCAAGGCACTCTGCAGTTCTAAAAAGACTTGTAACGTACAGGTAGCTTCAAATTATGTCGGTGTCCAGTTTTGAGAGCGATGCTGCCTCTGTATCGGACGTGCACTCGTCCGACTTTTCGTCAGACTTTGCAGTGTCGGACCAAGCTGGAGTGATTGGTTCAGTACATGTTTTTGCTTGCTTGTGCGACTCGTAGACTGCAGTTTCGCGACATGAGTGCGGTTTGCATATGTTGGAATGCGTAGACTCTGCAGTTTCGTGACATGAGTGCGGTTTGCATATGTTGGAATGCGTAGACTCTGCAGTTTCGTGACAGGAGTGCGTCTCGCCTATGTTGGAATGCGTAGACTTCAGTTTCGTGTCATCGGTGCAGTTCGCCTATGTTGGAATGCGTAGACTCTGCAGTTTCGTGACACATGAGTGCGGTTCGCCGATGTTGGAATGCGTAGACTCTGCAGTTTCGTGACATGAGTGCAGTTCGCCGATGTTGGAATGCGTAGACTCTGCAGTTTCGTGACAGGAGTGCGGCTCGCCTATGTTGGAATGCGTAGACTTCAGTTTCGTGTCATCGGTGCAGTTCGCCTATGTTGGAATGCGTAGACTCTGCAGTTTCGTGACACATGAGTGCGGTTCGCCGATGTTGGAATGCGTAGACTCTGCAGTTTCGTGACATGAGTGCAGTTCGCTGATGTTGGAATGCGTAGATTCTGCAGTTTCGTGACATGAGTGCGGTTCGCCGATGTTGGAATGCGTAGCCTCTGCAGATTTGCGACATGAGTGCGGTTTGCTTATGTTGGAATGCGTAGACTCTCTGACATGAGTGTGGTTCGCCTATGTTGGAACGCATAGACTCTGCAGTTTCGTAGACTTTCTGCTTTGAGACGCTGCTGGAAATGATTGCTGAGAGTATTCCTGCCATGCAGCTCTATCCGATTGAATGACATAACGGAGAGTCCAGCAGTGCAGGTTTGCCGTGCAGCAAGTGTGAGCGCATACTCGTTTTGTAATGGCAGACGAGGTCATTGATTGCAGTCTCCTGTGCATGGACTTTCTGTAGAGTGATGGTGGATGCCCAATTGCTTGGCATCCTCGGTTTTGAACAATAAGAAAGCCCAGCACGATGCTGTATATTGGCTCTACAAGCGTCTCAGACTCTGCAGTTTCGTGACATGAGTGCGGCTCGCCAATGTTGGAATGCGTAGACTTCAGTTTCGTGTCATCAGTGCGGTTCGCCTATGTTGGAATGCGTAGACTCTGCAGTTTCGTGACACATGAGTGCGGTTTGCCGATGTTGGAATGCGTAGACTCTGCAGTTTCGTGACATGAGTGCGGTTCGCCGATGTTGGAATGCGTAGTCCCTGCAGACTGGTGACATGAGTGTGGTTTGCCTATGTTGGAATGCGTAGGGCGTAGACTCTCTGACATGAGTGTGGTTCGCCTATGTTGGAATGCGTAGACTCTGCAGTTTCGTGACACATGAGTGCGGTTCGCCGATGTTGGAATGCGTAGACTCTGCAGTTTCGTGACATGAGTGCGGTTCGCCGATGTTGGAATGCGTAGTCTCTGCAGACTGGTGACATGAGTGTGGTTTGCCTATGTTGGAATGCGTAGGGCGTAGACTCTCTGACATGAGTGTGGTTCGCCTATGTTGGAATGCGTAGATTCTGCAGTTTCGTGACATGAGTGCGGTTTGCATATGTTGGAATGCGTAGACTCTGCAGTTTCGTGACAGGAGTGCGTCTCGCCTATGTTGGAATGCGTAGACTTCAGTTTCGTGTCATCGGTGCAGTTCGCCTATGTTGGAATGCGTAGATTCTGCAGTTTCGTGACACATGAGTGCGGTTTGCCGATGTCGGAATGCGTAGACTCTGCAGTTTCGTGACATGAGTGCGGTTCGCCGATGTTGGAATGCGTAGTCTCTGCAGACTGGTGACATGAGTGTGGTTTGCCTATGTTGGAATGCGTAGGGCGTAGACTCTCTGACATGAGTGTGGTTCGCCTATGTTGGAATGCGTAGACTGTGCAGTTCCGTGACATGAGTGCGGTTCGCCGATGTTGGAATGCGTAGATTCTGCAGTTTCGTGACATGAGTGCGGTTCGCTGATGTTGGAATGCGTAGACTCTGCAGATTTGCGACATGAGCGCGGTTTGCTTATGTTGGAATGCGTAGACTCTCTGACATGAGTGTGGTTCGCCTATGTTGGAACGCATAGACTCTGCAGTTTCGTAGACTTTCTGCAGTTGCAAAGAAGAGTCTGTTTGCCAGTGCTGCTGCAAGTGTATTGCAAGGGATGTGCAAGGAACGCGCAAGTGATGTGCAAGGGATGTGCAAGGGTTATGCAAGTGATCTGCTGGCAGCATGTGTTGTGAATATTTGCAGACACTGTTTTGATTCATGTCCTCAAGGCACTCTCCAGGTTTAAAAAGACTTGTAACGTACAGGTAGCTTCAAATTATGTCGGTGTCCAGCTTTGAGAGCGATGCTGTCTCTGTATCGGACGTGCACTCGTCCGACTTCTCGTCAGACTTTGCAGTGTCGGACCAAGAACATGATCGACGTGCAGCTTTGGTATCAGGTGTTACCGCGGTCAGTGATCCGGATTCCGCTGATTTCGCCTTTGATCATGAGAGCTCAAATGTGTCATCGTTCCTTGGCCGACAGTCTCCGTCAATGTCCCCTGGTCGATCAGTTCAGTTTCCAAAGTCGAACCGTTCCGCTGCAGAACACACCAACATGTCGAAGATTGTCCCGCCGCGGAAACGCAAGCTTCGTATGATTGATGAAGGTTCTGATGGTGCGCGTATCAAGATTCGTCCTGCACCTAGAGCCCAATTTCGTCGCAGAATGGAAGGCACGAGAGTGCTTGGTGACGACTTCTTCATCCACAACAGAGCCCAGTTCATTCTCGATTTCCTGAGACAACACGGGGAGCGCATTGCTAAAGAAAAGCATGGCCCTAGGAAGCGTTTTTCCTCTACTTTGAAACTTGTGCAGTACGTCTTAGACCGAAAGTGAGAGAGCGTTGACGGTTTGAAAAGAGTCCACCAATGCTTTGTGTCAACCGAAGTGATTAGCAAGGGAAGAGTAAGCGGATTGCAAGTGATGTGCAAGGGACGGTCGAGGTATGTGCAAGTGCTGTGCAGGAAATGTGCGGAGAGACATGTCAGGGATGTGCAAGTGCTGCGCCTTTGGGAGTTGCTTTCATCAGACATGGAATAGAGTTTTGTTTCAAGCAGTCTGGAAGTTTTGTAGATTCCGAACAACATGGATTGGGCCGCTTCTGACGTGCTCGAGAACATCTTGACGTACTTGTTGCCGATCAGAGCCAGAATCACATTCATTACTCGCCTTGATCGAAATGACGACCCAGAAGAGGCGCAACCCTTAACCGACACCTTGGTGGCCTACACGTTCTTGCAACGTGGGATACAAGAATTTCGGCTGTCCTCCTCGGTTGAGTTGACCATGGGTTTTCAGTCTTTGCATACCACCATCCGTTTTGTTCAAATCAATGCCGTGGCTTGCACCATGTTGGGCAGCCCTTCCAAGAGGTGGATGCGTGCTGTGGTAGACCTAGCACAGGAGCGTTTGCGAGTGAGTATCGTGTCATTGGCCAATGCTGCGTACCAAACTGCAACTCAGTGTTGCATGTACTTCGATTCTGATGCAGAAGAAGCCGAAGTTGAATTGCACTTAGTGTACAGACTGCGTTTTCTGAAGTTTCGTAGCCCACTCTCCTAGTTCTCCTTAAGGACAAGACGTTTCGATGAAAAATCGGTGAGAAAAACAGCGCGCAACGACCATCAACATTGCACGGAGCCCCTCGGGGCTTGTGTGTGTCCAACTCTGTTTCCAAGAGACGTGAGTGAGTTAAGCAGCAGGGGGCAGAGGGTCTCATTTCACGGCCTCTGCCAATGAAGCTCCGTGATATTGAGACAGGTAAACGTACCTGCAGTGGTCGGCATGGGCACATTTGTGCAGCTTGTGACTACACAACTGTTGATTGCGGGTAGGAGTGCAGTGCAGTTTCATGTGCAGTTTCATGTGCAGTTACATGAGTGATTTGCGTTTACCCTATGGTAGTACTTCTGATTGCATGTTCTGACTTTCCCTGACAGCTTCTGACTTTCCCTGACAGCTTCTGACTTTCCCTGACAGTATGCACCGACAGATCAGACCTGCGACACGATGTGTCAAGTGTGAGTGGTTTATGTTTTCTCAATGACTGTATGTGTACATGTATCTTCGTGTGTCTGCGGGATTTAAGTTGTGGGGTTAATGCTTAATATTACTGGGGTTCCTACTTATAAACGGGGGTTTGCAATGCTGACCAGATGTTCTGAAGCTGCCGTAAACCGCTAAGCCGCTACGCAGTATAGTGCAAGTAGATTCCTTGTGAAGCTGCTGCTCTTTCGAGAGCTCCACTTAAGTAGCCAGACCACGTGGTTTCCAGCCAGAATGCTGGCGTCAAGAACGTGGACACCTTGCCAGCACGAGCAACTCTCCCATCGTTCGGCCCTCCATGGGTGCATGAATCTTTGGTGGTTTTCCAAGAGCATTGGGCAGATGAAACAATTTAGCGAAGCAGGCCAGCAATGCCGATTCCAACTTGCTCGATTCAAACCTAATTGGCTTGGAACATTTTGTAGTACTGTAGCATGCCCCCGGTCTCTGTGTCACATTTTTCCTCCGCTGCAAGACCGGACTCCCCAGAATCCAGCCCATACCTGCAACGAAATAAATGTCGATCCTGAACGCTAAATCCTAAGAACGCAAATCGTCGATGACCCGCCCATGAAAATGCGAGGACTACGTCCACCGCGTCGGCCGAACTGGCCGGGCCGGGCAAAAAGGTGGGCAGAAATGCCGACATCCGTAATCATATCAATAGCAAGAATAGGAATAGTAGTAATGGGTTCGCATCTTTTTGGCTGGGTAGCGCCTGCGGTCGCATGTCAAGCCAGGTGGTACAGAAGAGCTTGCACATGCGTATATACGTGGAAGGGTTTCACTCACTGAAATAGTGTGCAGGACAGGATGCACTCAGGCCCTAAGTCGGGTTCGGCGCTCCAAGCAGGAAGGATGATTTGGGCTTGAGAGGCTCCTTGATAAAGCTCGTGGCTACAACGTGGGACAGAAGCTCCTCCTCCCTCCGTTGTCCTGGTGGACATCTTTCCGTCCCCAACATGCCACCCTCGGATTGTATCGATGTCGATGTCAGACTCCAAGGCCTGAGCACGCTTAAGCCTTTTAGTCCGGACTTTTCCCGAGACCCCGAAGCTGGAAGGCTTGGCCTGGACTCTCCTGACCAACGAGGACGGCGCGGCCGCGCGGAGCATTGTAGCTCGGCGCGGACAGTTGCAGGGAAGGGCGGTCGTAGGGCTTAGTGTTCACTTCAGGGTTTAGGTGTTCCCCTCAACTTTAAACCCATATCATATCCCTAAACCCGGCATCGACAGATGCCAAGTAGCTTGACAGACTGGTATTTCAAGCGGGGTGCAGGGTTGTGCGATATGAGGCCTTCATTGGTTCAAGGGCTTCGGATTGCTGTGGCCAGCACGCCTCGGCCATTACATGGGGGAAGGCTTTCGGATTTGTGCAGGTGGGATCTGGAAGAGAGCCGGGTCTCGGAAGCTTTAGTAACTTTAGCTCGCTTTGCCTCTTCCCGACATCAGAATCATCCCATGTTATCAAAATCGCTGTCAACACCTGCAACATGAGAAACCGAAACTCAGGCTGACATCTTCAAGCCGCAGCCCTGTGCTGCCTGTGGAGCTGTTGCGTAATGACCGGCATCCCGTATCGCTTGGGGTTCAGTGCATCCGAGTCGAAAACCGTGTTGCACAGAGATATACGTGCAGGCGCATTCATGGATGGACGGATGGACGGATGGACGGATGGACGGACGGGCTGACGGATGGACTGACGGACGGACGGAGGGATGGATGGACGGACGGACGGATGGATGGATCTATGCATTCATGGATGCATGCATTCATGCATGAATGTTGTATGCATGCATGCATATATGTAAGTATGTACATGTACCTGCTGCCTGCCTGCCTGTCCGCCATCATCTGTTATAATGTCTGTACCTGGTAACTCTCTGTTACGTTCTTGTGCAGTGCAGGTCTCAGATTGCTACTGTGATACACCTTTCTGCGATGCAACATCCGGTGATCAAAGCATGTAAGGCGAATGGAGCTGCCGGTGCCTGCAGAGCTCTCCCGACGCCTCGCCGCGCACCCAGCACGGCTGGCTATGATGGAGATGATATTCTTGCTATGCGGATGAGGATGGGATTGAGATATGAGTATGCTGATGATTGCGACGGTGTTGTTGAGGAGCTTGAAGATGTGAAGATGTAAGCCAAGTCGCAGATGGTAAGTTCGACGAAATGCCAGAGTCGGCGGGGTCGCGAGATGTTTATGTTTCTAAAATCTTTTGAACTCCAGCACTGCCGGAGCCACCCCGGATGCGCAGATATTGTGGGAAAGGCGCATGCCCCGCCGGTGTCACCAATGCCATGGTTGGTACTGTAGGATATATAACCCCACCAGGCTCCCAGATATTGACAGTCTGACGTAGCTACGGCTCTAAAGTCGGAAGTAAAAGGCCTTGAACGCAAACCCACAAACTCCACACTGTGAATACCAAGAGTGCCTTGAAAGCCCCGGAGCAACAAAAAGTCCTCAACTGTGGGCCATGCAAAGGCCTCCGGCGAACTCCGAAGCTCTGGCAGGGCACGCAGCAGGCACTTAGGGTTTAGGGTTTAGGGTTTAGGGCTAGGGCTTTCTGAGTGTTGCTTTCGGTTGAGGATTTCGGGTTTGGGCTTGTTCAGGGTTTGGGTCCGGTTGTTTGCTGTAGGGCTGTTGCTGCTAGTTCGATTCAATCAGAGCAGATTCTATTGTATCCCATTCTATATTCTGCTCTGCCCGTAGTACATCCCAGTAGCAAAATCGTATCTTAGCGCATCTCTAAGTATCTTATTCGTCGTATAGTCCTTTCAGTATCGTATAGTACTGCATAGTATCATACTGTAATTTAGAGTATAACAAACTGTGTTGTACCACATGATAGGAGGTTATAGCATATCAGACGGTGTAGCACATTAGGGCGCAGCACAACATAGTATGATTCAAGGCCTTATTCGTGCATTATCAAATATGTCAGTAGATTCGTTTAGCTATATATGTTTACTATACTACATCATACTATCTCATACTGAATTTTAGTATCATCGGTCAGTGCAGTTCATTGTATATCATAATACAGTATGTTTAGAATATAGATCAATAGTTCAGCATAGTCAAGTATAGTAGAGTATAGTACAATATATGATTGTAATTCAAGGTATAGTCTTTCGCATTACAATGTATGATAATATTTTCTAGCATCTGACAATGTATTCTACTATGCTCTTGTATATGAAAATCTGTTCTTGTACACTATGGTGTATGATGGTATCTTGTAGTATCTTGCAGTATATTTCAGTACACAGGTAACCAGGCATATATCTACATAGTAGGAATTTGGACCGGCACCACCGGAGACAGTTTAAAACCCAGGCAGACAAGAGAAAGGCAAAGTTATAATATATGTATATATATATATATATGTATTTACACATAGTATGTATGTATGCATGTATGTATATATATATATATACATATATATAATGTAACTGAGCGACAGACAGGTAGAAACACGGAGAACGACAGACAGAGAAAGGCAGTCACACAGCCTGGATGTGATCTCTTGAGCCTGCAATATTTGCGTTGACGGAACACGATTTTCTGTGAAACCCTTAGAAGCGCCGCCGTCACATCAGTGTCCTGAGCCCGCACAATGGCAAATCACTAGATTCGACTCAGTCGACTGGTTCAGGGTCTGGCATGTCGTTGCAGGGTTGAGGTATCATCCTAGAGGTCCTGGAAATGCCAGAACCCTGGACCCCATTGCAATCCATGCAATTTCGTTGCACATTGTAGGGCATCCGCTGCTTGTCCAGAGCCTCACACACCACTTTGTATTAATATGTAGAGAAACCCTAGTTACTGTTGTCGTTAGTCGCCCGTGTAACCCATCCGCCGCAAGAAGAGAGATGGGACTCGTTACAGCCATCATATCTCCAGGACCCCGGTAGGTTGAGCCCCTGGCGCCCTGGAGGTCCGTGGGTCGGCCTTTGCTTAGAGGCCGGGGCCCCCCCAAGCCTTCGAGATCGGTTGGCATGCACACGAAGACTACAGCTGTTATGATTGCTACTGTTCTAGTTCGCTGATGTGTAGGCGTGTAAGCATGATGGCTAGATGCATGTCAATGCTTCCGGCTTTGGCTGGGATGACAGCCGTACAGTACATATCGTGACCCAGGGCCTGTGATAAACTACGTGTTTTACTTTTCTGGGCTGTTCAGACTTCTCGCACATCCGAAAAGGCGTTTCATGATGAAGCTGCAGCATTCTTTCTTCCGCAGGCGGCATGGGTATGGACGACGATTTTGACTTTGGTGGTGATCGGCGCAGGGCTGAGAGCAAACCTGGGCGTTGGCAGCACGCCGAAGATCACATCCCGCACTCGGTTTATCTAGGCTCCGTGCCCACGGCTTCTGCCCAAAGCCCTAAACCCGAAAATCCTAAAAACCCTAAACCATTGACCCCAAACCCTTGACAAAGGTTTGGGAGCGGCCGCGAGCAGAACGACTTCCCACGGTCGTCCTTCATGAACGACTGTCCGACTTGGTGATGGACGAGTTTCCTAGTGGTGGTTGTAGAAGAGACGTCCTGGCAATCAAATTAGTAGTACTACAGTAATCGCATTGGGAGAGACACGAGAGTAGTATTCGTACTAGTCCTATGACATGGAAGCCTACGTATGCAGCAGTTGACTGACTTGGTGTTGGCAGACAGGTAAGGGTTCATTCATACAACTATTCCATACTAAGCCATTAAAATCTACTGTAAGGGCTTTGAGTATTGAGGCCTTTCTGGTCCTTGAAGGAGCCCTTACAGGACCCTGATCAGGAACCCTAGTCTAAGTAGTAAGGCTGTATAATCATTCCAAGGTCATCACTCGCAGCTTGGAAGCGCGACGTAGTTACACGATGGAGGCCTGGCAGTATTCCAAGATTCCAAGCAGAACTCGTAGCCATCACAACAGCACCACTGCGACAATGATCAGCAATCAGCAACGCTTGGATTCCCCTGCGGTCCGGGCTTGTGAGGGACCTCGTGGCGACTTCCCTATCAGGAAGCGGCGGTGCGAGGATACCAGCAGCCCATTTCGACCCGAGAAGGGGCGGCCTGCCCTGGAAAGTGCCCACGTGACAGAAATTCCTGTGTAGAGAAGTGGAACCAAGAAGCTCTGAAGGGCGGGCTACGTGGACATGAAGCCCCTGGGCGCGAGAACGAAGACTGGATTCCGTTCGGTCTGGCAGATCCGGCTGCTGCGTACAGTATGCCGCAGGTCGAGCCAATGTGCTCGGAGGAGATGCGCCCTCATGGAAAGACGATACATGCGGAATGCAGGGGTATCAGAGCCATGCCTTCAGCTGTCGATAGCTTCGCCGCTGAGCCAACTGCTTGAGTCCAACCGCAACCCCACTGCCGCTCGCCGGTTTTGGCCACAGCATCCTCGGAACTGACTCCTCTTTAGAAAGTCCCGGTTATCCAGCAAGCTTCGGCCATGCAGCATGCATTGCAGCATAGAACGGCATGGAATCTTGCACAAGTGCAGGCGGGAGGATCCCAAGCTGGTGAAACTTAGACTCTAGAGCTTCATATCTCAGTCGGCGTTTTCTCAGGGGACCGCAGCACGACTAACAGTCTTCGGCATGGCTTTACTACAGATGCAGCCAGAGCAGGTGGACTGGACAGGCATGGGCTACAGGGGTCGCTGTGGCTATGATGGCTATGATGATCGATGATGGTGGTGATACTGATGGTGGTGGTGACGGTGGTGGTGATGATGAAAGTGATGGTTTTGAACAATCGTGGCACTGATATGGTATTAGTGTTGGTGGTGATGCCAATGACGAGGTGATAATGCCGCTGGTTGCAGAAGATGACATTGACGATGAAGTGGAGGAGGCACGGCAGGAGGCGGGGAAGGAGGGTCAGGACGTGGATGAGGAAGTAAACTGCAGTGACAAAGGTGATGATGGTGCTGCTTATGGTCGGGGAGTTTCCGTCACCGAAGATGGGGAACCACTGCGTTCCTCTGCAGTTGGACACCCCGCAACCATGCGGTATGCAGGCATCTCCAGCAGAAGTCGGTCCTGGTCGCTTGACAAGCTGTTTTCTCTTTCTGCTCCTGCTCCTGCTCCCCCTGCTCCCCCCCTCCCTTGCTCCCATCCTTCCCTCCCCCTCCTCCTCTACATACAACTATGCAACCACTAGCAGTAGCAGCCACGCATGCAACATGATACTGGCAACACGCCTCAAGAACCCCAGCAGTGTCAATGCCAATTGCAAAGCCGTCATCGTCACCAGCAACAGCAAACATCATCAGCAACATCGCGTAGACAACACTACCAACATTAAATGCCAACACAAGTAAAGCCGACACCGAAGCCGCCGCCATTAACAAGAACACCCTTTCGCTTTACGCCGGCGACCACTAGTACTATCCCTTACTTAAGCCGCCGACAGCGCCAACATCACGTATACGCGCAGCTGCTGCTTCCACTATTGCCGCTGCAGCAGCAACAACAGCAAGTACAAGTACAACTACAGCTACGACAACAAAAGCTGCCTAACTACAGTACTGCCACTGCTGCTGCTGCTGCTACTACTACTGTACTAGCCTTCCTACTCGTACTCCTACTCGTACTCCTACACGTACTCCTACTCGTACTCCTACTGCTAGCTGCTGCTGCTACTACTGCTGCTGCTACTGCTACTGCGGCACTGCTACTGCTACCGCTACCGCTGCTGCCATTGCTACTGCCACTGCTACTACTGCTACAAGTACTGCTGTTGTTGCCGCTGGTGTTACCGCTGCTGCTGTTATGACGATAACGACGAGGCTGCTGTCGTTACTGCGCTTGCTTTTAGCATGCCGACGACTGCAGTAGCTGCTGCTACTGCTGTTGTTACAAGACTGCTGCGACGACTGCGGCAACTATGACTGCCGGCGCATCCGTTATCATCACGACTGCCACCACCGCACCACCAGCATCCACCAGCACGACCGCTTGTAAAGAGCACGAGTCAATATCTATTTGAGACCGCCCCGCGTCCATGAGAGACAGCGATGGATGTTCGGACGTGAGGCCGTGGTGCATCCGCTGCTTGTGGGCAGATGCTAGGCCGGCCGGTCTTTGGCCATTGAGGGCCTTCTCGGATTGGCGCTACTACAGCAAGCTGCTACTAGTGACTAGCAGTAGCAGTTCGCGTGAGTACCACATCGGCATCCGTACATGAAAGCATCATTTGCAGACGTTCTAGTCTGGGTTATATTATACTATTATAGGTGCCGGCTACCTGAGACCCTCGATCCCAGTCCCAACTTCTAGAACCCACCACATCGGTTCAGGGTTCGCCAACGCAAGAGCATCCGACACAGCAGGATCATCTCCGTCTTGCATAGCGGAGCTAGTGCTGCATGTGCATGTCATTGCTTGTCTGATTGCGTATCTGCGTCACTACCTACCTACTATCCGGTACAACATGTCTATGTGATGCGTCCACGAATATGTCGACTCGTAGCCCTTGAGTATCTGCGTATGTATTATAGACCTCAGGATCGCATGGATCATGAAAACCTGGGCAGGCAACAAGGAAGAGAGACATGGTCGCCGGAAGAATGCTCCCTGGCTCCAAGAAGTTCATTCCAGATACGCAGAGAAAATGCGCACCCCCTGGTCTCGCAAAACTCATGAGGGCCTTGTGCGATGATCATTGTCTCTGGCACGTAGACCCGATATCCAGATACTTTCCCGTGCGATCAAAGCAGCAGCGACTCCAGCCGTGCCAGCATCAATGCCAATGGCAAGCAGAGCAGTCCTTTGCTGGCCATTCAGAAGGCGAGCCTCATGCTAGAACACAGCCTTAAGTCTACCTGGAACCCTGAACCTGCGGTGACCTGAGCCACACAAGCATTCCAAGCCTGATGTGCCCATGAAAGTATCCCAGAGGCAGCTGTCAGCCTCTTTCGCGCCCTCCGCCGGCAACTCTCTCGAGCTTGATTTGCACCAGCAAGCCACGAACACGTCCCTCAGTGTCTCAATGGAAGCGGCCCCGCCAGGTATCCGTTGACACGCGCCCTGCGTTGTCTGTCGAGCTTGACCCCGCAAGATCTCGGTGCCCTGCTTCGCAAGGGGAGTCCAGATGCTTTTGATTCCTGTCGCTGTTATACTACCATATACTATCATATACTATCACATACTGTTATATACTATTATATACTATCATATATTATTATATACTATCATATACTATTATATTTTCATATTCTATTATATACTATTATGATGCTATTGTAATAGCATTATAATGCTATTATAGTATTCCATTTAGCCCGTTCCGATGCCTGCAGGTGTGAGCCCAGAAGACGCGGCCAGGGCGCGGAGCAGGCACTTCTTCGGACTACGTTTTGAACGCCTTGCGTCTTGAGCTTAGTATACGGGCCTAAATAATTACCTATACTATTTTGGGAGTTCCTTATGATATTTATGGTATAATGTACATTAATGTACCCCGAGACTGCATTACGCATCATTCCTTAGAATCATGGGAGAAGATGCTTGCTGCTGACATTCGTGATTTGTTGCCGTCTAAACCCGGGCCTCCAGAGCAGCCCTCAAGCGCCTTCAGCGCTCTCGGGCTCATCTTGAACAATTTTAGCAGAAACAGTTGCTTGAAAATTTCTTCAGATCTCACATCCTTACACTGGGGTGGAGCTCTGATGAGCCATGTGTGAATTGCGCTAAGCTTCTTCGCATGTCCTCTGAGCCCAGAAATCTTGCCCGTAGATGCCCCACTCCACGTGACGTTCCTGTAGCTACTCTGAATCAGTGGCACCAGGAGTTTAGTACCATACTTCAATCAGTTAGTCGCATCGTTGACAAACTGAGAGCTTAACTTGCTCTGAGGGTCTTTTATTTCTTCAAGAGGGTGAACCTGTCACTCTGCTTTTCTTTGCTCGCCCAGAAGTTCAGTCCGCTTCACCCCAAAACCCTATTCTAATTATTAAGGCCCCTATATCACACGTTCTTGGGCCGCCCTAGAAGCTTTACGACGGGCAGGTCTGGTGTGGCCTACCAGGAGATCTATGCCGGCGCCGACATGTGAGCCTGCTCGGTTTGCTCAAAACATGTATCTGGAACTATCGTAGCAAAGCGCCATGTTGCCTTGTGCCCAGACAAGCCAGGACCATCTGCATCTTTCTTCTGCGCGCCGGTGCGCAGATCCCTGCACACGACCACCCAGGCCGGGTCTTGTAGCGCACCGCCGCCATGCAAGTTGTGGGACCTTCGATGTTGCCGATGCTTTTTTGTCGGATCGGAGGTATGCACGTCTTCGGACGGCTGCTCTTCGGGCGCATGCGGGCTCGGAGTCCCAGCCCAGCACCTGCCAAAGCTGGGTCAGCCCAAGGCCGTTCCTGCAGGCTGCCGGCAAAGATGGTTAGGTGGCGTCCGAAACACTCCAAAACTGGGAAGCGGAACACAACCAGGGCTAAGCGAGCTCAATCCAACCATCTACCTACCTAACTACACACATCGATCTGCCTACCGAAAGTAAGACGTGCCCACCTACCTACGTATCCTCCCTCACACAATCTATGTGGTCAAATTGGACTGCCATTAGAAGGTCCGCTCCTATGACTTCATCGATGGTGGCGAGTCAGGCAGCAGGGATAATCAGGCATAAATATCGACTCCGAATCGCGTTTAGGGTTTAGGGTTTAGGATTTAGGTTTCGGGGTTTAGGTTCAGGATTCAGGTGTGACGCTTGCTGCGCGGCTGCATCCTGTTTATGCAGATGGCTGCTTGAAACTACTGCGGTGTGAATCGAACTTGACCACTGGAGCGTACCAAGCTGAGAGTGAGAGCTATACGAGGATTCATTATTTCTTTCGACGCTGCTCAGCTGACCTTTGTCATTGGGATTGTGTCCAGTCCCATGGTGGGGATGATGATGGCGATAGTGTTGAGAACGACGGGAGGACGATGCTAATGATGCAGGCGATATGATCTATCTGGGCGATGTGGTGATCATGGTTATTGGGACGATGGTTATGGTGGTTGTGACCATGGTGCTGAATTCCAGTCAATGTGAATTTCAGAAGAGGTCTTGGAAACGCATAATTTTCAAGCGTAGCGGTGAACATTGGCAGCGCAGTGCGTCATCGGCTGAAACGGGCAAAGTCGGGCTGGGTCTAGACAGATGACGGTAGCGGTGGCTGCATTGACATTGAGCCCAATGGCATCAGCTCGTGGCAGTTGATAACATCCAGAACCCTCAGACTTTAAATTAATGCACCGAGCATGACATTCAGTCAGTGGCCGATGTGACTCCCTGTAATACCCGTTTAGGAACTGAATGACAATCCGTCAAGTTTTCCCAGCAGCTCGGCCGGCAGGAGTGGGCGGGTCGGACGAGCCCCGAAGAGCCCACTACTATGGTGAGGAGGACTCGAGTAGTAGGGCTTAGCAAGGACTTTGACGATTTCAGTCCAGACGGGGTTTTGGCAGTACTGTAGGCATAGGATTTTCAACTTGGATGATTACTTTAAAAGGTTAGGGGTTTCGGCGAGACAGGTTTAGGAGATCCCAACGGCTACGAAGGGTTCGGGTTTCGCGGCTGCTGGCATCGGCTGGAAACTACCTGCCCGGTCATGCTGAGATCGTCGGTTTTGAATTTTCTCGTTAATTATTCATGTTGTTCCCATTAACCTGACGACCACTTCTATCTACTAATTACAGGTCCGATGACTACTACGGTCCCGGCATAATAAGCACGTTGACATTGTGCTGCTCCCTTTTATCATGACCGGTTTCTGATTATCGGCGACTACGGCGCTTCCGGGCATAATAAGCACATTGACATTGTGGTATTTCAAGCAGGCATTACCGTGATTTTTCATGTTACTGTACTAACACTTCGGCATGTGACCGGAGTCAGGTCGTCGGCAGATGAGGCCTTACCCTCAAGCCAAAGCAGCCCAGTTCCCAAGTCCGGGCCCGTCAGGGTCTCCAATGCGCAAGTTGGAATCCCCCCGAAACCTCTCAAGCCCCGAGCCCCTATCTTGACGAATGGTTCTCCAGGTCCTTGGACCGGCACCTGTTACCTACGGCCTGGGTCCAGAGGACCTGTGACCTGGGGTGAGTCATGGGACATGGGCAGAACCGTCGAACGTCTCTCCTGTAAATGTTGGAGATAAGTACCAATTTTGCCATTGAAATCATTCTCTGTTCGAAGGGTTCTTATGTGATGGTGGCTCAAATTTTCCTGGCAGTCTTGACATCGTATGGATGCTGCACAAAGAGCTGCATACTCTCTGATGATGGTATAGGTGGTGGTTGCAGTGGTACTACATAGCAGGACATAGCTGGATGCTTACAACAGACCAGGTGAGCTTGGCACTCTAAGTGCAAAGCCATGCCCAATGCTGGCGCAGCTGTCCAGGGTGGAGAAGCCCAAGAAGTGCCTTAGCTCTGACACCATAGCCATAGGAGCCACAACAAACAAGTATGGCCGCGGAAGCGGCTTAAACGGGCCAGCATGTCGACGACAAACACAGCCCGGGCCTCTCCCGTTGGCGGCTGGACAGGCCAAAGTCAAGTTGAGCTGACACGAACTTGGCTTGGGGAAGAAAAGTGAGTTAAACAGAAGAAACCTTCGTAGCTGAAGATCTCGGCGGAGCAGTTCAGAGATGGAAGCTCTCCGGAATCAAGTTGATCGGCCCGAGAGGTGGGCGTCGGAACGCAGGGCCTCCCTGCCTCCAGTCCTTGATTCAGCGATGATGATGACGATGTTCGGTCATTGCAATGAAGACGAGAAGCAAGGGTCAGGGCCTGTGGTCCTGGCCCAAAAGCCCGTCGGGACTGTGTCGGCCTGAAAGTGTTGGTGGAAGTAGGGTTTGAAGCTGTGGATTTAGGGTGCTCTTGCTGCTGTTCCTCAGAAGCGCTGCCGGAAAGAGTTGGTCATTCCAGGATTGCAGGTTTGTTGCAGTTTTTCTTTGAAAAACCCAGGGTACTTTGCTTCGGATTGGGCAGATTCTTCGAAACGGCAGACTGGCTTAAGCTCGTGATGCAGTGCAGCCAGAAACACTCGGATGGCGGAGAGTTTCGACTTGAGGCTTGAGGCAGGGCTTTCAACGGGCAACATGTCGAGATTCCGACAACTTATGGGATCTTTAAAGGTTTGGGGGAACTATTTCAGGATATACGCCCAGAGTGCAGCCACGAGGAGGGAAACATCCACCAGATCGAGGCGGTGGATGACTGCGCGCCCGGTTCCCCGGGACTCAGACGCTGGCCTGGCTGGCAGTAGCAACAAGAGGAGCAGCACTGCGAAGCGCAACAAGATAGTGGCCCTTCATGACTAGTGGTATTACGTACAGTGAAACTAGGAGGAAGAAGAAGATGGGATGATGACACATTTTCCGTCATTTTCGCGGTCCAGAGCTTCAATGGAAACGCGTTCGATCTGTCCCGGTCTAGTCAGATCACGGCCGGGCGTAGCTGGGTGAGAGGCTAGGTTGGTTAGGTCTCGGGGAATAATATGGCATGTTGCGCTCAGGTTCTTCGACATCCTGACACCGCCGTACAACCCCTGCGGCGGCAGGAATTGCAACTATTTTGAAGTGTCTGTAGATTCGCACAGGCGCGGCCTTCCTTCGTGCTGTGCGGGGGTGGGGGGGGGGAACGCAAGAGTGCAGTCGGAAGTCGTCTTTGGGGATCGCAGTGCTCCAGGTCTGACAGCAGAAGTGCTGGCAGCGGCTATTTCCTCAAGCCTGTCCTCCGTCCGGAGTTTGGCATGGCTGCTCGGCATGAACAGAGACCATGATTCGCGGATTGAAAAGGTCGAGCACTTCTGCATGCCCCCTTCATGCTGCGGACGTGAAAACGAATGAACAGTTTCTTCTCAATCCAGTTCTCAGAAGTTGGGGTCCATGCCCGAGGCATGCATACAAGACCTTTAGCGTCCTTCTTCCGCAGCCATTATTGCAGGATGCTCCAGCACTTGCACACTACTGTGGAACAGAGGGTAGATGCTCTACTGCATGCTCCCTTTGTGGGTCCTTCTTAAAGCAACCAGCTGCGACATCTTACGCGTTCAGCTCCGCTGCCAAAAGCTACCTTGACGGCAACCCCAATGTGGAAGGAACGTCACAAGCCCAAACCCGTAAACCCCCAAAACCTCGAAGGGACGAAACTCCTAAACCCCTAACCTAACCCCCTTCAACCCTAAACCCAAAACCCCTAAACCCCTTAAACCCCTTAAACCCCTGAAACCGCTTGAACCCCTAAACCCCAAACCCCTAACCCCTAACCCCCTTAAACCCCTGAACTCTAAACCTCAAAGCCCCTTAGCGCCTGCCTAAACCTCAGCCCCGCACAAAAAAAGGCCGTGCAAACAAAAAACCCTAAGCGGAGGAGATGCAGGCCTGCCTAGACGAAGTCTCTTCTCTTCGGCCAGAGCCTGCCTTCTAGGGGGTGTTGGGGTGATTAGAATCAGGGTATTAGGGTCATTAGAAGTAGGGTATTAGGGCAATTAGAATTAGGGTATTAGGGTAATTAGGAGTAGGGTAATTAGGGCTTACCGGTAGGGGTTGTCAGGTGTGGGTTTTAGGGTTTAGGGTTGCGGTTTGTGCTTAGGGTTGAGGGGGTTAGTTGAGGTTTATTTTTTTTTGGGGGGGGAGGGGATCGGGGCTTCGGGGTGCAAAATTTTGCGTGGTGTCTGTGCAGGAATCTCGTTCTGGTTACTCGCAGCGACTTGCGTCTTTTTAGGCTTCAGGCTAGCTGTGAGTTTGCAATCTGTCACATTGTGCGTATGCAGAGACAGCTAGGCAATTAGGACAACATGCATCTCAGGATCTTAGGCAAGTTTGGCAGTTGAAGAAGGCTCCCTGGTGAGAAGAAGCAGTCATAGCCAAAGCACTGACTATAAGACTTGAGTTCGAGAACATGCCATGGATGACCGTGGTCGAGACCAGCAGCTCCCGAACGCGAACCCGGATCCAATCTGATGAACCTCTGTACGTACAACTAGATCCAATTATGGGCTGTGAAAGCATGCTCCGAACCCAACTGAAAGCTGGAGAAGTACGGGAATCGGACGCCTTTCTGTGCCAGGCTTACCGTGGACCAACTTTCTGAATCAGAAACTTGGCCTGCCAGCAGCCGGATACGGGCGTGATCGCCGCAGTCCCTTTGGTGCAATGCAGGATTTCGGGTAAGAGTTCAGGGACGTACTGCTTTGCTTCATCTGACCAAGAGGCCAAGAGGTCTGCAGGCACAGCGTTCACGACCGGCTTTTCTCGCGAGGAAGGCAAAAGCTTGTTTGCCTGCTCGTGCTCTCGCTAGGAGAAGGGCTGATTTCTGCCATCGTTTCAGGATCAACCCTGAGCGACTCCTATGCTGTGCAAAGCGATGTGATCATCGCCCCTGGTGCTTCTTAGTTGCTGACACACTGCAGGTTCTTCATTGCAGCTGGGTCAACGTGCCCAGTTTGCCGTGGAGCCGGATCGGTTGTCTTCACCTCTCTTATTTAACAGGGGAGTCGGTCGACAAAAGCGTCGTGCCTTTAGTAGGCACGCCTCGCGAAATAGGGGAGTGGGAGAGAGAAAGGATCATCTGCATCGTAGGTTTATGTTTGATTGAATTGAGACCAAGACTTGGGCTCTTGATTATTGGCTGTGGTAGCTTCTATTGGTGCTCTTGACTTGTGCTGCTAGGGAGCACATCACAATGAAACAATCTGTGCAGGCACGAAGATTTTCAGTTCTAGCCGCTGTGCTACTCTTAAGCAAACTCAACGCAAAAGCAGTTGAAATCGACATGTTGACGTATGCTTAAAAGAAGAGAAGCTTCGTCACAGTCAAACTTTCCCACCCTGTTTCCATGCCCTGCAAATAATTCAGCTCACCATCGAAGAATTTATGCTGCATTTGGACGGTGGGGATGGCACAGCTTCGGTATTCAACTGATGTTTACTGTTGTGAGCATGGCCTTTTTACGGTTCGAAGCTCCAGTCCTCGGAGTATCTGCTCGCTTGGTGGCCGTTAGCTGTAGCTGTCTCCGCCGGTCTCCGTTGTCACTGTTTCTGTCAGCCGCGCTGCCTATGCCCTCAGCAAACGAGAGGGACATGAATTTGTTCATAAAGTCTCGCTTATAGCTTACAATGCATGTCCTCATAACGACGAGTCTACATACAGCAATGCCACAAATGTCCCCGTGCGAGGTGGTTTTCAAGGGCAGGCACAAGCTTGAACGTAGAGGAGTGCCTGGCTGTGTCGTACAGTAAAGCCGGTGAGTCTCCCGATGTTCTTTTGCTGTGGTTTCCCCCAGTCGAACTTAGCCTGCGGACGGCGCCCACTTGTGGGATGTCCACGCATGACCCGATGCCGAGGTCACTTGTAGCGTCAGGTCTACCACTCATGGCTTGGATCCCGTAGGCATGTTGCCGAAAGCCGGACCAGATCGGGCTCGGTGTCGCTTTGTCGTGCTTTTTGGACGCAGCATCGCTGGGTGCAGCTTCCCAAGGGCACCCAGGAGCCGCACAGGACAAGATATGTGTGTGAGACAGCATGAGAGTATCCTTACAAGACACAAAGCGGCCGTGCGTTGGGTGGGTCCAGTCATAATCCATATGAGCACATAGTCACTTTTTTGAAAAATCATGTGCTTCTCTCTCGCCGTCCATCTCTCTCACACACACACAGAGATGCACCCGTATATCCAAAGCAGCCTTCGTGACTCTGAGAGCCGGGGTCCGATTCAAAGGCTGTCTTTCTCTCGCATGCTGAGGGTTGTGGCAGTTTCGCTTTCGGACTGCGATGATGATGAACTGTTAATGTTGAAACAGGCGAGGAAGAAGACAGAGATTCAGGGTGGTATACCCAAGGGACGCCAGTGAACGGCGTAGCAAGTGGTCAGCGCGACCTCGCTCGCATAGCAAGGCTCACCATTCAACTCACGAGACAGCTCAAGATCATTACATCGACATGTCAATGCCACCACTCCCATCTGGCCCCGCTTGAGCCACAACTCACAAGTTCGTTTAGAAGCCCTGCTGGCGAAGCGCTTGCTTTCGCATGTAAAGACTTGTGCTGAGGTGGGTAGGCAGGGGAGAACCCTCCACATCCCCAAGAGAAGCCGGCCAATGTCCGCTTCCCTATACTCGTGGCTCGTAGGTGTGTGCTTGTAATAGGGAGGGGTCCTCTCACAGGGTTCGCCTGCTGAGGCGCTGCCTTGAGCAGAGGACCCAACTTCTCCGCAAGCAGGTGTGCCTGAAGACTTGAAGAGCCAGGCACAGCCCCAATCACCACAACAGCCTTCGTGCGCATTATGACGAAAAAGGAGCTGCCGCAGATGAAGGGTAGTCTGGGTAGTAGCAAAGCATGACGTCACCGCTGAACATGTGGTGCAGCCGTCGGTCTGAATGATATTGCTTGCTGTGTGTGATCTGGCATGTTTCTAAAGCCCACCTCGCTCTCTTCCTCGTGTCGTTTGAAACCACCACGGCCACAGCGAGTACCCCTCCCATCACCTCCCCTGCGCTCTCTTCCCCTCACTGCTTCTTTTGAAGAAGTAGAGTACTCCCAGTCCCTGGGCTGAAGTTAGAGGCAAGAAGAGCAGAGCTCATGTGTCTCCACACCGGGGCGTTTTTCCGAGCAGCTTACGGCACCACACAGCTGAAGAGGAATCAGTCGACTGGACTTAAGAGTCAGAAGCATGACTTCTGGCGTGTTGTCCAGAGTATGCATTGACATGGCCAAGACATCATACTAAACACATCTAGTGCACCATTTCCGCGAGCATTCATACTTTCCGCCTAGAGTCCGCCGCAGAGAGCCGCAGTGCGAGGATCCGCAAACGGAGGCGAGGCAAAGCTTGAGAAGGGGAAGGGCTGCATGTAAGTGCAACAGTCCGTCTTGCCTATTCTAGGTGGGGGATTTGAGACTTTGCTTGTGAAACCCGGAGATGTGGAGACGCCTCGGACTCGGACCCAGCATACGGAGCTGAGAAGCACGAAGCACGAGGATCACATAGCTTTTCTGAGTCAGAAGAACCGTAAGTGAGAAGTTACTCGACTCGTCCAGCCTGGGGACAAAGGCGTCGGTGACACTCACACAGCCACCAACAGCTACTTTGTCCCGGGGCTATCTCGCATCACCTGGGTGTTTTACGCATCCGCAAGGCGTCCACTTCGGGGAACGCATTATAGACATTATATGATCTTATCAAGCTCGGTATCTTCACCTTCATAGCATCGTTTCGGGTCCAGCGCCATTTGCGGACGCACGGCGACGCTTTGCTGCTGCTTTGAGCACCCGTTGTCAGAGAGTGCACTCCGAACCGGCTGCCGCTCAGAAGGGATCCCTGCCTAGTACTCTATGCCCTGTGCCATTATGCGAACCCGAGCACTGGCGTGAAGGGCAAGGGCAAAGGAAACGGCAAAGGACATGGTAAAGACGAGGGTTTGCAGGCGAAGGAAGCCGAGCGCCACCAGATTCTCGGCGTCTACGGCACCTCCTTCGGCATGCCGAGGAACTGGTAGCCAGACTCGATGTACAAAACCCGTGAGAAGACAGACGCCTTTCGAAGTTACAGGGATTGCGGGCTGACGGCTTCAAGGACGACGAAGGAGTAGACCCCAAGAAGTCCCTGACCGATGCCACCGCAGCGAGGGCCGAGACGAAGCTCCTAGTAGACCAATACTGCTCCTTTTCGACACCCTTGGTGTTGGGGGCGCTGTCGCTGTCCTTGTTCAAAACTTGGTACACATCCTGATTCAGCCTGACTTTCACTGCTGCAAAACACAGCATAGATTCAAAGCCAGTC